GCCATCAGACTCCATTGACAAAAACAGTCATTTTAGCTCACTGAGCACAGGAGTGGCTGGGTTACCGCTGCCTCCATCAGTTACTTTGTTTGTGTTATTGTGTGACTTTGGTTAATCCAAACTAACCCTTTTGAGTGTCAGAGTCACACAATAATGCAATAGATTAACTGATCGAGGCAGCGGCAGACCTGCAGCTCCCATGTTCTGTTGTGTTAAATTACTGTTTTTCTCAATGGAGTCTGGTTGAATGCTTTATAGTAACTTAACCACTGTCTGATTGCAGCTGCTTAAATATTCTAGTTATAGTGTACACTTAAACTGATATTGCTGCTGCCTCTTTCCACAGCAGCGCATTGTTAGACTTATGTGGTGGTGCTCTTTTTGCGTCTCCAAACTTGGGGCGTGTCGACTAACATCTACTGCAGGTATTACATTATCTTTGGAGAAGTACCTCATCAAACCCCACTTCAAAAGATCTGATCCATCCCTTTAAACTGTGATAGAGTTGCATAATGTAGCCGATATGAGGACGAACTCAGTCAGGATATTATCTGATAAGATTTACTGTAATGATACCATCTTTATCTCCCACACCACTGGTGCAGGTTTAATAAAATATGCAGCAACAGTGCACTTTGTGACCATGTTGTGGTCTTTTGAATCATCACACTCATGGCCCTCGGTTTCAACCGTTTAGACGGATTTAGATAACACATAGGCGAGACATTATGTCATGTTACGTGACTGATATGGTGAAGGCATCATTTTTTGGCAGTTGACAGCAAAAATATACATATCTTTTATGCTGCACAGGTAGCTAAAGATGCTACAATGGCTACATGTGAAGAGAACACAAGTTAAAGTCAAAGGAAGAAGGAAAGAGTCACAATATTTTTAGTAATCAAAATGTCTGAATGAATACATGTGACCATGATGTTTCAAAACAACTGTCTTGTGACTAAAACCAGACTTCAGTGGTTCTCATAAAAAGCTGCTGCTTGCAAAATCAGTTTCACAGGACAAAATGTAAACCAAAGTGTCCTGACATAATCCAGTGAAACTGATATGCCAGTTTAAAACCAGTCACAGCCTGAATTGGTGTCATTTACCTGACTCGCCCTTTATCTCTTAAGGCCCTTTATCTCATGGTGAAGCATGTCAGAGATAAATACTGTATGGAGTGAAACTCATCTGAGGGTAGACTTAGAGGACATTTGTTTAATTGGTTCCACTAAGGAAATGAGAAGGGTCATTGGCCTCGAGTACAAGACTCATGTCTATCATATGACAGAAACAGGGTAAAACTGGATCCATCACACAGTTAGGCTTTGTGATATAAATCACTTCACTCACAATATCATGAGAAACATGAAACCTTTACAAAGAATGAATGAATAGAGCTACGCCCAGTTTACCTTAGATCATGACCCGAGATAGTTTTAAAACTTCATTTTGGATATGCTTTTCTCTATGGCAAGCTGCTACTTCACCTCAAAATCAGTTCTTGAAACCTTTTAGTTTTGCTGTTTAGGAAGCCATATTTTCACAAACAAAAAACATTGAGTACACAAGAAGTGATGGACAGACAACTCAAGAGGCCTCAAGTGCAGCTGGGCTCAGATCCATCAAGTAGCTTTGCTTTGCTGCACATAAACTGGTGAATTCTAATCTAATTTTGAACCAGGCCTAACTTAGTTTTGAATTTGGCCAAGCAGCAACCTCCAGGGCTGGAAAAAGCCAGTGCATTAGTTCCAAAAAACTGCAGTTCCTTGATTGGCCTCTTGAGCAAACAAAACCATGACATAATCCCACATTCCCAAATGATAGACGTAGCCGTAGCTGTTGATTTTTCAGTGTATTTTTAGGTCATGAAAGGTAACGTTTTAGTCGCCTAAAAAGTTGTACTACAAGTTTGGTTTGGTTGTACTAAAAGACCCTCCAAAGAGTGGGATGTTCAGTTTTTCCAGTAAGTGCATTTTGTTTTATAGTTTTAATCCCTTTTTTGCTAGTGAAAATGATCACAGTTAACCATAGACTGTAACACCAGGCCCCGAGGAAGTGCGCCAGGCTTTAAAGCCAATTTTACCTGTGGCCAAACTACAATTTCCAAGTCTGTCAAGTGATGCCAGTTGAGCAGAACAACCTCCTTGAAGTGACTTGTTTCACTGTCAGAATTGCGCTTGCTTAATGGACCCAATGTTGCGGAAGCAGTGCTGATCATCTGGGTGATTTATACGCAGCAGTTGAACTATTTTGGCTTCATGTGCCACTGATCAACTTTCATAGGCATGAACAGAAGCCTGCCTCCAAAGCTGTATCGGGTCTCTTTATACATCCATGCCATACAGCCATAGATGCTAACCAAGCTAGCAGCTAGTGTTTATGCTGTTCACACAAAGAAAAGCAAAAGGCTACTAGTTATTTTCAGTGAGAGCTGGTGACATGAAGCTACAAACTGACACCCAACACTTGTCGCTGTTGACGGGGAGCTACGAATCAAAGTTGAGCTGGACTAAACTTTTTCAGCGTTCCAATGACTCGGCGAAGCGTCAACCAATCATATGTTTTTGTTTCTAGTTGTGGTACTGTGTTAAGCTTTGAGTGCTTTCACACCTGCCCTGTTTGGTTCAGTTCAATCAACTTCTTGAAGAGGTGGTCTCGGTCTGGCGGTTCATTTGTGGTGTTCCGACCTGGATGTGAAGCAACTGCAGTCACATGACACATTGTTTGGGTTAAACATGAGCATGTTACAGTCCTGGAGGATTATTAATGTGCACCTCCTCCTGTACTGCCTTAATATGCACATTCAGCACATCCAATGCATCAAAACATTGTTTTCTAGTTGGAGCCGCGCCTCGTTTTCAAACTGTATGGTTTGACTAAAATGAACAATGACAGCAATATAGTCCACGATGAGCAGCGCTAAAATCAACCTGCGTAGTTGTCCCTCCATTGTGACATTAGAAAGTGTCACATTTATCTTGCAAGCGTACTCTTCTTCAACGTTCGTTTTACTTCCTGGATTTTCCCACATGGAAATTCTGACCAATCAAGAGCAGCTTTCTTGCGCAAAGCATTTGATCTGGTCCTCTTGTAAATGCTGCCGTGAGAACACGAACCAACTCTAGACAATTATACAACTTTGTAACAAAATTAGTCACTGATTCAGACCAAAGCAAGACAACTCTAAGTCTGAAAGCACCCTTAGTGAGATGACGCTATGCTGCCTTTATGTGTTGCACATGGAGATATAACAGGGTGGCAAAATGTGTAAAATGGGGCTCAGACATTGATCAAAAGCCAGATTTTTTTGACCAAGTACAAACTTTAGATGGCAAGTAGCAGACACACACAAGCTTGTGATGATGTAACTGATCGTACAGCTTAAGAGATACGGCAAAGGTGGGAGAGAGAGGGGGAATGACATGCAGCAGAGGGCCGCAGGTCAAAATTGAGCCTTTGCCATTGCAAAGGCCTCAGCTTAAATGGGATGCACACTCTACTAGGTGAGCTAGAGGTCGTTCCAATAAACCATCATTTCCTCGAGTCTTAATTACAAGGTCAAGGTCAAGTTCCTTAGCGCTCACTGTCATTTTATTCACTAGCTTTTGTTTCAAATCAGTGGATTGCACTGAGCTGTCCTCAAACAGCTTGAATGGAAATCATCTTTACATTCACGTTGAAAGGAAAATAACTTGAACCATTCAGAGCGTACATTGGCCAAACAAACACCTCATTGTCTGTGTTTGGAGCTGTGATGCTGAACTTCACCGCTGCCATGATCATTTAGTTCGGCTTCATTAGAGAGAACAATGCGCCTTTACTGCCCCTGAACTCTTCTTACGAAACAAGTTTGGAGGCAACGTTCAGGGAGCTTGAACCCAGAAGAGCAACAGGAACACGACAGCTGAGTGTCTCCTGGCAGACGGGCTGTCTTCCATCGTAGTGCACCTTTAATGCGATTAGCCGTGGATTAGCCTGAGACACAGAGTGCTAGACCTCTGCTGCAGAACTAATCACAACAAGGCCTCCTTTAATCACTCGCTTCACATTTCCTCCAGAGTCTGAACCCGTAAACTCATCAGGGCTTCTGCAGCATTCACCAGGTTCAGTTTAAGACTTTAGGACCTTTTTCATCCCACATAGAAAACCATTCAGTAGCTTTTTGACTGTTGATACTACCTATTAGTAGGGATGATGAGGCCAAGATGTATTTCTTACCATATCACATTTTTTTCAGAACTTCTCTGCAGTTTATACCAATAATTTTCCTTTGATATGATTAATCAAATTATTACAACATGGACCCAGATGATTAGTGGAAAAATTAGAGATGGATTAATTAAATGATGACACCATGAGCTTCCCAGTTACTGTACCAAGTAGTAGTGATAGTGTTTGCAGATGGTCTGATGTCTCACTACAATACCACTTTTAGTTTTTGGGTAAATAGCTCCTGACAGACCACGGTCAAATAGAGGAGGTACTTTCTGAAATTAAATTTAAGACGTAAACTTAGTTCAGTGCTTTTTATGACCTATGATAACCTCTCCTCAGCTCACCCGAGGAAAATCAGAATTGGGGAATCAGTCACATCTTATGTGGGAAGTTAAAAAAAAAACCTTGTGTCTTCCTGATTTAGTTTATCTGCTGCTGAGTAACCAGTCACAGACCAGGCGCGTTGTTTCACTTGTGGTTTGAGCATCGTGTTCAGGCGTGAAAACCATGTGAGTCCATTTCTCAAGCCCTGCAAACAAGAGTGTTTATATATGTTGCACCACGTCCTCTCGTGTAATAAACCACTGCAGCTTCTGCTTTTTGCACAATTAAAACACCAATGACAGATTTTTCCTGCAAATGCATGGAAATATTTAACAGCAGGTCATCACACATTTTATACTAAAGCAGAGGGATCATCATGGGAGAGGTTTTGCTGTTTGTGCAAGTTCAAGCTGTGGTCAGGGTAAAGGCAGCAGGTGCCTCACGATTTTTCAACTCACCCCTGAGCCAACGTAACAGGAAGTGGTCATGCTGTGCAGGAAGTTGAGGAAGAATGTCTTGTATCCTCTCTCGAAACTGTTGACAGAGGAAGGACAGAAGAAGAGACGTGTGATTGACACATTTTGTTGATGAACCAAAAGAGGATTTGATGCAAGAAGAGACTTTGAGGGAAATTTTAGTCCTTACAGACATAGTTTTGAACCTATAGGTTAAACAAATGCAGCACTTTCCTTTGTTTAAAGCTTCTCACTGATCTCAGATTAGCAGGTTTTATTTCCTAACGCTGCTCAAACTTGTGACTAATTTATGTAATGTTTAACAATGGATGCCTGTAAAAATGTGTTGCATGGGTAGAAAACAAACCCACTTAGGTTTCACTACATGGCCTAAAGTATGTGGACACCTGTGTGAGGACACTTGAGCATTAGACCTGCAAAATAAACGGGAAAAGTTTTTTTCTTGGTACACTGTTTGGTTTGGCCCCAGTTTTCATAATTACATTGCTCGTTTTGTCGGACCAACAGTCAAACACTCAAAGATATTTAGTTTGCTATAATATAAGACGCAGAAAACCTGCAAATATTCAAAATTGACAAGCTGCAACCAATATATTCTTGTTATGGTTGCTGAGGAAAAGACTCAAAGAACTGTGAAACCACGAGCACTAATCTGCCTTTGCTCTTCTGGTTTTAGGTTTTTCTCAACATTTAGGAACCTGGCTGCAGGGATTTGCTCCCAGTCAGACACAAGAACATTAATAAGATGTTGTGCAACAAAGTCTGAGTCTCAGTCAACATTTAAATTCATCCCAGAGGTGTTGGATGGGGCTGAGGTCAGGAATCTGTGCAGACATGTCAGGTACAGTGAAGTGCACGGGTGCATTGTCATGTTGAAACAGGAAAGTTCCCAAACTGTTGCCACAAAGTTGGCAGCGCACTGTTGTCTAAATTATATGTATCATTATCAGTACTAACACATCCCAATTTGGGGTGCAGCAACTTCTCTTCACTGTTTAGCACGAGGCACTCTCTCTTGTTTATCACTCATACCTGTCCCCATAAAACAAGGGCAGGTAGGAACCAATTAGTTCATAACCAAGGGAGCACAATGACTCCACTTAAACACCGCACATGAAAATACATATGAAACAATACACGAAGTACTATAATGACAATGACATAATAATTTACCAGTAACTCAATAATGCTGAATCTGTTACTACTTAAATATAAATAATGTACCCATTAATAAATGACACAGTAACTTAAGTAATAATTAACCCAAAAATATAATGTGTGCCGTAATTATGGTTACAATACTATGAGCAGGTGCGTCCACACAGCTTTGGCCATGTAGATGCACAGCTAACAGATTTCCTCTCAAGTTCAGATAACTTTAGTTTTATGATGAATCACAGTAAATCTGACTATTTATAACTTATGAATCATGTGAAAACATTGGTGTGGAAGTGACCAATAAACACAGGCACTATAAAGTACAGACATAGGACAGCCTTTATAAAGAGTTTGCAGCCGATGACTTCACTGTGACGGCTGATACGTAATATAAAATGGGGGTGGGGGAAAAATCGATACAGCATAGTGGTGTGATATTTGTCTGACAGTATCATATCGTCACACAGTGCTAAGTATCGACTACAGAAGCTAATGTCCACTGCATTAGCTGCTGGAAAAAGAAACTGAAGTGAAATGAACAGACTGTCAACATCAGATTTATCTAATAAGAGTATAAGTTATAAGTTTTCAAAGTTTTCTTCAGGGGACATACATTGCAACATATTTAACATCACTATAATCATGAGTCATATCGTGACTCATGTATCATGATAATATCACATGGTGGATCCCCCTAATACAACAATGGCCTAAATAAAAAGTGCCCTGTATGTATGGCCCATCAAAGGTTCCAATCCAGCCCTCTAGATGACTTTGCACACCTAATATTAATGCACCTGAAGGCAGAGAAGTTTCAGATTTCAGGAGCAGTTTAAACAGTGAGTAGATACCTCATTTAAAATGCTATTAATTAACAATTGAAGTTTGACGGTACATTTGCGAATTATATTTTGTGTTAGTTATCTGAATCTGCAGTGTACCTTGGGATTAAAGATAACAAATAAAATGTAGCCGTAAAAAAGTACGACATCTGCTTCCGAAACATCGTGGGAAAGAAGTAGCAAAGAGTGGAAATTCTCATGTAAAGTACAAGTTACTTAAAGTTCTACTACAGTACTTGTAAATATAGTTACCTTCCACTTAGGGTTGCAGTGGTATGAGATTTTAACGGTTTGATTACCTTCTCAGAAAATATCATGCTCTCAGTTCTCTAAAATAACTATAAATACTTTTTGTGGTCAGATTTTAAAGATACTGAACATTGTCCGAGATATTGTCAACCAGCAGCTTCAGTACAAAAGAATCTGTATCAGACTTCTATCTTAAAACAGTGTAGTTGGGACCCTGCTGCTGAGGCACTGACAAAACTCCAGACTGTAAATGGTTTGTAAGGCAGGGGATGACTTGACCTGCTTCTTCAACTGCTTCTGCTTTAAAGGAAAATTATGAAAAAAGTGCACATGTAATGAAAGTGAGTAGTCGACCGATAATTTTTCTGAGGATATTGCAGGCTGTTCATCATCTGGTTTGTAAATGGATGTTTTCTGAATTAACTAATTTACACTTAATAAATTGAAGGAGTTTTTATTTATAGCTTATGATGTGATGGTTTCACTGGTCCGGCCCACTTGAGATCAAACTGGGCTGTACGTGGCCCCTGAACTAAAATGAGTTTGACACCACTCAAAAATGTTGGTTTCATTGCTGAGACTGCTGACAGCCTTGTATATGGGCCGCCTGCTCTATCCACTAAGCCACCAACGCCCCTCAAAGAGATTATAACAGAAATAGAGTTAAAGTCATCAAAAAGGAGCACTGTCATTTGCTGCCTTAGTTTTGATTGATAGTAATTGTGGCATCTTATTTATTAGACTAACAGTTAGAGTTTAAACACTTAATTGTTTCATTAATTAGCTAATAAACAGAAAAGTAACAGCAATTCTGGTTATCGGTTAATCATTTTTTAAATCCTTTTTTCCCTCCTTATTTAAGTGAAAATTACGCCCTTGCTTTGAGAAGGCATCCTACACTGAAGGTGTAACTAAAGGCTTTAGTAATTGTCCAAACATAAATAAATAAATAAATAATGTACCAAGGTTTTACAGATCAGTTACAGGCCATTAAAAAGAGGAGGTGACAGTTTAAAGCTGCAGCGTTTACGCAAGTAGTTGATTACCCTATCAACTAAATATTAATCTGCAATTACTTTGACAATCAATTAACAGTTTTAGTCATTTTGAATGGGACTAAATGAGCTACAGGAATAGATTTTCCTGGGCTGTGGGGAATTTTAAAGGCCATTGTTCGCTGTTTTCTGAGATTTTACACATTAATTCATCGCTTACTCAAGAAGATAATGAAAATAATTATTAGTAGCAGTCCTGTGAAAGTCAACAGTTATTAGAAACCAAAAGTTGTTCTCGGTAAAAACTTATAACTGATCTATAAAGCATTATTAAATGATTAGTTAACATTTATAAGTATATAATTACAGCTTATAAGCTCTTTATAAAGGGTAGTTTATTAGAAAGAGGTACCAGAGCTTATATAATCAATATTGTTGCATCCTGCACAAAACTTTTCAGCTCTCTCTAAAAGCTCCATTGTACAAATTCAATAGCATTTTTTAAAATATTTTTCTAGTTTATGTTCTTGACTTTTGCAGCTTTTGACTTTTATTTCCCCTTAATATGTTAATTATATGCAGCAAATTCCTTGTGAGTGAAAACCTACTGGGCAATAAACCTTATATTGATTTTTATGCAACAGGTGCAGAGACACCAAGAAGGAGAATTATGGTATAGTGACAGGCCTCTTCAATATACAGCACAATTATTAATAATGTTATTATAGCAGCACTCACCTGCTCCAGCGCCTCAGCCTGTTTAGGACTGAGGTCCCCGAGTCTTCCGCTCATGTCTCGACCAGCAGATGCCTCACGGATCCAGACGGAGCTGCTTCAAAGACAAATGAACGGACTGACGCACCGAGAGAGAAACAGCACCGTCACCGTGAACCGGGACAGGCGGATTCTGTCGTTAACGCCTCCCCATGATGCTCATTCGCTTCCCGGCTGCAGTGTCGTGTTGTCCCCGCGGTCAGCTGCCTGTAGGTGGCTAAATGGTGAGAGGACGATGAAAAAATGTAAACACGACACGAAACGCCCATCAGAGCTCCAGTCCAACCAGCTGACTCGACCAAAGATAGGAGGAGACATGACAGGAGGATCACTCCTGGCGAAAAGGAGGAACCAAAGAGAGGAGAAGCCCCGCCCCCTCTACAAACTACAAACTGTTTGCATCTTTAATTTCTCCTAGTTATTTGGGATCAGTAGGACCTGATAAGTATAAAAAACCTAAAAATAGTCAACAATAATAAAGTCCCAGTGTCCTCAAACAAGTACTTCCTTATTAACAGTGTCTTAGCTTGTTACTGTTGCTAAAATGTGCTAATAATTTTGTTGCCATAGAAAACTACAAACATATCAACTAGTCTATACAGTTTCCGTGATTATGTACAGCATACCATACCATGACTTAGTCATACCAAAAATTTGAAAAAAACAACAACATTGGTCCACAGGGGGAGCCACAGCAATCGGTCGCATTTTAGCCATTTTGAAGCATTTTTCTGTTGTTATAGCGCCACCCAGTTGCCAATTAGAGTTAAATTTCTCCAGTCACCTTGAGGCGTCCTGTTCTACATATCTACCAAGTTTAGTAAAAATCCATATGGCGGTTAGGCCTAGATAAGAAATTAGCTCTCTAGCGCCCCCATTTTGTTTGATGGGGTCAATAATGGAGGGACCCCCTCAGATTATGTGTGGTCATATGCCTACAAAGTTGCGTGGTGATGGGTGAAACCCTTGAGATGTTATACACCTTTATGTGATGAGCCACGCCCTCCGCAATATTCATTGCCTTATAGAAGCTCAGTTTTAGCAAGTTTTCCAACTTTTGCCAAGAGGGAACTTTAGGTATTGGTCCCTAGATTATGTTCACAGAGTTTCATGCAGATCGCTCAAACTTCCTAGGAAGAGATCCATTTGAAGTGTTTTTCAAAAAATTCAAAATGGCGGAAAATCTATATAACCGGAAGTTATGGGTTCTTGAGGCAAATGTGTTCCTCATGAGGAGAGGCATCTCTGTGCAAAGTTTCATGTCTCTACGACATACAGGGCATGAGATATGCCCATTCAAAGTTTGCAATTTCAATCGGTTGCTATAGCGCCCCCCTTTGGCCAATTGATGTAATATTGCTTCATTGGCATCCTCCCATGACCCACTACCACTGTGCCAAATTTCACATGGATTGACCAAGTCAGTGAGGAGAAAAACGTGGAACACACACAGACAGAGTTTTCATCATTAAATAGTAAAGTATTACCCTGGAAATCCAGAGTTCTCAGGAGAGCACAATTTGCATTTGCTCAGCGAGTCACTCTGGCAATTAGTAATGATGCTCATTACCCATGCTCTTGGAGCCGAGCTGCACCAATCACATCGTGTATCTGATATAGGCGGGCCAGAGGCGAGCTAAACAGATGACGACAGCGCTGTGACGACGAAGTCCGGAATCAGTCAGTAAACATTGCAAGATGGCTACGGATGAACACCAGCTGTTTGAAACGGCTTTGGCCGCTACAATGAATGAGTTAGACTTGGCTTATTCTCTAAAAGAGGAACAGAAGTTTTTGCTGTTTTGCCGGATACGGCAAGAGTCTAATCTACCAGTTAGCTCCGCTGGTAGCTAAGCTCTGGATACGTCACCCCGTGTATTGTTCTGATTGGTCGTAGTGTTATCCAATTGCGTGCAGTGATATTTACAAATGCATGCTTGGTGCCGCCCCTCGAGTTGGGCCATTTGCATTACTCATAGCCAGACCCTAAATCTTTCTAGATTTGGGTCTGGATTTCCAGGCTAGTAAAGTATACCTTGTCCACTTTTGTGTCGGGATCGGCTTAAATGGCTGCCATCTTGTTTTCACATGGATTAGTGTATTGTGCTCTTTCTACCACTAGATGGCACAAAAAGTGTCCACGAACAAGGACAACAGGTCTGAGTTAAGTAGAATGAAGTATGAGGTCAATTTTTAAGGTATACTGTTTTATGAAAACAGACTGTTTTCATACCGTGGGCTTTTGTTTATCTGATGTAAAAATGTAACCAGATGGAGAATCCCACCTGTGTGTCATTTACTTTCTGTATTCTATTTCATTTTCATCACAAAAGTTACATTTATAAACACACTAACAAACATGCACAGCTCAAAACAAACCACAGTCACATATTTTGGTCTTGTAAAGTGATAATTGACTTCTGGGAAAAATGTAGTGAATAAAAATGTCCAATATCTTTGGCATTTCTTTAGATAAAAACCCACTAGTCCTGTTACTTGGAAAAATACCACAAGAGATTAATGAAAAAGATTCTCACTTGTTTTTAATAATCTGGGTAGCAGTGACATACCTTCACATTCTCTAAACTATTATAAGCACAAAACAAATTCAAGGATATTTGACAAAGCAGGTCAGGATATGAGAGGATGTGGGACAGATACGTAGCAACAAAGCAAGTTTTTAGGTCAGGTAGTTTCTCAGTTTGAACTTTTTTACTTAGTGTTGTTTATTGCAGGACCCAGAGCACTGGAGAATGTGAGAGGGCACAAATCATCTATTTTAAATAATAAATAATAATCCCCTTAGCTTCACTGTCATCAAATGCTTGATTGAACACATATGTAGTCATTATGTTAAGAGACTGTAACTCAGTCACTCATAATCTAATGAATTAAGAGAGGAAAACTATTTAACTCAATTATGGCATTTGGTGAAATTAATTTAAAACATGCTACAAAATCAAGCACTGGGTTTATAGCACAGTTGACGAAATTGTGGACAAACTAGTGAGTGATTCATCGCCAAGTAAAGACAATAGACAATCTTTGGTGTGAATCCGAAAATCTCGCACATGCGCGTGTGCAGGAAGAAATTTTAAAAGTAATTTTTTTTAAAATTATATTATTTTATTCAGTCATCGAATTGTTCCCATCAGTTACTACCATACTTTTTGAAACTAATATTTTTTTTTCCCATTTCAGTAAAATTTCCTAAATTACTAAATTACGCAAGGGCTCAAAGGAACAAATAAAGGTTGTTTCGTTTTTTCAGAGCTCACTTACACATAACATCGGACAATGGCAGTAAAAATTAAGTTCTTCTTGTGTTAACAGATGTGAAACGCCGCTCTTGATGTTTTAAACAACGCTTTAGCGGTACTTATAGTGGGTCTGAAACGTGGCTTTAAAGCGAAAAAGGAAGTACGGGATTGTACTCTCTCAGTGTTACATTCGTCTTTGGTTTTATAAAGTCAACGATCAACAATTTAAATCTAAATTAACGAAATAACCACTTATTTCATGCTAAATTTGTTGTTTGTTATATATTTAGGTTAAATAACTATATTATTTCTAATTTATTAAATTATTGGACTTAATTTCCGTGCGTATCTGCCAAGATAATAATCCTCCCGCTTCTTCCGGTCGGACCTGGAAGCTGCCTTTCGTTGTTTACATCCTTTGAAGGGTCTGGTCCAGCTAACAGGCGAACAAAACGCTAGCAGCCTTTCCAAAATGACGGGTAACAGCTGATCGGCTTCATGTATTTATAATATTTATTATCTGTGTTGTCTCTGTGTTGTTGTCCGGGACATGGCCTCAGCTCGCTGCCACTGCTGGCTCTGGGTAACGATGCCGCTCGTCCTGCTGCGGTGGCCGGGGCTGCTGGTCGCGGCGGAGCAGGTCGCTCTGGTGGAGGTCTTCCTCGAGCAGCGGCCCGGTGTCAGCGCTCTGCTCCAGGGGGAGGTGGTGGAGTCCGGCAAGGGAAGCAGGAGCTCGGAGCACCTGGAGGAGGAGCGAGAGGAGCTGGAGGGAGAGCTGGTCCTGGTGAGTCGGTCGGGATTGCATCTTGTTGTGGACCTTTAATAAAAGGGCAAATTTGGGTCAACACTGGGAGATGTGACTATTATGTTTGTTTGTTTTTAACAATAGATGAATCATGTAGTCTATAAAAGACAAAATGGCAGAAAAATATGAAACCAGAGCCCACTGTAATGGCCTTTATTTTTTTATATCAAATATAATAATATATCCAATTTTAATTGTCAAAACTATTCAACAACGTGTTATAACCCCATGAAATTAAAATATACACATTCATGTCAAACATCTCAGAGAAACTGTACAAATGTCTCAGTAAATGTACATCTCTGCATGGGAAAATAATTATACACATTAAGAAAGTAAACAGATATATGAGATATAAAAGAATTATAATAATATAGTGTGATTTTTAAGTGAAATATCTGATAATTTCACAGTTTATTTACCAGCTGACATCATTGTAAGCAGCAGGCATACTGCCATTTTCAAGTTTGAAATAGTTTTTGATTTAACGGAGTGAATCAAAGAGGTTTTGTTTGAAATTAAATTAATTTTAGTCCACCTGAAACCTCCTCACGCTCTTAAGTCTCTATTTTCTTTGATTTTTCTTCTCTTCAGAGATTATTTTTATTTTTTTCTAATTCTTGTTGAATGCTTTGTTTCTGTTTACATATGTTTCAGAGCCGATGCCGATACTGATTATTATGAAACAGAGATACCAATAGCCGATATTTACAACAGATATATGTCTGCCGAAAAAGTCATAGTCACACACGCACACACACACACTCACACTTACACACAAGCATAAATTCAGAGACTGTAATGGTGAGGACTAAACAGTAGCAGGCTATTATAACAGCAAAAACAGTAAATGAGGAAACGCTATCATGAGTAAGGAAACTCCAGAGGCAGGATAAAATCTCAGAATAAAGAACGAAGATCTTTCAATAAATAGGAAAATAAATAAGTTAAAAATAAATAAATAAGTAACCAAGTTGAAGAATATGCCAGCTAAATAAAAACAGATGAATAAAAATAAACAAATAAATACACAATAATCATAAATATAAAATTTAAAAAAATAAAGTGAAAAACAATTTTAAAAAAATAAAATAAAATAAAATAAAGGAGAGCTCAATTAAAAGCCAGGCTAAAAAGGAAGGTCTTGAGTTTGCTTTTAAGAGCCTAGAGTGGTATGTGCAGGCAGTGAGAAGCACGCCAGGGGGAAAATGGCGCAGCTAAGGAAAACAAAACTGTATATCGGCATATCTGTGGAAAAAAATCACTGATACCAATAACCCTAAAAATTCATAATATCTGCCAATTATCAAATGATATTTCTGTTGTACAGCCAAACCTGTAAAATTATAAAATCTGTGGAGCCTGTCTGTCTATTCGTGTCTGTTGTTTGGTCTGTCTCGTCCGTCTTGTCTGTCTCGTCCATTTGTCTATCAGCCCGTGTTCCTTACTATCTGATGATCATCTCATACATACATAAGCAGGTGCGGGGTGGGGGGCTTGGGCGACTAAATCTGTTCTTTTTTTTGTTTTGTTTTGGATTTGTTTTACGTTTTTTGTTTGTCTGCTTACACCTTGTCTTGGTTTCGGAGTGGTGATGCCTGCCTGTAAATGCACCAATTGAATAAAGGGGGAAAATAAATAAATAAACAAAACAACTTTTAAAAAATGAAATGAAGGCCACATGTGGATGAGAAGCTTTAAATAAGCATGCCTCTTGCCTCTGAGCAAGGCAGCTTTCAGCACAAATGTTCAGCCTGTTTTCTGTCCCCAGGTCCAGAGCGAGGAGACACAGCTGAGCGGAGGAAAAGGCGACGATGACACCAAAGAGCAGGAGCCGTGGATCGGGGTGGTGCCTGTGGAGATGGACGACAGCAAGGCCTCCACTGGAAACCAGGAGTCCTTCGCTGATGCGATGGTCAATAAAGTAAGAGGTTCAGTTTGCTCTGTATCTGTAGTGAATTTTGTTCACACTGACATATTTAACATGTATCCTCTTTGTTTAAGATGAAGCGAGCGCTGGTCCTCGGAGCGTCTGCGCTGATCATTCTGGCTCTCAACCAAAACACTGTCAGTGAGGTAAAATGTGCATTATATTGATTTTGGCTGGAAACACTATTTGGGAAAACGCCAGAAACCTGGCTGTAAAAATGAAGCTTAAAAGACAATTTGTGCGGGTGATTTTATTAACCTACAATCCTGCCTCTTCCTGTTGCAGATGGATCTGTCTCAGGTGCTGTCCAAGCCCATCATAGTGATCCAGACATCTGAAAATGTCACCAAGCTGATCGGCGCTCTGCTCAGGTACAGAACACGTTATTATTTATCACTGCTGACATGGAAACTGATATTTTCAAAGGCACCTTTTCCTCATGTCACTGATAAAAAGCAACAACACACAGTTTCTGGTTTAATAAATCAGATAAGTCAGTGTCATGTGTCACGTGTTTCCTCAGTGTGAAGCTGTGGGCAGAGATCACACAGTGCTTTGACATGCAGACTAGTAATTCAGCTACAGTCAGTTTAAGGCAACATTAATGTTCCAGCTGTTCACTGAGCATGCATTTTTCCTGGGAACTATTTATTTTATTGCACATGTAATGTGTGTTTGGAAACATACACGTGAATGTGTAGTATTATGTAAATACTTGGTCTAATATTCCAATAATGGAGCATCAGGTAATCAGAGCAAAATGTAGCCTCAGATTGACTGTTACTTACCAAATTAAATCATGACTAGTAAAGTTTAGTTTATTTTCCTAAATGCGTAAATGTTTGTTTTAAGGAAGGCATATCTTGTTGGCTCGTTTCTCACTTGCAAAGATCAGAGGACGATGTCTGTCTTTTGCAGGCTAGAAGCTGCATTTGTATGTGTACTGTATAAACAGTGTATATAGTGGTGGTGTTTCCAAAACAAAGATGTTGTGTTGTCACCAGTATTGAACATTGTGTCAAATGATAATCAGCAGTAATTCTAAGCCAAAATCAGAGTAATCATAACTTCAGTCAGTGTGTCATTAATCTAATAACTGTTTCCAGTGCACAACTTAGTCTGATTTTTATATCTCAGGAACACTTTGAGGGAATTTCTTCAAATTTGGCACGAACATCAACGTGAACTCAACAATGAACTGATTGGATTTTGGTGGTCAAAGGTCACAGTGACCTCACAACACATGTTTTTGGCCACAGCTTGAGAATTCATAAGCTAACTATGACAAAACTTCACACAAATGTCTAACAGGATAAAATGATCAAGTGATGACATTTTATCTCCAAAAGGTCAAAGGTCAGCTTTACTGTGACATCACAATGTTCTGCATAAACCCCTTTTCTGGCCATTATTCAGTGTCATATCTCAGGAAAACAATGGGAGACATTTGGTCAGATACCGAACTGGTGACACTAATCTTGGGTGTCCATCTTGAAACTGTGCTGATTACACAGATCAGGGGGAGGCATCCTGCGGCTCTGGTTATCTGAAAATAATAACAGTAATGTTGGAGGCCTAAAGGGATTATTGCATTCTACAACTGTAAAAATGTGCAGCCTGTACATTGATTTAAAAAACATTTCATTAGCTAAAATGTGCATCATACTTCTACGACCTGGTGCTTTTCCTCTAAATTTTGCAGAACTTTAGTAGCAGAGTCTCTTTAGCGAGGCTAGCTATAGATTCCAAATCCAAAAAAAGACAAAGTCTCGGAGGAGAATAGAGGATTTAATAGTGTGTGGATAGATTCATTTGCTTTCACCACCAATGCTGCAAAGTTAAAGTACTAGGTTGGTGGCACTGGGTTGGTTGAAGGTGGCAGTGCTGTTTGGGCTGAAAAAGCCATGCGTAAGTAAGGTGTGCTAGGAAAGGTAATGTCAGCACTGCTTCTACCTGGAGCTTGCATAAACGGAGCCTGGGTTTGTTGAAGGTGGTGGTGCTGTTTTGGCTGAGAAAGCCATGTGGAAGTAAGGTAAAGGAGGTTGTTGAGTTGGTGCGGGGAGCAGTGAGACCTGGCATTAGGGGAGTGTCTCTGGGACGCCAGAGATCACTGTCTAGCCTCCTGGAGGTGTTGTGGGACCAACTAGATGAAACACTTGTGAAAGGAGGTTCCCTCCTGATGACCTCAAAGACATGTTAGTTATCACTGCTCACTGGTCTGTATAGTTAAGCCTTGCCATAACAGCTTACCATAGGGCTTAGGAGGTTATTCACTGAGTGCTGATCCTAGAGCACAAACTTCTTGTGTTTATTTGAATAATTATAAACAGCCCACTGCAGAGGAGCCTACTTGTAGTAAAGCACATAAATGAATGTTTATTAAGACTGCTGATTTAGACTTAATAGGCTGTCACCTTTATTCAAATATGTTTTGCAGCTCCAGACAGATTTTTGTTTCTTTTTTTGGCCAATAATGCTCTTTTAATTGTAAAAGTTGCCGACCCCTGATACAGATCTTCTGTGCTGTCGGGTTTTTGATGTGTGTGAAGCATCCACGTTTTTGTAACGTCTTTGCAGCAACATCCATATTTAAAGAATGGTCTACTGTCATGGCCACAAGTTTGTGTTCTGTCCTGTTCCTCTGATACCCCAAGCTCATTGGTTTTGCTGATACTGAGCTTTGAGTGATTGTAATAAGATGTTTCCTGTTGTCAGACACTAGCTTTCATCCAAGATCAAGCTCAAGATTAACTTTATTGTCCCACAGAGTGGGCAATCTGTCTTTAGCTCTACACCCATGCTGCAACCATAAAAATACAACATACAACATAGTGCATAGACAAATCCACATTATAGACCAAACGTAGCAATACATGAGAGTAAAAGACACAAAAAGATATATAAATAAGTAACACGACACGTTAAAAACAAATCTGTTCAATCTGAAACGAGGTACTCTAATCTCCTATCAGAGGGCAGCAGCTCTATGACACATTCATGGATTATCAAAGAAAGAAAACATGTAAGCTCATGTCAATGCTACCATAATCTGTTTATTCACAGTGGTCATGTTAGTGTGTGTAAATGTAATGACTGTGGATCTTTATTTGCACTAAATGACAGTCCTCTCTCTTCAGGGGTCTTCAGGCGACGGCAAAAATCACATACAAGACGATCCTGCAGGACAACCTGGTGAGCTCCTCCGTCTATCAGCTGACAGTGTGTTTCTCAGTTGTTAGCACCCTCCAGTGGTGAGTGAACAGGTGACAGGCTGAGCTGACAGTGAGCGCATGCTGCTGTGTGTTCGGGCAGGGAGCCACGCTCACGCTGTGGTCCAGCTGCGGTCGATCGAGAGGAGGTCGCTATGGAGAGTGGCAGGGGGTCATCTGCACGGGAGAGACCAACTCTCAGGTTCAGGTGGGGGAGCTCAACCAACACCACTTCTAGTTGTTTATTTATTTAATGCACAACAATTAGAAGCAGTCACTGGCAATGACAAGTTTGACAAGTCTCAGACACAAAAACAAGGAATAAAATATGACTTTAACTAACTAACTAACTAAATTAGGTAGTAATTGCAAATGAATGAAACAGGATGTAAACAGGAATGAAGAAAATGTATTTGCATAATGATAGATAGACACAGTGATGTAAACTGTCGTAAAACAGGAAAAAATGTATATAGAAATTAAAGTGACGGAAGTTGAGGAGGAGCTTGAGACAATGCAGCAAGCCTCAACGCCATCTTACTCCACCATCAGCCTTGTTAACATATTTCCTTAAAGGTACTTCTAGGACTTCAAGGTCCAGTGTGTAGGAGTTCGGGGGATATATTGGCAGAAATGGAATATAATAAGTTTGTTTTCTTTAGTGTAAAATCATCCATCCATCTATTTTCAACTGCTTATCTGGGACTGTGTCATGGGGCATCAGGCTGAGCAAAGCACTCCAGACGTCCCTCTCCCCAGCAACACTTTCCAGCTCCTCCTGGGGGACCCCAAGGTGTTCCCAGGCCAGATGAGATATGTAATCCATCCAGTGTGTTCTGGGTCTGCCCCAGGGCCTCCTACCAGTGAGAGGTGTCCGGAACACATCTAACAGGAGGCGCCCAGGCAGCATCCTGATCACATGTCTGAACCACCTCAACTGACACCTTTCGACGTGAAGGAGCAGCGGCTCTACTCCGAACTTCCTCCAGATGTCTGAGATCCTTACCCTATCTTTAAAGCTGAGCCCAGACACCCTACAGAGGAAACTTATTTCAGCCGCTTGTATCCACGATCTCATTCTTCCTCCTTCTTCCTTAACCTCATGACCATAGGTGAGGGTTGGGACTTAGATGGACCAGTAAATTAAAAGCTTCGCCTTTCAGCTCAGCTCCTTCTACACCACAACGGTCAGGCACAGTGCTGGCATCACTGCAGAAGCCGCACCAAACTGTAGATCCATCTCACGCATCATTCTACCTTCACTCTTGAACAAGACCCCGAGATACTTGAACTCCCTCGCTTGGGGCAGTAACTCACTCCCAATCCAGAGAGGGCAATACACCGTTGTCCGGCTGAGAATCATGGCAGTGTATAATCACTTGAAAATAAGAATTGTTGTGTATTTGTTACCTTAGGATGAGCCGTTTATATCTATATAGAGAGAAGGTCCTTGTCAGTGGAGATCGCTGTGTTTCTACAGTAGCCCAGAAAGGACAAACCAAACACTGGCTCTAGATTGGGTCATTCACATTTTTTCATCAAGCAGCGTAATTAGAAACCCCTCTGAGACAAGTAGCATCGGAAAAGCACTTGAATTTTTTAACGTGAAACTGCTTTATTCAGCATTTTTACTGGTTTACATCACCTGGTCTGTTTCTTTTGGAGAGGAAGCGACATCTGTGGATAATTCAGCTCCCAGTAAAAAAAAAAACCCTGAACGGTAACTCTTACTGTGCGTTCACACCAAAAGCATCATGAGCGCCAGCGGTCACTCAGGTTGCTGGCATCGCGCTGCCTGGCAGCAGCTCCAGCAGGCGCTTGTAGCGGCCAAAGGGGCGGGGCCGGCTGCTGCAGATGTGTCCATCAAGGCTGACACGGCTGTTCACTTTACAAGGATGAACAAATATATCATTTATGTCTTCACTTTGTATTATCCATGACTTTCATTGCACAATTAAAATAACGCTAATAAACACAGTCAATATAGAGTCCTTTATAATTACGATTTTACTCTCCTGTTGGCACGTAGGACCACTGAGAAATGTAATTGGTGGTAAATAAGCGGGAGCTCATTAATCACACTTTCGGAAGCCTCCTTTGTACTGCATCAGCGTATTTGCTGAGGAAACACAGGGCCCGGAGCCGTCGGGCCGTCTGGGTCCACAGACTCCTGCAAACCCGGCAACTCCACGGTGAATTTCACCGGCTCGTATAGCCCCGGGAGAGCCCAGACCTCCGTATCCGAATCCCGGTCTGCAATTGGCTGCTGCTTCGGCAGCGGCGCTGCTCATTTGCATAAAGTTCAGCTTCTCTCAACTTCTACTTGACGCTCTGGTCACTGGCATCGCGCCGCTCTCTGCAGCTGACGCCCCTGACGCCCTTCGTAGCAAGCGTACATTGCTTTTGGTGTGAATGCACAGTTACCTGGAGAAGTTTCAGCTGGCTGCAATCTGCAGTCCCCACCACTAGATGTCACTAAAACCCCCTAAGTCGTACACCCTGGACCTTTAAGGACCTTCATAAAGGTCTGTTTATAGGTCTAAAAGTTTTGTAGAGTCTTTTGAGGCTCATCCAGAGAGACCTGTGTGAAATCTAATGAACTCCACCAAGAGTCAGCGTTGGTTTGGTCTGTCTGGACTTTTTCTCAAAATAATCCTTTAGCTATAACCTTTCAAAACATTAACTATTATTATTCTAATTCTACTTGCAATTTTATTTTGATTAATGTAGTAATAAAATAAGCTTTGAGAATCCTATTACAAAAACCAAGATATAAATCACATTACAAAAATACAATTTCCAGTGCAGATTTAGTTTCTGGTTCATAATCAGCAGCTTATTTGCATTTTCTCGCCCTCTCTATTTCTCAGAAACATATTCAGAGTCATGTTGTGCCACAGGCTGATAAACAGAGTGTTATTTAAATGAACTTTAAAGGAGCCAGATGATAAATTAATGTTGCTCTTCTCTGTGTATCTGCAGAAATACCTGCAGCAGCTGTGGGACACTGTTCTCCTGGTGGCTCTGATCCTCAGCACCGGCGTCATCGTTCAGGCTCGCTGGCAGTACCAGGACCACCAGCTGAACGATGACTTGGAGGTAAACTCTGCCCGTACTGCTGATATTATCACAGGTCACACTGTGGTTTTCCAAGCAGTTTCACACTTGACAAACTTATCTTAAGATATTCTGTGCTTCAGATTTTTGTCCTGTTGGCCAATACATAGGACGATAAACAATAGTGGAAAGTAACAAAGTACATTTACTCGAGCACTGAACATCAGTACAGTTTTGTCCACTTCTTTTTGGTTTGATTTACAGACCTTTAAAAACATTTTGATTAAAATATCACACTAACAAAAGACTAGTATATTACTTTTTTTTTCTTTTAAATCAATTATATAAATTATTATTATAACAAACACAAATTTAATTTTAGGTAGCCTTTTTCCGTCCACTAGAAATATTTTGCTGCACAGAAAAGGAAAAAAAAGTAAAACAAAAAACAAGGCTGAATTGAGATCAATAGACTGAAAACTTTTATCTTATTAGATAAAACAGATGTTGACAAAGTTTTCCTTTGGGGACATTATTTGCAGTTGAAAAGAGGTAATAAATTGCAGTATATTGTAATATATTTTAGCGCAATACTCAGCATATCACAACAAGTTTAAAATCGCCATATTTGTTGCACATTTTAATTTATTTTAACATTATTTATATGTTGTGAAACTTTTTCTACAACTTGTATCATGGAAATCTGGAACACACATACTCCATGAAATGAATATATATTTAATAAACCTGAATTTAATAAAAATACATATCATTTTGACTTGAGTGTTTACGTTTTCTGCAACAGTTTTGGGGTAAATATTGTACTTTGAGTAACCTTGCAGATTCAGATTGGGTAAAAAAATAAAAACATAAAACAACTAACATATTGTATTGTATAGTATTAGTGTATGTTAAGATAAGTCTGTGCTCCTTGGGGGAAATTTAAAAGCCACCCTGCAGTATATAAATTATTTGAAAAGAGCCCCACCTTCACTAGCGGCAACTTATTATTATCCGATAATATAATATACATAATTCTGTTACTTTTGGGACTTTAAGTGTGTTGTGATGGTAAAACTTCTGCAGTAAAATTTTGAATGCATGGCTTTTACACTTCTACAGAGTATTCTTACAATGTAGTGTTGCTGCCTGAGTTAACTTACAGCTGTTTTATCATAAATATGTTTTATTGGCCAAAATAATTATATTTTGCTGTTCTTGTTTTGGTAAAATTATATTTAATACCTACATTTGTGCACACAAATTATTATACATTATATAAATGCACTGTAAAAAACTAATACACTATACACAAAAATATGAAATAAAAATACACTATTTTTTTAATGCAAAATTCTATTTACTCGAGGCACAGCGCAACAGTGCTACATATACAGTTACCTGAAGTGTTAGCTTGCAGATATTTTCTGTTAACACACTTGTTTTCTCATAGATTAACATATTTGAACTATGCATATCATGAGTTTGTTGTGATCTAAAGAGTGATTAAAGAAGCTCAGACACAGACATAAATGTTTATTTTACACCATAAGTCAAGGTTTCCATATGTACTTAAAAGTATTCGTGCTTTGTGATACACTGTTGTTTCAGTGTTCAAACAGCAGTTAAGTTGTACAATGTGGACACACAGTGTCTTGTGTCCTTGTACAAAGGATGTGTTTTGTCCTTGTTTAGGTAACATGTGGTGTGATGTCCTGCTGTGTTGTCTTCTTCAGCTCTTTCCTAAACAGGATGTCCTGAAGAGAATGTCGTCCTTGAAGACCAAAACATATCGTCAGCCCAAGCCATGGTGTGACCCGTCCCAGTCGGGGGAAACAGACAACTGTGCCGTCTGTCTAGAGCCATTCAACAACAACCAGGTCAGCCAGCACTCCTACGTACACACACTGATATAGACTTAGCTGCGTTGTCTCTGTGGCTGAACTCATCCAGGCAAGTGGAGAAGTGGGTTTATAATGTGAAAAATACTCTTCATACACCTTTGTATTCTGCCACTGGTTTGGCTTTTAGGGTTATAAAAATGTTGAGCCATACAGGCTATGTGCAGGACATGTGATTCTGCAGTGAGATGATATAAACTGTTGGTGTGTCATGTGTTGTGGTCTCAGTGTTTGCGGGTGCTGCCGTGTCTCCATGAGTACCACAGAGATTGTGTGGACCCCTGGCTGCTGCTGCATCACACCTGTCCGCTGTGCAAACGCAGCATCCTCGGTGAGTTCAGTTACACAACACCATCTGTAGATGCTTGTCTGATGCAGGTTTTTAAAGAGTAAATGAACACCAGACTGACAGACAATCAGTTTTAACATAAATGTACTCTTTTTCACCTGTAACCACACCCAGTGGTGATGTCACAGTGTCCAGAAGTACATCTGTACATCACTGCAACAAGGCAAAACATGAAACATACTATACTGTGACTTTTTTCCATCATTTTGGACGACATACTATACTATGACTTTTTTTTCATCATTTTAGACGACATGCTATACTATGACTTTTTTTTTTCATCATTTTAGACGACATACTATACTATGACTTTTTTTCGTAGTTTTGGACGACATACTATACTATGACTGTTTTTCATAGTTTTGGACGACATACTATACTATGACTTTTTTTCATCATTTTAGACGACATACTATACTATGACTTTTTTTCATAGTTTTGGACGACATACTATACTATGACTTTTTTTCATCATTTTAGACGACATACTATACTATGACTTTTTTTCGTAGTTTTGGACGACATGCTATACTATGACTTTTTTTCATCATTTTGGACGACATACTATACAATGACTGTTTTTTTTTTCATGATTTTGGACAACATACTATACTATGACTTTTTTTTTTTCATCATTTTGGATGACATACTATACTATGACTTTTTTTCATGATTTTGGACGACATACTATACTATGACTTTTTTTTCATCATTTTGGACGACATACTTTACTTTGACTTTTTTCATATTTTTGGACGACATACTAAACTATGACTGTTTTTTCATGGTTTTTCACGACATGCTATACTATGACTTTTTCTTCATGATTTTGGATGACATACTATACTATGACTTTTTTTCATGATTTTCAACGACATAATTTTGGACGACATGCTATACTATGACTTTTTTTCATGGTTTTTCACGACATACTATACTATGACTTTTTTTTCATGGTTTTTCACGACATACTATACTATGACTTTTTTCCATGATTTTGGACGACATACTATACTATGACTTTTTTCCATAATTTTGGACGACATGCTATACTATGACTTTTTTCCATCATTTTGGACGACATACTATACTATGACTTTTTTTCATGATTTTGGACGACATACTATACTATGACTTTTTTTTTTCCATCATTTTGGACGACATACTATTCTATGATTTTTTTTACATGATTTTGGACGACATACTATACTATGACTTTTTTTTTTTCATCATTTTGGACGACATACTATATTATGACTTTTTTTCATGATTTTCAACGACATAATTTTGGACGACATGCTATACTATGACTTTTTTCCATCATTTTGGACGACATACTATACAATGACTTTTTTTCATGGTTTTTCACGACATCCTATATGCTATGACTTTTTTCCATCATTTTGGACGACATGCATGACTTTTTTCCATGATTTTGGACGACATACTACACTATGACTTTTTTTCATGGTTTTTCTCGACATGCTATACTATGACTTTTTCATGATTTTCAACGACATCATTTTGGACGACATACTATACTATGACTTCTTTTCATAGTTTTGGACTACATGCTATACTGTGACTTTTTTCATGGATTTGGATGACATACTATACTATGACTTTTTTCCATGACTTTGGACGACATACTATACTATGACTTTTTTCCATGATTTTGGACGACATGCTATACTGTGACTTTTTTCCATCATTTTGGACGACATGCATGTTTTCATGATTTTGGACGACATGCTATACTGTGACGTTTTTTTCATAGTTTTGGACGACATACTATACTATGACGTTTTTTCATGGTTTTTCACGACATACTATACTATGACTTTTTTCCATCATTTTGGACGACATACTATACTATGACTTTTTTTCATGATTTTGGACGACATGCTATACTATGACTTTTTTCCATCATTTTGGACGACATACTATACTGTGACTTTTTTTCATGGTTTTTCACGACATACTATGACTTTTTTTCATGGTTTTGGACGACATACTATACTATGACGTTTTTTCATGGTTTTTCACGACATACTATACTATGACTTTTTTCCATCATTTTGGACGACATGCATGACTTTTTCATGATTTTGGACGACATACTATACTATGACTTTTTTCCATCATTTTGGACAACATACTATACTATGACTTTTTTCCCATCATTTTGGACGACGTGCATGACTTTTTCATGATTTTGGACGACATATTATACTATGACTTTTTTCCGTGATTTTGGATGTCATACTATACTGTGACCTTTTTTTCATAGTTTTGGACAACATACTATACTATGACTTTTTTTCCATCATTTTGGACGACATGCATGACTTTTCCATGATTTTGGACGACATACTATACTATGACTTTTTTTCCATGATTTTGGACAACATACTATACTATGACTTTTTTTTTCACGTTTTTGGACGACATACTATACTATGACTTTTTGTCATGCTTTTTGACGACATACTATACTGTGACGTTTTTTTATGGTTTTCGACGACATACTATATTATGACTTTTTTCAGGATTTTCGACGACATACTATGACTTTTTTTCAGGATTTTTGACGACAAGCTATACTATGACATTTTTTCATGTCGATTTAGGACGACATACTATACTATGACTTTTTTTCATGTGTTATGCCCTTGGTCTATGGACCGTAGACATAACATGATGTGTGACTCCCCACTCTTCCCACTCCCAAGAAAGGTCAGTTACACACAGTTTTTATACAACAAAGAAGCAGTTTATTTTGTATATGGATGTGCGCAGTGCCCAAAACAACACACAAAAAAATACTAATGGTCCCTAAACTTACCTAGCAATAAAGGAAAATGAAACAAAAGACACATTTCTAACCTAAATTTCTACCTTTCAACAACAGGAGAAAAAAATATGGCGATGCCAAATAAAAGGGCTTCTCACTCCTACAAATACTTCTTTTAGTGCTCCTATATACAGTGCTCTACAAAATAACAGAAAAAATCTACTAACAATCCTGAACATAAAGCTGCTAAACAAAACTCTACTCACCCACTCAACATCAATCAAATATCTTTTCTGCTGAACCAAGCTATCCAAATACACGCACTAATTTGCCGGAATCAAAATCTTTTGCCTGCAGGTATTTGCAAGCATAAGCACAAATACAATCCAAGTACTGGCTTTGTTGGTGGTGGAAAGGTGAAAGGAGGGAAGGGCTTCTGGCAGCTGAAGGTTTAAAACCCCCGTTTCACAGTGGGCCAATCCGGTGTCAGCAATCTTCTTGTGCCAGCCCAATCAGCACTCACCACCTGCCTTGCAACACCCAATTACACTGCAACACATGCATACATTCTGAGAGGAGGACAGAGAACATCTTACAGATTACTGCAGATCAATACAAGGACTTCCACACCAAAAATAATGACCTGGGTGATAACACATGGTTTCTGACGACATACTATGACTTTTCATGATTTTGGACGACACACTATACTATGACTTTTTTTCATGATTTTGGACTACATGCTATACTATGATGTTTTTTCATGATTGTTGACGACATAGTGTAGTATGACAATGATACTACACCATGACATTTTATTACATTTTTGAAAGGCATACTATGACATTATTTTATTGCATAATGTACTATGAGTTATTACACTTTTATATGACACACTAAAACTTAAAGATAAATCGTTAACTCTTTGTTTCTCTAAAACACTTGTGATTTGAGTTGTTTCAGCTCTATATCAAATAGGGCTGCCACTAACAATTATTTTCATTGTCAACTAATCTGTCGATTATTTCTTCGATTAGTCGACTAATCATTTCATCGAAAAATACAGTACAGGCCAAAAGTTTGGACACACCTTCTCATTCAATGCGTTTTCTTTATTTTCATGACTATTTACATTGTAGATTCTCACTGAAGGCATCCAAACTATGAATGAACACATGTGGAGTTATGTACTTAACAAAAAAAGGTGAAATAACTGAAAACATGTTTTATATTCTAGTTTCTTCAAAATAGCCACCCTTTGCTCTGATTACTGCTTTGCACACTCTTGGCATTCTCTCCATGAGCTTCAAGAGGTAGTCACCTGAAATGGTTTTCCAACAGTCTTGAAGGAGTTCCCAGAGGTGTTTAGCACTTGTTGGCCCCTTTGCCTTCACTCTGCGGTCGATTGGGTTCAGGTCCGGTGACTGTGGAGGCCAGGTCATCTGCCGCAGCACTCCATCACTCTCCTTCTTGGTCAAATAGCCCTTACACAGCCTGGAGGTGTGTTTGGGGTCATTGTCCTGTTGAAAAATAAATGATCGTCCAACTAAACGCAAACCGGATGGGATGGCATGTCGCTGCAGGATGCTGTGGTAGCCATGCTGGTTCAGTGTGCCTTCAATTTTGAATAAATCCCCAACAGTGTCACCAGCAAAACACCCCCACACCATCACACCTCCTCCTCCATGCTTCACAGTGGGAACCAGGCATGTGGAATCCATCCGTTCACCTTTTCTGCGTCTCACAAAGACACGGCGGTTAGAACCAAAGATTTCAAATTTGGACTCATCAGACCAAAGCACAGATTTCCACTGGTCTAATGTCCATTCCTTGTGTTTCTTGGCCCAAACAAATCTCTTCTGCTTGTTGCCTCTCCTTAGCAGTGGTTTCCTAGCAGCTATTTGACCATGAAGGCCTGATTGGCGCAGTCTCCTCTTAACAGTTGTTCTAGAGATGGGTCTGCTGCTAGAACTCTGTGTGGCATTCATCTGGTCTCTGATCTGAGCTGCTGTTAACTTGCCATTTCTGAGGCTGGTGACTCGGATGAACTTATCCTCAGAAGCAGAGGTGACTCTTGGTCTTCCTTTCCTGGGTCGGTCCTCATGTGTGCCAGTTTCGTTGTAGCGCTTGATGGTTTTTGCGACTCCACTTGGGGACACATTTAAAGTTTTTGCAATTTTCCGGACTGACTGACCTTCATTTCTTAAAGTAATGATGGCCACTCGTTCTTCTTTAGTTAGCTGATTGGTTCTTGCCATAATATGAATTTTAACAGTTGTCCAATAGGGCTGTCGGCTGTGTATTAACCTGACTTCTGCACAACACAACTGATGGTCCCAACCCCATTGATAAAGCAAGAAATTCCACTAATTAACCCTGATAAGGCACACCTGTGAAGTGGAAACCATTTCAGGTGACTACCTCTTGAAGCTCATGGAGAGAATGCCAAGAGTGTGCAAAGCAGTAATCAGAGCAAAGGGTGGCTATTTTGAAGAAACTAGAATATAAAACATGTTTTCAGTTATTTCACCTTTTTTTGTTAAGTACATAACTCCACACGTGTTCATTCATAGTTTTGATGCCTTCAGTGAGAATCTACAATGTAAATAGTCATGAAAATAAAGAAAACGCATTGAATGAGAAGGTGTGTCCAAACTTTTGGCCTGTACTGTATGTTAAAATGTTGAAAAATGTTGGTCTGTCTCGCCCAAACCCCAAAATTACGTCATCTAATGTCTTGTTTCGTACTCACGCCAAAGGGTTTTAGTTCACTGTCACGGGAGAGTGTGTAAAGCTGCCAATATCTGAATGTAAGAAGCTGCAGTAAGAGTATTTTGGGGTACTTTTATAGTACTTTTATATGAAAAATGACTCAAACCGATTAGTCGACTACTAAAATAGTCACCGATTATTTTAATAGTCGATTAGTCATCGATTAGTCAACTAATCATGGCAGCCCTAATATCAAAATGCCTTTCTTCTTCAACCCTCTCCAGGCAGCGTCTGCAAAGACAGTTAACGGTCGCCTCGCCTCCACAGACACAGCAGCAGCAGCTCTGGGAATAAAGTCTTGTCTCTTCCTCGGTGACACTCTAGTAGCCGTTTTTTTTACTGACCTCGCCGCTTCCTCCTTCCAGCAATGGATTGTGGGAGCAAATATAAACTCATCACAGCAGCTGGCCAGCCGTCTGGACTGTGGAGCAGTCAGATTTTGACATCTGACCTTTGGGTGGGTGCAACAAGTCTCACAGAGATACAGTGGTAATGTAAACACAATACTATGAAGTACTGTACTGGTACTGTTGTGTGTAAACAGTACTTCTTCCTGGGATCATGTTACTGTACAATTGTGGAAATATTTGTATGTGTAATCTACAGCAGTGAAGATGTGACTCATGAGGGTGTTTGTGCTCAACGTGACTCTTAATACACACACCTTCTGCTCCGTTTCTGTAAACAGCTGAGCAACAAGACATCTGGCTTTCAATGAGTAAACACTGATAATCTCAGCGAGTACTCGTGGGTCTGTTGTTCCTGCATGGACGTTCAATGCTTTATGGATTTACGCAGGAAGAAACTGATCGACTGGCTGGTATCAAAGTTAACTTTAGGGCCAAATGATGTCAATAACCAACTTATCAAGTGAGAGTTTAAACGTAGTGTCCAAACTCATACTTTGGTATTAAATGTTAGTTGTTAAGGTTTTGTAGTTGTAGTCCCGAAGTAACCAGGTGGTAGCAGACGTGGAAAGTGTTTGCACTTGTCCTTAACATGCCTTATGACTTAACTACAGAGTGAAAGAAACCACAAACACACCTCTTAAATTCTACTTACGTTGTGTACGTTACAGTAGCTGATTTAGTTACACTGTTATAAACTATTAGTGATAGAGATGTTAAATAGGTAGGTAGGTAGGTAGGTAGGTAAACATATTGTAGAGTTCGTGGCCACTGTTGAGTTGGATTTTCACTCTTCTTTGATTATATTATTTATCTGCTTTTCTCTTTTAAGAAGGTCTGTGTGAAGAAGTTAGAAACAAAGAACTGGTCCAACAGAAGGTCATCTCATACATCATGTAAAAAACGAGTCCTCTCACTGACGTACGGCTGCACAGGTAATAACGTAGTTCATTACAATTTTGTATTAAACCACTTGGCTCTATGGCAGGGATAATTGTGTAAAGAAAAGCACCTGCCTAATTTCAGTGCTTATTTTTCATTTTACGGAATAGTTCAGCATTTTGAGAAATGTGCTTATTCACTTTCTTGTTAAGAATTTGATGCCTGTTCAGTAAGTTTGAAGCTACAGTCAGCAGCCGACGAGCACAGCTTAACTTAAAGACTGGAAACAGGGAAACAGTTTGAAAACTCAAGCTGCCAACCAGCACCTCTAAAGCTTATTAATTTGCCATTTCTCTTTGTTTAATCTGTAATACAGAAATCAAAGTGTAAAATTGACCAGTTGTGGTTTTAAGAGTGATGCGTTATTTCTTTGTCAGGAACAGCAGCTTCTCTCCGCTGGTTGGCAACCTTCATCTACAACTGGTCCTTTACACTTAAGATTAAACAAACGAGATACAGCACGTTAATTAGTGGCTTAAGAGGTAACCTTTGGACATAGCCAGGCTAGCTGGTTCCCCATTTCCAGTCTTTATGCTAAGCTTAAGATAAACTTCACCCACAAAATGGTAATTTGTTTACCAATTACTCACCACGTTACCTTGAATTCATGAGGAAAACATTCCTCTTGCATGCCTCCACAGTGAACGAAGAATCCAAAAACTGAAAATTCTTGATTAATCGGAGTAAAGGGGAGTCGCATTTAACAACAACAAAACGACATCAAAACATTTGTTTACAAACTCTCACACAACTAATGCAGTATAATCCAAGTCTCAATTGTCTTCCAAAACACATGCATTTTTGCTAAACGCGTGTGTTTGGGAAGTGCTTAACATAGGCCTGCATAAATGAGACTTGGATTATACAGCACGAGTTGTGTGACAGTTTAATAAATGTTTTGATCTAGGTTTGTTGGTAAATGTGGTTGCCTTACTTCAAGAATTTTCTCCGTTTTTGGATTCTTCGTTCATCATGAAGGCATCCAAGAAAAAATGTTTTCTTTACAAATTCAACAGGGGACAGAATGAGTAACTGATTTACAGCACAGATCTGAGGGTTTAAGTATTCCTTAACTGGTTGCAGCTTCATACTTTATGTACAGACATCAGAGGAATCGATCTTCTCACTTTACTTTAATCAAGAAAGAAAGATCGCATGTTTCTCTAAATATCGCACCATTCCTTTGGATACAATTTAAAATATTAAAATTCTAAATTAGTTTGAAATTGGAGGCCAAAAACTGTTCTAGCAGAGTAAAACAGTTCACTTACCAAATAACTGATCATACTGTCAGCCCTAACTGTGCAGCCGTACTCTGAGGCATCTCCAGTGTCTCAAACACCCTCTACTGTGAAAGGAAAAAGCAGTGATGACTCAAACTCAAAAAAAGATGTCAAAAACATAGAATTATAGTATTTATTTTATGTTTCTTTTTTGTAATGTCAACTTCAAAAAGCAATTAAATGTGCTTTTTTTGTTACAAAATGCTCTGATAGATCTGTTCTCTTCATAGAAAATCGTCTGTGCATGGCAACATGTCGGAGGTTTCCCCACAGTTAGTGTGAGAGAGGTGAGGCGCCTCTGTACAGCACGTGCTTCCAAACACAACAGCATCATTACGAGTTGAGTTCTTTTTCTAGAAACTTCTTTTGTTTTTACGAAGGCTGGACAAAAGTGGTGTGAACTGGGTGGATGACATTGCATGCATGCACTTGAACGCTACATGCAACAAGCTTTAACACAAGCTTCTCGTAGACGATGAGTACAAGGAGCAACACAGTGTGCCACTGATGTCCAGACTTGATCACCAGGTCAGTAATTGTTCTTCCAGCTACAGAAGAAACCACAGTTTCTCCAAAACCCTGGATGTCACTTCCTTTTATTCCTATGTTGTCTATTTGATGATGATGATGATGATGATGATGATGTCAAAGAAACTTCATTCAATCATTTTGAATCTTATTAATAAACTGATTTGTTACTTGGCAAAAATAAATGTCTTATTCTTTGTCCTCGGTCTCTGGCTCACACTCAGGACTTTGGTTTTATAATGAGCTATAAAAGAAAACTATTTGGGCCAAAGGGCTGAACGTCCTTTAGGCTCAAACACTAAAAGAAGATGTTCAGTTTCGAACATGTCAACAAGCTGCTTGGCAACTTCTGATAAGTCGTTAAACTAATACAACTTTCAACCAACTGAAAACCTTCCGTAGCTTTTCCTTCAAGCAAAGACGGCGACTTCGGGGCTGAGGTGTGATCATGGGGACAAATCTGGGCACAAAGTTTAACCCAGAACGACACCTGTCACAAGTCCCAGTTTTTCTCTCCCTCCACTGACGCACACCTCAGCTACCTTCCTGCCATCCGTCCCTCCTACCATCAGTCTGTTTTGGTTCGAGCAGCAGGCCGTCACGCCGGTCAGGAGGGGATCATGCCTTTGTTCCTCTTGCGATCAGCCATGGTGCGGCGGTTGTGGTTTGCCCCTCGGCTCTTGTTGGCCTCCTTCTTGCGTCGGTCCAGGTATGTCTCCAGGGTTTGTCCTTGGCCTTTGGGTTGGCCCACCACGTTACTGGAACGCTCTGGTCGGAAACTGGAAGAGAGGGATGAAGGGAAAAGAAGAGATGTGGATGGAGCCATCAGCTGAAGTTACACCAGAACTTACGTTTGAGACAGAGGAATTAAATGTGTTTCCATCCAAGGTAAAGGAGTAAAGCTTTTACTATTTTTCAATTTAGCTTATCATTTTGATAGTCAATGTTATGTACATAAATTTGTCTCGAAGGGTTTACAATCTGAATGTCTTACACCCGTTATACCTAAAACCTCTGTTCAGATAAGGGAGAATAACCTTTACTGAGAGGGAAGAAAAGGAGGAAGGAAGTCTACATTTTTTTCATGAAGAAACTTAATGGATGGAAAACCATCTGGACACAATAAGAGTGTCCAAAGTGAATACTGACTTCTTACCCTTTCCTTTGTTGCATGGCAGCTCTCCTGGCCTCAGCCCTCTCTCTCAGCAGAGCCGGGTCCTGCACAAACTGGTCCCTGTTCACATTGTTCTGAAATAAAATGGATTCACGTGTTAAAACACACGAAAAAGAAAGCAAACAACATAAACATGCAGATACAGTGACCACACAATTGTAGCTTAAGCATTTCATTGCAAACTTAACTGAGCTTTAAAACGGGTCAAAAAGAATTCTTCTCTGTAAAGTCTGATCTGCTGTTTTGGAATGATTTCAGTACCTGAAGTGTGTCTTCCTCCTCATCTTCATCCTCCTCCTCCAATTCTGGTTTGTTTCCTTTTCTCAGTACCTGTGGGACTGTGAAAGGTCTGCAGGGAAACAGAGACACAAAGTGAAAATGCAAAGAAAAAAAAAAAAGTACTCTGAATACTTTGCATCCACAAAACGAACATATTCCAGATTTAGAAAACGTTCTGTCAAAGTTAAAATGTCCTTATGTTGACCTCATCGTTATCAAACTGATTTACCTTCTGTTCAGTAAACTGTCTCCATCCAGGTCATTCGCTCCCACTTGGCTCATGTCGTAGGTGTCATCGTACTCGTCGTCGTAGTCGTCCAGGCCGTAGGCTTCTGCACTCTCACCAGGTTCAATGACGACCTCGTCCACCACCGTCTCGTAGGCCTGATAACGAGCTTTCTGCTCTGCTATGTGCCGCTTGTCGTTCAGCATCTCTCGAGTGCTCTCACCTTTCCTACGGGAGTAGGAAAACACAACAAGATTGTACTCAACATCGGGCAGTCTCACCTATTCTTCTCTTCTTTTAATACAAATATGTATATATATAATATATGTATAATATATGCAGGATTTCATGGGCGCACAATAAAAATGCCAGTATATAAAAGACTTCTGATTTCTTCTTAGCTTAGACAGCTGCAGATGATATGATGGCGAGGAAATTGAATATAAGTTGAGAGATGTATTACATTGTTTTGAGGTTGTTTGCCAATTTCATCCATTATGTATTATTTTTGCTACACTGCATTCTTTATGATGTCGATCAAAGGCACATTTATAATGTTGATTTAAAATTATTGGAGTGATTAATTTCATCATTCTTCTAATTTACATTAATCTCCATGTTAATGATTATAATTTTATCCTGAGAAGCACTTCATAAAGTCAGTTTCAACATGAGCGCAAGATAGAATCATTGATCATCCTTCTGATGTTTAATAATAATAATAATAATGATTGAGATTTTACTGCGATGAGGGTGAATTAGAGGTACGGACACTACAGTTATCCTCAGCTGCTCTGGCAGCGTTGGGGAACCTCTGTGATCAGACAGTCGGTGAAAGTACACTTTCTTTCCCGTATTTCTCATTGACCACTCTAATGAGTGGATATGCTAACGTATGTTTAAGGCTTTTTCTACATCTATTTATGGTGAACTGTGGGTGTGGAAATTATGCTTTTGGCATGTATGCCCAGCACTACAATGATCAAGATTTATGAAACAGAATCAGGCGACACATCTTTATAAATCTGAAGATAAGAATGCGTATACCGTACACAGTTTTAGTCTTGAATCTGCACAGTTTTAAGCATCTGGCCACATGACTTTTTAATCCTCCTGAATGCTCTTACCTCCTGCCCTTCCAGATGCGGGACATGTCCACCTGGTCCCTGCGGAAGATGTCAAACTCATCATCATCAAACACGTTGGATCTGGTGTGCAGAACATCTGGAAGCTTCTCCTTCACTGGCCTAAAGGGACAGAAGAAGAAGAGCAGGGGTCTAATACATCCACTCCGTCCACCACAAATGATCTGCACAACAAAACTTGTCTAAAAAAAAAATAAATAAAAAAAACACTTCTGAGTTTCGAGTAACCAAGTAAGTAATTTATCAAGCAAATACGCCAAAGATTCATCGATTTTAGGCTCTAATTTTAGAGTTATGCTCATTTTTTCTACTTTATATGAATATTAAATGACTACCTTTGAGTTTTGGATTCTTGATTGTACAAAACGAGCTATTAAAATCTCATTAGATTCTGGGATCTATTTTTTAACACTGAATTTACTATTTCTTGGACTTTTGGAAATTTCGGTTTATTTCAACCTGTCTCCTATCGTCTTAAATTTGTTTCAAGTGACTAGTGACATAAAAATAATAGTTAGCATGTTAGCCGTTAGCCTAGATACAGCCGGGGCGCATAGTAGTGTCAGACCTGTTAAAACGTAAGTGAACGGGCAACTTTCAAGTGCAAAGTTAGTCCACTAAACAGGCCGCGCTTTGGAAAGCAGAGCTAGATGGTAAACAAACATGGCAGCACACCGGTAACACGTTTACATGTCGTTTTCTATATGTTCTCTGACATTTATCGTAACGATATGAGGCGGTCTTTGTGGAAAAAAAGCTTGTTTAGTGGACTAACTGTGCACTTGAAGGTTGCCCGTTCACTTACGTTTTAACAGGTCTGACACTACTATGCGCCCCTGCTGTATCTAGGCTAACGGCTAACATGCTAACTATTATTTTTATGTCACTAGTCACTTGAAACAAATTTAGGACAATAGGAGACAGGTTGAAATAAACCGAAATTTCCCTTTAACAATAATTCATCAGTAGTTTAAATCGATAAAGGAAACTGTCATTAGTCGCAGCCCTTTGGGAGACACTGCAGATTATGAATGTTGTGATGATCATATTTCATATTCAACCTAGACTTAGTACTGATACACTGTGCCTTGCATTACAGTGTGATGTCATATGAATGTTAACAGAATGCTATCAGCATTAAACCCAGTTGGTGGTGTCACCTTGGCATGGCTCGGTCCAGTTTGTCCAGGTTGGGGGCCAGGCGGTCCTCCAGGATGTTGTTGATGACCAGCTCAGAGTTGTAGCCGTACTCCTGCAGGCAGGCCAGCAGGAAGCCTTCACCCAGATCAGGCAGCAGGTCCCTGATACACGACAGCAGAGATTCCAGCTCTGCCTCGCTCACAGGACACACCGCACCCTGAGGACAAACAGACAACAGAGTGCACTGTCAGAGTCAGGCTGGGTCGTCTCTACGTCAATTTTTACCTGTGAAATCCACAGTTTTATCACACAGCTGATAAGTATAGCTCTTTATCTCTGCGTTGTAATGCACTGAAACCCCAATATAACATGTTTTCTTCCAACTTTTGTGTGTTTTGTGCTTTACAAAAAGCACGTTGAGCACCTCCTTTGAGTTTTAAAAATGCTACACAATAAACTAAGTGTTTCCAAGTGTTTATTACTTGAGTCATTTTTTTTTCTCCCTCTCCCTTGCATTTTTTTGCAGCTTTGCTCAGTTTTACTGGATCTTCATCATTACCATTTGTTATAGTACAGTAGTATGACATAAAATATTGTTTAAAAGAGTGGTATGAAATAAAAGATGTCCTAAACAAAGTAATGGTATAGATTGCCATTAAAAAAGTCATAGTATAGGACATCATTTCTCAAAGTGCAGCCCTTGGGCCAATGACAGCCCTCAGAAACTTCTGCTGCGGCTCTTTGAATGTGACATGAAATGATCTGTATACACTTTCACTTTCGATAGCTGACCTTTAATACACTCCTCAGCTACTGCGTCAAACTGCGTCCCTCTAACAAGCATCTGTCAGGTTAATAAGGATGACTTGTAGGAAGCTGCTGGCTGCATGGCTACAAGAGGCACCTCGCGAGTGTAGGGGGAATTATGTCCTGTCATTTTTGCCAGTGCTGTTTGCTAAAGTTAGTGATTTCTATGGACAACTCAGCAATGGTTAAGTGACACGGAAAAGATATTTTGTTTTTAATGCATGCACTTTTCCTGGGTGTGCATCATTTACATGCTTGCTCCCCTAAGTTGTCACTCACTCATCTTGCATCTCTTCTGCAACTATTTTGATAATTAAAAAAAAGGTTTTAGCTATTTTTAATGAAAAAAAATCCAAACACTTTCCAGTTATAGCTTCTCTCTCTTCTTTTATATGATAGCAAAATAAATATTTTTGGGTTTTGGACTGCTGGTTGTAAAAAACATGCAATTTAAAAATGTTAACTTTGGGCTGTGGGAGATTATAAAGGGCATTTCTCACTATTTTCTGACACTTAATAGACAAAACTAATAAGAAAATAAGGACAAAAGATGAGAAAATCGTTGTAAGTTGCAGCCCTAGATTTTACCTTAACGTACCTTGTTAAGCAAACAAGCATATAACATTGTCTTTGAAAATGAATATGATGTCTACAGGACACTGAGCTGTCATAGGAACATATTAGATTTGCTGTAATAATTACAGAACTCACATTGTTTCCTTTCCGGGGAACATCCAACATGGCCTCTGCTCCTCTCAGGCTCTCTCCTCCCCGTTCTTCTTGCTCTCGAGCCTCCTGAAAAGTAAATCCAGCTGAGGAGGCGCCAGCAGCAGCACCGCCCGCTGCTCCCTCATGTTGAATCTGGCTGTGTGGTTTCCGTCGCCCAACAAAGTCCCAGGCACTCTCCACCCCCTGCAGCAGGTAGGACGTCCTGGTCTCATCACTGAGGGGAACAAGCCGTTAAGGTAATGACAACAACTAATACTGCAGACATTATTATCTGCTACTACTAATAGTGAAGTCTGGTTTTGGGACTCTTTCATCTCGGATGCCTCTCCACTACAGCTGGCTGCTGACTTGATCCGGGCTGCAACTAATGACTGAATTTATTAATCTGATCATTTCCTGTATGAATCTTTAAATCATCACATTATTATCATAACATCAGGAAAAAAAGCAGTATGCAATACTCTACAGCCCAAAATGAGGTTATGAATTTTCTTATTTGTCCAACTAATAGTCTCAAACCTAAAGATATTCAATTTTAGTCAACAAAGACTGAGATGAGTGTCAAATTCTCACATTTCAGAAACTGGACGCATCACGTTTTGTATTTTTGCTTGACAAATATTAAATTATTCAACTTGTTGCAGTTCTAGACTCAATTTGTTATCATCACACTAAATATATTGTACTGTACTAGCACAATTACACTTTTAAGACATTTCCTTGTAACTTCAAGTCTTAAAATTAAACGTCTATAGACCTTTAAGTTAATTATGGTCAAAGTTAAAGCTCTAGAAAAATACTTAAATATACATATTTACATTTGGAAACACATTTCCAAACTTTATTGTACATCTTTGCCTTGAATTTGACTTTTATTTGCTGAGCTTGGTTAAAACAAACACCAGATATGTTTAGCTGGCACTGTATGCAGAATGTTTATAGCCATTAAAAAACAAAGCTGATAAGGATACATGACAGGGAGGGCCTGTTGTAGGAGGCTGATGTCATCTGCGATGGGGAACTGCTCATCATAGTCTGACAAGAACCTGGAAGGACAAGGAAACAAAATGACAAACCCCTTCATACACTCTGTCATCTTACTTAAAATAAGTGAAATACACCCCTTATAGGAGCCTCAGAGCTGATCTTAACCAGTAATATTACCTTTTCTCAGGTAAAATAGATGTGAAATGTTGTAGGAGCTCCTCTGCAAACGTTTGTATGTTTTCTCCCCTGCAAGGCAACAAAATCCAGCAGAATTAATGAGTGTATGTTTAATGCTAATTCTGCTGAGATGCACGTTGAGCGTTTGGACGTCTCACCCCTCCAGGATCGGCTGTAGGCAGGTGTGATGCAGCAGCAGATGAACCATCTCCACTATCTTACGACAGGAGTGGGACAACCTCTTCCACAAGTCCTCCTGAAGACTAACAGAGAAATTTAGGAGATTGTTTACTATCATTACTGTCTCAATATTCTCTCATAGCACTTGCATTTTTGAAATATTAAATGCAGCAGAAACTCACCCTTTATCATCAAAGTTTCTCTTCCTCACTGCCTTCTCGAGGTCAGGCACAGCGGTCTCATAAAACGAGGTCAGTCTGCCAGGAGAGAAAACAAAATGATCACCAGAAGCTTCAGCAAAGGTTTTTGCGTCGATACTGCCGGCTGTACTTCATCTGTGTACCTGCTGAGGAAGCCGTGGGAGTGAAAGCTGGAGCAGGCGGCAGGGAAAATGTCCAGGAAGGCATGGATGGTGGTGGTCGAGTCACACAGGTACAGAATAAGATCTGAAAGATCCTAAGAAAAGAAATCAAAACACAGATCCTATCAGTGACATGAGGCAGTCAGTGTGTAGTATCTCTCACCAGACCTTTCTCAAGAAAAGAAAGGTCTGGCTGGGCCGACTCTCACTTTAAGACTGGAGAAAAAAACGCCCCGGCTGCTTGTATTTCTTTCAACCAATCACAATCATTCTGGGCGGTGCCACAGCAACGGTACGCTTGCAAAAATATTGCCGGGGGAAACAGGTTTTGGTGTAACACACCCACAAAAATATCGCCTACAGGACGCGAACCATGGCAGAAAAATGGCTACATCCCCGCAAGATCAAACACCGCAAAAGTTAGTAAAGGACGTGTTGAAAACTGCTACACAACTGGAGGTGGTACGGCGGAACTTCATCGGGTGGTTCGTTCCGCCCAATGAGAGGCTGATCTATGCAGCGAACTTCCGCCCACTCAGACTAGTCAGTGTGTATCCAATCAGCCACAATTTAAAGTCTCATTCCAGTCAAAATTTTTTGACATGAAACACTGGCTGCTTGTTACCAACTCTTCCTGGCACTTTTAGTAAACCAAATACCAAAAGAAGAGTTCAGTTTTCACAAACTCCAGTCAAAAAGTCATGTTAAAATGTCTTTTCTTTGTTCAGCCAATTCAATTTACTTTAATCTAATACAACGAAAAGCATAAAATCTGACATTTCAGAAACTGAAACCAAATGTTTTACATTTTTGCCTGAAAAATGACTTAATAGTTGCGGATTAATCATTAAACTAATTGTTCTACACTCTACACTCAATCTGTTACAGTCAACACTAAATATACTGCAGTAATACTGATTTATTTTTTCATTAACACTTAAAGAAATTTCTGTGTAACTGTAAAAAAAGTAATTCACTGCTGGAAAGATGGTCTTTTCTTAAAACCGAGCCACCTATGCAGTAGAAAGACACAAATACTTTAATTGGAGCCATGTGACCAGAAAAAAAAACAGAGGAAAAGGCCTGTTGCATTTCAGTTTTTGGCAGACATATAGATGAGGAAAAGTTGTGTTAGGGAAGTGCATATCTATTTTGTAACACTGGGTGGTACATTTTTTTAATTTGGTGGTAAAATGACTACGAAAAGTTGAGTATCCCACTGTACTCCCAATCAGCTTAGTTCCTCGGGAAAGCCTGATTTATTGATTGAGGCTTAAAGCAGAAAGTTATCCTCTACATTTCACTTCTTTTGCAGAGAAGATGTTTCCAGGCCAGAACAGCCTGCTAATTACTGTCTGATGTTTACATTTGAGCACGGGCTTGTGCCAACACTAACACACAAGATATTATTATTATTGTACATTAGTTCATGACATGCAGTGATAAAAGGAGATGTGTGTGTTTGTCTGACCTGCTGGCTCATGGTCATGGCAGTGGGCTGTTTGTGTGCGTTTAGCTTCATGGGCTCCATGGCGGTGGCTCCCTCACAGTGGAGGCCACACTTATCCAGGATGGTGTCGAACACCTGAGGGTGACAGAGAATAAATGAATGACAGGAGGAAAATAACCTACAACCTCACATATATTATTATTTTTGTGTTCCATGTCTTAAGCTTTTTGGTAAACCTAAATGTGGTGACTTGAAACAAAACAAAATGTCTAAAGAAGCCACTGAGGGGCGAACTTGTTCCAGGCACATGTTCTGGGCTAGAATAAACCAATGTCACACCAAATGGCAATCAAATTATTCTCAAAATAATATACCCATTCTCACCGTAACACAGAAGGGTTGACAGCACTGTCCATATGTAATCATTATTCCACTCAGCAAATTCACTCTTCCACGCACTTCACACATGACTGCTCCCCCCTGTGTTCAGTTTTATAACTGCATGTGTAAATTTATATTTACCTTGTGTTTAGATGAGGATAAAATTAACGAACAAAAACTACATTATGGCTCCAGCACTAAATAAACCCAGTCTCACAATTTCCACATAAATATACAGTTGCATGTTTAAAATCAGAGCTCACCTGTAACACAGTGGGCACCGTCTCGTCCAGGTCGCCGTAGTAAGACGGCTGCTGGGTGAAGATGTTCTCTGAGAAAGTACACCAACATGAAGTCAACCAAGAGAATCATATGGCAAAATGGATAAAAACTACCAGTCTGCACTACACAGCTTAATCAAAATATTTCTTAACACGCAATAATGCTTAAAAAGGATTCTTATGATTTAGCTCACCTATCATCTTGTGCAGCAGCTGGCTGTTGCCCTTTCCAAAGAGCACACACAAATCCAGGATTTTGGGAATGTCAAACAGGAAGTTCTCATAGATAATTTCTCCAAACACAGCCGGGGTGAGGAAGTTCTCCTGTGGAAGAGACACACAAAGCACACACAAGGATACAGGTTACACAGTCAAGGGTTTGTACTGGGAGTGGCAGTGACATGACTGTGTTTGATGTGCTGTCTTAACAGTTGACTAAAACTATAACAGGTATTACTAGGGATTAGCAGATCATCTCGCTCTGTGGAGTTCATATTTGGGAGCTTCTCCTACCTTGGACTCTTTATGTGTGGCCATCCTGAGGAAGGTCAAGAAGACCGCCTTGTGGACAGAACGCTGCATGTCGGCTACTGCCGGGGAGGAGGGCAGGGTGGCGAGGTCAAGGCCGCGAGGAGCCTGATGCAGGTATGAATCTAGACATCTCTGCAGAGACTCATCAAACACCACCTGGTGGAGGAGACAGACAAAAGCAGAGGAGGGAGGAAGGGAGAGTGATTTTACAAGTGGGAAAGAAAAAATACTCTACGTTACGACACTTAGTCTACAGTCTTGTTCTAGCTGCTATACCTTTGTGGCTCAGAGAGATGTTAACATGTTAATGGTCCCTCACCTGACACCAGAACTTGTCATGGGGCAGTGCGAGCAGCCACTCCAGGTCCTCTGTTATGAATTTGGCATGTTCCAAAAACTCCTCCACCTCAGCAGGAGAGCTGTCTTCTGGTGGGGATTTGTAAGGCACAAAACAGCGCTCCTCCTTCCTGGCTGGGTGCTAGTGTGGAACAGAAAGCACAGGGTTTGACTCTGATAAAACTCCAGGTTATTCCTGGAGCACCACAGACTGCTGTTTGAGTGTATGTCTGTGTGAAATGAGGTGAAATGACTCACCAGTGCAGGCAGTGTGTGCTCTTTTCCAAGTGGGCCTGGCTCAGTCACCTGCTGCTCATCCAGTGGCACTCGGGCACAGGCCATGACTTCTCCCTCTCTAGACTTCTCTACCAAATCACACCAACACAAATAAATTAGACATCCATTCTGCTTCTTTATATTAGTAAATTTAGTGTAGTGTAGGAGTTTTAAAAATATAAATTTTTTTTTAATAATTTACAGTTTTAAAGTGATGAAGTGTTGTACCTGTTCAATCACAGAACACGACAAGCTTTGGAAACACTAACCCTTTTATAAAGTAGTGCAATTTGATTTTCTAATATGGTACTTATTTTCATAGACTCACAATATGAACAAATACAAGATAGATATAGCCAAGACAATACATAAACCAGCTTTTGTAATCACCATCTACATAAGCAGTAGGGTAAGAAGTATTCAGATCCTTCATTTAAGTAAATGTATTAATACCACACTGAGAATATACTCTAATACAAGTCCTGCCTTCAAAACTTTATTGAGAATGCAGTAAAATGTTCCCTGTCTGTGTTTCACAGTTATATGTTTTTGGATTGGATCTACTGCAGCAGACATTTAAGCCTGTGCTACTTTCAACTCCTTCATATATTGTTGGATAGTTGGGTACTAGTGTGCCAGACGTGAGAGGACGCTGGCGTTGCTTGTTCACCGCTTCACAAACTGAATTAATTTTGTAAAATATATCCAGAATTCAGCTGCTCATCTTCTCACTCACTCCCACACCCGTGACCACATTCCCCCATCCTTCATAAGCTCCACTGGCTCCCTGTCCCCCAGCGTATCCACTTCAAACTCCACATAATCGCCTATATACTGTAGCCCTCCACACACACATGCCTCCACTGGCACACTCCCTCCTGCACTCTTGGGTCTGCTGATGTCCTGCCCTTTTTTGCACCAGTGAGAGTATTTGCTCAGAAATACTGTTATGTTCGATTTTTTCTACCAGTCCTCACATTAATTCAAGTGATTTTGAGGAGATTAAAAAATATCGAGATACATATCATATATCGAGATATAGCTTAAAAATATTGTGATATAAAGTTCAGGACATATTGCCCAGACCTAGAACCAGGTGGCTTGAGATAAACTGTCTTTACATTTATGCATTTTCCAACTGATCCAAGAGGGATTTTACAGAGCTAATTCACCTCCTTACTTATGTGAGCTCTTACGCATCCACACACCTGTCAGAGCTTTGAGGTCATCCAGTCAGATGTTGCTGGATGTCCCTAGATCCAGACTAAAAAATACAGAGGTGACCGAGCTTTTTCTGTGGCTGCTCCTAATCTTTGGAATAGTTTACCCATGCAGATTAGAACTGCTCAGACCGCTGAATCTTTTAAGATTTTACTAAAGACGTACCTTTTTTCTTTGGCTTTTAATGTGAGCTGATATTTGACATCTTGACTCCACATATTGTTTTTGTTTGTTTGCCCTGTGTTTCTGTATTTTGTTAGTTTCTTTTATTCTTGTGAAGCACTTTGGTCAACTCTGGTTGTTTTTAAATGTGCTATATAAATAAATTTGACCTTGACCATGACCTATAACACATAAAGGGAACCCTTAAATCTTCAATTTATCACAAACATTCACAATCAACACAACTTGAGATAGACGGTTTTCACTGAACAGGGAAGGATGAAAGTCTGTAATCTGAAAAGTAACTAAAGCTGTCAGACAAATGTAGTGCAGCAAAAAGTACAATTTACCTCTGAGGTGCAGTGGAGTGGAAGTATAAAGTAGCATACAATGTAAATATTCAAGTACAGTACCTTGAATTTGTATTTAAGTACAGTACTTGTGTAAATGTACATGTTGGACAGTGTTAGAAAACCTATTTATGGGGCTGTCCATCCAAATATTGGAAATATTTAACAGCAGTAACCTCCACAGTCACATTTGAGTACATAAACTGCAACTCAACATCTGTAGAGACGATGCTCATCCTTTAAATTAATATATCCTCCTTAGCTGTATCGAAACAGCTGAAGCAAAAGGAGCCCTTGTTAGCTAGCTAGCTAACAGCAGCAGTTTATACGCCACAAACAGCCACTGTTGTTGTTTAGTCATGTTGTCGTTACCTCGCTGGTTAAATCAACGTTAGTCACCACTGCTAGCTATTGAAAAGTACCGTAGCCACCTGTTAATCACTAGCTACCGTCACACAGCACCAGGCTATCTGCGTATATCGTGGCGATGTATTTAATTAGCTGACTTCTGACTGTAAAGCAACAAAGTCCGGTTAAGTAACTTGCTAGCTATCTGCTAACGTTATTCAACTACCAAGTTGAGCCGAAGTGACAGCACGTCAATGAATGGAGAGAAGCTAATGCTAATGTAACGTGGCTAACCAGCCGGTCACTTTATAACCGTCCTCCCGTCACTTCGTATGAAATAACTGTGAAGGAAATAAGTTAATAAATCTGCCCACCTGCTTATGTGGTTGTCTGCTACTCGTTCAAGCCATCTCATCACATTCGTCACAGCTTTCAAGAGTTTCAGTTTCCAAACGTTTTATCATATGTGATGGCACCGGAAGTGACGTTGATTTGTTGTTGTTGTTCTAGACTGTCTTTATCGCCCCCTGGTGGGCGCCAGAGCGCAGCGCCACTATGGATCAGGGTCATGTCTCTAGATAACTCGTTTATTGACCATATACAGTGGTGGAAAAAAGTTTTCGGACACCCCATTCATTTGTGAAATATTGCATTAAGAATCACTCTTAGGTCTTCAAGTGCAATTTCTTTTAGTACAGTCACAGCCAAAATACTAAATAAATCCTAAAAAAGCCATTAAAAACTTAAAATTGATTGGTTCCATAAAAATACATAAGAAATTTTGAGTATTGGGTCATTTTGGTACCAGTGATGAAGGTCGTTCTTTTTATTAAAAGACACAATTTTTGTTGCCGAGCTTCGTGTCTACATAAAGCCAGCACATTTGAAAGTTCTTCAGACACAAAAATGGCTAAAACAAGGAACCTAACGCAGGAAACACGCCTGAAGATAAAGATTCTCAGCCAGGAAGGGTACAGCTGCCGCCAGATAGCCAGGAAGTGCAGATGCAGTCCTTCAGCCGTTGGATACACTCTGCAGAAATACAGACGAACCAACAGCTTGGAAGACAAACCAAGATCTGGGCGTCCAAGGGTTTCTCCAGCAAGAAATGACCGCATCCTGATCCGCATGTGCAGGCAAAACCGCCGAATGACATCACAGGAGCTTCAGCAGCAGTGGTCAAACCAAACTGGTGTCCAGTGTTCCACCCGCACTGTACGTGGCTGACTTTTAGATCATGGCTTAAGGTCCTACAAGGCTATCAAGAAGCCCCTGATCAATGAGAGACAGAGGTTAGCCCGGCGTCGTTGGGCCCAGGCACACAAGAACTGGACAGCCAGGAATTGGAAGAAGATTTTGTGGTCAGATGAGTCCAGTTTCCAGCTTTATCTTCCTCCTACTAATGTGAGGGTACGCAGAAGGCCAGGCGAAGCATTATCACCAGCATGTACAGTACCTACTGTCAAGCATGGTGGAGGCAGTATCATGGTTTGGGGATGCATGAGTGCTGCTGGTGTTGGTCATCTCACTGTCTGTGATGGCACATTGAACTCTACCAAGTATTGTACCATTCTCGAAACCCACACGCTCCCTTCTGCGCGTGCACTGTTCCGTCGAGGTAAAAACTGGATGTTTCAACAAGATAATGCCCCTTGCCACACATCCAAGGCCAGTAGAACTTGGCTGCAGGAGCACAGTATCCAGGTCTTAGAGTGGCCAGCTCAATCCCCGGACATGAGCCTCATTGAAACTCTGTGGTGGATTATCAAAAGGTCTGTTTCAAAGCATAAACCAAAGAATTTAGAAGAATTAAAAGCAGTAATTCAAGAAGAATGGGACAAGATTACCCCTCAACAGTGTGAAAGGCTCGTGGGGAACATGCCAGCCAGGATTAGAGCTCTACTACATGCCAATGGCAGGACTACTAAATATTAATTTGATGATGTGATGGTTTATTTATTTTTTGTTCAGTTTTGAACACATTCTCTGTTATTTGTTGACTTTGATACCGACAATGTTGAGAACTGACATATTGAAACTGTCAAGAATTTAGTTTTGTTAGTTTTTCTTGTAAACAATAAACAAAAAAATATAATTTGTATTTGTTTGTATCTGTCTAATGCAGCCACACCTTTTGAAACATAAAAAAGATTTTTCCACAAATATTTCATGATAATATTTGAGATTGTGTAAAATTTTAAGGGTGTCCGAAAACTTTTTTCCACCACTGTATGAGCTGGTAAATCATAAAAAGGAATCTTATAGCATTCATCCATTTCTTGCAACTCATCCAGATAGTGTTTTGTATTGGTGGAAAGTAATTCAGTAGTATGTACCCCAGGAGAGAAGCACATCTACTGTTTAAACACAGTTGAAGCTGAAGGGGCTCTCAGTTGACTAATCTGCTAACTTCAGTGGGTCAGAACATGAATTTAGAATATTATACCTGTGTATTAACTGAAACTTTGCTTTAAAGAGGGCCGACAGGCAGAGCGGTCCATTTACACTAACACAGTTGTTCCCAACTGGTGGGCCGCAGTCCAAAAGTGGGTCACAGATCCTTTCTAAATGGACCGCAAGTATCAAGTTTGTAAAACAACACAATTTTTTTTGAAGTACAAAAACTTTAAAATGAAGTGTGTTTTACTTAAGTACATCTACGTCCCAACGCTCACCTGTGGTCATGAGCTCTGGGTAGTGACAGAACGAATGAGATCGCAGATACAAGCAGCCGAAATGAGTTTCCTCCAGGGTGTCTGGGCTCAGCCATAGAGATAGGGTGAGGAGCTCAGACATCCAGAGGGAGCTCGGAGCAGAGACACTGCTCCTTCGTGTCGATACAGGTCACTTGAGATGGTTTGACATCTGATCATCTGGGCGCCTCCAATTAGAGGTGTTCGAGGCACGTCCAACTGGTAGGAGGCCCCGGGGCAGACCCAGAACATGCTGGAGGGATTATACATCTCATCTGGCCTGGGAACACCTCAGGGTCCCCCAGGAGGAGCTGGAAAGTGTTGCTGAGGAGAGGGATGGATGGGGTGCTTTACTTGGCTTGCTGCCCCCCTGACCCAGCCCCGGATAAGCGGATGAAAATGGATGAAAATGGATGGATGGATGGATGGATTTTGAAGTGCAGTGAATTTCCGGCATGGAGCTTTTATTTTCAAGTGCTGTTTCCTGCTGTAGAGTGAGCTTCTAATGGACAGCTACTACACAGAGATGGCAAACTAGCTCAAATGTCTTTAAAAATGACAGTAAAATGTCAGAAAAAAATAAAAATTGTCCAAAGAAATGTTGATAAAATGTCCAGAAAATATTATTAATATTCTTAAAATATCTGAAAAAAATGTTGACAAAATGTCAGAACTATATTATTACAATATCAGAAAAATATCAAAAAAAAAATGTCTGAAAAATGTTGATAAAATGTCAGAAAAATATTTTTTAAAAAAAGTCTGGGAAAATGTTCGAAAAATATTGATAAGTTGTCCAAAAAAAGTTTAATAACTGTCCAAAAAAAATACAATAAAATGTCCAAGAAATATTAATAAATTGTCTGAAAACTACAGAGGGTAACATGAAATTAATTAATTTTATCATTAATGAAATTAATAAAATGTCAAAAAAAAGTGGATAAAATGTCTGAAAAACATTAGTAAATGTCAGAAAATACAGTAATTAAATGAAAACAAAAAATATCTGAATTTTTTTTGATAAAATGTCAGAAAAATATTAGTTGTCAAAATATCAAAAAATGTCTGAAAAATGTTGATATAATGTCAGAAAAATATAAAACAAATGTCTGAGAAAATGTCTGAAAAATATTAATAAATTGTCCGAAAACTACAGAGGGTAACATTAATGAAATTAATTATTTTTATCATTAATGAAATTATTAAAATGTTAAAAAAAATTGGATAAAATGTGTGATAAACATTAGTAAATATCAGAAAATACAGTAATGACATGAAAAAAAAAATCTGAAAAATTGTTGATAAAATGTCAGAAAAATATTAATTAGTTGTCAAAATAATGTTAAAAATGTCCTTAAAAATGTCGATAAAATGTCAGAAAAAAATATGAATAAATTGTCTGGATATATACAAATATGTCTGAAATGTATCCAAGTGAATATCAAATCAAATCTTTATTTAATTGGTTGAATCACTGTTGAGATAAAACAGGACAATAATGATGCTTGACACATAATTTTCTTGGAAAAGGATGTTTATAAAAAAGATTTCCATGACACACAGAGAAGGCTGATGAGGATTCCCATAAATTACATTAGATACAATATTCTTTAAAACAATGCATCAGCAGTCTGATACATTATCAAACTCTCCAGAACGTCAAACACAGGTCGTCTGACACTGAAAAAAAGAGACACTGATAAAGCAGTTTTATTGTCTGTGTGCTCCTGAATTTATTATCTGATTTACTGGTTTTGTGTCTGACCATAACATTATGAGGTTTAAATTATCATCACTGATCAGATATTCTGTCTCTATGTGCGTATTCTCTGACTACAGTTCTTAATACACAGTTAAAATGTGCAATGTATTAAACGTCCCATTTCTTCTAAATAAAATACAAAAACAAAGATTAACGACAACATCTAAACGACTGCATTTTTGTCTGCTTTCATGGCTTGTGGTGTAAACTGAAACTAAATACTTTATCTTGGGCGTAAAGCATTACATAAATAATGTATGGCTCAAACAACAACGCATTATCTCCCATTCATCATTCGTATCAAGCAGCAGTAATACTGTACCTCATGGTACCCGTTTTAATAACTGGACTTTTCCATTCAGGAACGACAAAGAACTTAGTCTAAACAGTATTACGGCCAGTCGCTTCCAGTTTCTATCTCTAATAAATAATCATCTACAGCTCTACTCTATGCTCATATTGAATCTACAGAAAAGTAAGTAATGGATCACTTATCCTGTGTTGAATGGAGGAAAAATCTGTGCACTCCTTGACTCTGAACGCAGCTGTGCAATATCAATAAATATCGATCAACAGATTTGTAGTGTCAACAGTAGCATCCAGGATGCTGTTGCTATGGTGTCAATGGCTGTTTCATCCTTAACAATACTACCATTACAGCTTGTTGTTGTAGCTTACAATATGACAAAAACACCAACAACTGGTCCACTGAACATCAGCATTGCAGATCATAAACCGTTTTTCAATGGCCAAAAGTATGTGGACACCCAAACTCATGTCAGAGTTGAACCGTGAGCATTAATCATCCTTCTGTTTTTGTTTTTTTCCATCAGATGTTGGAGCCTGGCTGCAGGGGTTTGTTTCCACTCTGCCACAAGTGCGTTAGTGAGGTTCAAAACTGATAGGGCCACAAGTTCCTCTGTATGAAACTGGGAAAATCGTTCCCTCATGGACCTGGGTTTGTGCACAGGGGTATTATCATGTCGAAACAGGACATGACCTTCTGTAAAAAAAATCATAGTCTAACATATCATTGTATGTTTTCCAGGTGCGGCTAACAATCAGTTTCAGTCTGGATTAATCAGTCGATTATTTTCTTCCTAAACCGTCTGATGCATTACAAAAAATTCCATCACAAATTTTTCAAAGCTCATATTCAAATTTCTAGTTTTGTTCGACCAACATGTGAAACACCCAAAGATATTAAATCAACTAATGATAGAAAGAAAGCAGAAAGAAATCCAGCAACACTTTAGAGGCTGTATTCAATTTGTTTTTGGCATTTTTGCGATAAATAAAAATTACAGTATTACACATTTAAAAGTAGAGTATGCGATTCTGGAGAATTGCTCATATTCCCTTCAACTGTGCTGTCAAGTTTATTCAGTGACAGCTGAGACGTGCTCTTCGGAGCTATGGAGTATGACACATGCGCAATGTAACTGGAGCTGCAATGTTGGGGGAATACAGCAGACGGCACTAGAAGTAAAGAGACATTGTGCGCTTAGGTGCTCTTTGTTTGCGCTCTTTTTAGCTTCCTCAGGTGCACTTGGTCTGACTTTTTTTTTTTTTATGAAGGACCTTTTCAAAAACTGCACAGTTGTTATCCTCACCTATGTCTTTTATTTTTCATATAAAATGTAAAACACCTCGAAGCAGACTGCGGTCGAGACCGTGAACAAATCAATCACCCCTGTGCTCTATAATAGTGCACCAGCCATCGAGCCTTTCGGCAGGTGCAGACCAGATTTCACTGCGCATGTGTCGTACCCCAATGATATGACATGATATTAACCTCCTTGTGTCCTGCGCATGAGCATGAACGCCCCCTGTTGCTGATTGGCTGATACAGTGTTGTGTAACTCCAAGGTTGTGTTTGATCACTGGACTTTTTCCCCCCGAGCACACACAGAATGGACACCTAGCAGACTGTGAGGGGATATTCGGTAAATTTGACAAAAAGTGTGTGTTGAATTAGAATCACTGACTGCACCTTTACATGATGACCAAAGTAGTAGCTGCTAAATCTTTCTCTAAGTGCTGCAGCTCTTAAAGTTTCTCGTGTAACCAGCTTAAAAATCTGTTTTTATCTGAGTATCTTTTGATGCAGTCTGTTGTAAAAGTCTTTGAGGATCCAGTAAGTACTTTCAGAACAGAAGTAAGTGTTATTAAATGATTTCCTGTCTCTTTCAAAGATCTCCTGCCAATTATTCTACAGTAAAACAGACTTACAGTAGCTCTGTGGTGCACTTGCGAGGAACAAACTCCGGCTATCAGAAACCATGAAAAACAACCCCTGACCAAAAGTGCATTTAGGCATCATGTCCACATACGTTTGGCCATATAGTATAACTCACAAAAAATCAGAGGGTTTGTCATAACAACCTAACTAGATACAGTATATAAGTAATTTTTTTGTCATGGTTATGTGTGACATATATGGATAAGGTCACAGAAAAGTAGGCGAGCTGTGCGTGTATATATGATTCAGCTTACAGTATTCTATTCAAACTATTACTGTTCTGTAAAAGAATAGATAATTCTGGGAAAAATAGTCAGCGGGATGTGCGAAGACCAAAGATTTGCACTTCGATTTCAAGAGTACGAGGAATACAAAAACTACTCAATGCTATATTAATGAAGGGCAGAGATGGTTAACTCTGTGGAGAAATGCTGCCGTGGACGCCAAGTGCTGTTTCATCTAATCTGGATGAAGCCACTGATTTCAAACTCTGGACTTTGTCACGTTACATATCTGACTCAGGCTTCATTAGGGATTTCTGTTTGCATGCCGAGGATGAAGACAAGTCCGTACTGAGGAGAAATAAAGTGTGCCCTTCCAAACGTCACTGTGTAGCCCTTCACCATTCTCAATGGTCTGCCCATATTTGGTCTTCAAAAGTCTGATTTCATGTTTCATGTGTAAAAAAATAGAACATCAACACACAAACATCAAAGTCCAGCTGGAAGTCAGTTTGATGTTGACACTTGATTAAAATTCCAGTTCAGGTCTGTGACAATTTGTTTTTGGTATGTAATGAAAGAAAAAAGGGGGAAAGGCGAGGGTGTTCAAGTCTGGAACATAAGGATAAAATTCAAAGATGTCAGCTGCTGTTACCTGATTGTGCTTTTCCCACCTCCTGAGGAAGTGTTGCGGGCACAAAGGATTAGTGATATAAATACTCTGTATCTACTGAATCTCAACAGTTGAGGTTCAATGACATCCACAGAGGGAAGGACGAGAGGGAAAAAAAACAAGAGCAGAAGCCAAAATGGCTCATCAGTAGTCTGGGGAATAGAGAAAAGTTTGCCTGGGTGAGTATTGCACGTCAGTTCACGTTCAGCGTGGAAGTCTTTAACTCGTCTCTGCAGGCTGAGCGCTGCTTCAGTTGATATTTCTAGACTGTTGGAGGGAGCAGCTGTCAGGAAAAGGTTGATAAAACATGACAGAGAGGCCGCCACCCCCTCTGCCTGGGATCTACTGCATGTGGGAACTCTGCATGAACTGCTACTCAAACATTTTTGATAGAGGAGGTGTGCGTACCTGCCGCACAGCAGCCAAACTCCCTAAACTCCAAGAAAGCTGAGGATGGGAGGAAAACAAAGAGAAAGAAAAAGTACCCTCCTTTTGGTGTCAGTTTACACCAGCACAAACCAGCCGACATCTCAGGTTCATTTCACGCTGGTCACAGCTACTGTTGGTACAGAGGAGCCTGGTGCTAGCCCAGCTGTATCTGCCCAGAGTAGGTGGTGAGGAGGAGCATGATGGAGAAGCCTGTCAGCAGGCCGGCGTTCTGGATGGCAAAGGTGAGGAGGAAGCTGCTGCCGCCTGCGTCCTCTTCCTCACGACTCACCTCATTCATCTCTGGAAACTGAGAAGTAAAAAAACAGAGAGAAAAACTTGTTTTACTTTAATATAATCAGGGAAAGTACAATTAGTAGGCATGCACCTTCTCAGTATGCTTCACACTGACGAGGCAGTCCACTGATTTTAATTTCATTCACTCCTTTTTTTGAACCACTTATGCTGTTAGCGGTCGCGGGGGGCTGGAGCCTATCCCAGCTGACATTTGGTGAGAGACGGGGTACACCCTGGACAGGTTGCCGGACCATTTCAGGGCTGACACATAGAGACAGACAACCTTAACTGTACAACTGTTATACTCACTGAATAAATAAGTAACTATTTAAAAAGTAATGTCTACTGCCAGTGATAAACTCAGCGTTTCTGAATTAATGTTGTTGTTTGGTGACTGATTTTTCTTCTTGATTTAATCACCCATATGTACATGATGTCCTTAACTACAAATGGCCTCTTCCAGTCCGTGGAATTGAAAATAAATATCTTCTCGTAACAAGTTTGTGAGGGAGTCTAATTATGTCTCATGAGAGCCCCTACAAGAACATACACGATACAATACATCTGTGTTGACCTCATCCCTCTTCGCTCAAACACTGACCATGTCTGCCAGAGCGATGTAGAGGAACATTCCCCCCGCCAGGGCAAAGATCCAGTTGGGGGAGAAGCTGTTGCCGGCCAGGATGCCAAAGCCCATGCCCAGGTAACAGCAACAAGCTGACAGGAAGTTAAAGAACAGAGCCTGCTGTATGCTCATGCCAGCGTTCAGCAGGATCACAAAGTCTCCTGGTGACACAAAGAGAATGACATTAAGACAAGTAAATGTATCAGGTGAGACTCGTAGCCTGATCGAGGCTCAAGGCAGCAGCCATTAGCAGCAGTCCACTCACCCAGCTCGTGGGGGAACTCCTCACAAAGGATGGCTACGGAGGTGCTGATGCCCTGGAAGACGGAGGCGGTGAAGGAAGCGCCGATGGCCAAGCCGTCGATGAAGTTGTGGAGGCCATCGCTCAATGTGATCATCCAGGCCAGTGTGCCGATGTCAGAGTAGGTCGTCCCCTTTAGCCAATAGCAGCCACCACCACTGCTGCCGGACCGCCCCCCGCTGTCTGGGCTCTGGGAGTCCTGGAATCAACAGAGCGGACGACGCCCATTAGAGGTTAGGACTGAAATTAACAATTGTTTTCATTGTTGATTAATCTGTTGAGGATGATATGATAATTGATAAGTTGTTTGGTCTATTAAATGTCAGATAATGGTGAAAAATGTCAATAAGTGAAAATGACGCCCTCAAATGTCTTGTTTTGCCCACAACCTAAAGATATTCAGTTCAATTTCACAGAGGCGTAAATAAACCAATAAAATATTCACATTTATTTTTTTTTTCCCTACAGAAAATAGTCAAACCAATTAATCAGTTATTAAATTAGTGGCAGTTTATTGAATAGCTGTCAACTAATCAGTTAAGCAATAAATTGTTGCAGCTCTATTAGAAGTAAATATAAAATCATGAAGAAGGATGTGTTTGTTAATTCATCTGATAACCAGGCTACAAACAGAGTTTTAGGTATTATTTGTGAAGACTTTTGGAAGAATTACCAGATGCAATTTAAAGGTCCAGTGTGTAGAATTTGGGGGATATATTGTCAGAAATAGATGACTGATGACATGTTTTCTTTAGATAGATAGAGCCAGTCACATTTTTGCATCAGCCACCATAGTTAGCAGAACCATGGCGACAAGAGCATCTTCAAATATTTTGTGTTTTTCTGGTTAACATAAACACATCCATTTGTTTTGGAGAGGAAGAGACCTCTGCGGGTAATTGGGCTCCCCGTAAAAACCTCCTGAATGTCTGGATCTTAAGTTATCAGATAAACATGATGAGCATACATTAGCAGGTGCTGATTTAGTAGCCTGACTTGCCAGACAGCGTCTGAGAAACACTGATTTGTAATATGAAACTGCATTCAGTGGTTTTACTTGTTTAAATCACCGGGTCTGTTTGTTTTGGTAAGGAGGAGACTTCTGTGGATAATTCAGCTCCTGATAAAAACCTCCTGAACATTTCAGAAATAGGTGAGCACACATTAAGTTATTGAAGAAAATAAGTGAGCATGCATGGAAACAAAAACAACCCCCAAAAATTCATTCAAAACATTATTTTTTCTTTTCCTATCTTAAAATAAGTTGATTTTTTTCCTTAATATTCATGCAGCAACTTTTTAATGTCATCTTCTATGTTACAATTTCATTGTTTTTATTATTTTCTAAAGACAGGTATGTAATGTTTCCTCTTGTGTCCCTGTGATACAGGTTTTATGATCTCATTCTCAGAGATGAAAATCCAGTCACAGAGGAAATATAAATGTAGATATTCCAGTCGCATTATAAAAAAATAATAATAATCACAAAAACATTTGACTGAATGAATCAAGGTCTTATTCTTCTCCTTGCACTGCCTCCATCTCACCTGTGGTGTTTGTGCAGGACTGAGCATGAGCTCGCCCTCCCCAGCGTCCACCTTGCCCAGAGCCAGACTGCTGGCTTCCCCGTTCTGCTGCAGCTTCTCCTTCTCGCCTTCCTCCACATCCCCATCGGGCGTCGAGTAACGATCTGAGCCGGGGTAATGACTGTGACCGTGGCTCTGAGGGACAGAGAGAGACCAGGCATCATGATCAATATATAATATATTATTCATAAATAATATAAATAATAGATTCTGACGGATGCATTGCTGCTAGAAATGTTCCTTCCTGCCAAACAAAATAACCTTGAGCTTTGCTAAATCAATAAAAGAAGAACAAAAAGGCAATTACACTCAAGCTGACTTAAAATTAAGCACAAACAGTGTTTCCTACAACCTTCCTCAAGATGTCCTGTGCTGCTTTTATCCCATGTGACCATCCTGTGCTGCTGTTTCCTCCTGGGAACATGCCATTCACTCATAGTTGTTCTATTGCCTCCATGTGGACGACATCACGGCTAAAAAAGCTATACAGATATGATTTAATGCAAATATAACCAAGGCCCGTATTATCCATGATAGCTTGTGATGTTGACAAACTCCCACAATACTTCTGCATTTAAACTCGCAGCACTTTCTCATTAAACGATACTTCTGAGATTCTGTGTGACATTTTAATAAAGTTTGCAAAGACAACAGACCTCATTCACTACTATAAGTGTGTGGAAATGTTCTTAGTTTGTGCACAAGATGAGTGCACACACAAATTTACCGCATGACGTGTGTACCAGGCAATTTTGTTATTACTACCTGACAGGCGTGTGCCTGCTAGTTGCAATCAGCATACTGCCACGCCCCCATTACTCTATATACGTAAATAAGTCCCAGCCTGATCTGTTATTTCCACCCGAAATTGTGGCCAGGTAACCAATGGTGAGCAGGACTTGAACCTGAGAAGGCACTGAGTGACCTTGGCAGTCAATACAGCTGACAAGCTATTCGTCACTCTCTTCAAGCCAAGCAGCAAACTCCGGGGCTGAAAAAGGAAATGGACGCAAAGTGCCAAAAACTGCAGTTCCTTGAACGGCCACTTGAGGCTAGCTCCAAAAGCAAGTCAATCCCCATGGACCCCATCCATGTTAAAATGCCCAACTTTACATTGATATAAAAAAACAGTTTTTTGTCTCTACATATTTCAGCATTCACCACAACTGTACAGGGGTGATCTTTTTCCTTTCTTTTTTTTTTTTTACATAATAACTCACCCTTTTACGTTTTGTTAAAGCTTATGTATATTTTGAGGATGGGCTGCTTGAGTGACGAGCTGTCTGCGAGGCACCGCTACAGTCTGAGAGTCAGCTCCCCCCTCTTGTCCAAATATGAATAGTCTGTGCTTCAAACATGTTTATCGGCCTCTGATGCACTCTTGTGACAGCAGGAGCTGCAATATCTTCCAGCAAGGCTAGATATCTTAACACCTGCTTGGACAAAAATCTTAATCTTTATCAGCTGGCTAAGAATTAAAACTGGCTACCTGAGCAATTTTATGGCACTAGAAATTGTTTTATTTTATGAACATTTTCATAAACTCCATTGAAAGCTAGGATGGGACACATGACAATAATTGATGAGGATGAAAGGGCATCATTTTCATAGTTATTTAATACATTTGGCCAATGCATTAGCGAATTCAGTTTTAAATATTGTTATCCATTAAAAGATTTTGTTGTTAAATGTAGTTTTAATATTTGCATTAAGTTAAAAGGTCTGGGTTTACATTCTTTAAGACAACTGGGTGTTTATCATTTGTGTGTATGTGTGGTCTTCTAAATTCGTTCACAGATCACAAAGAAATTCAGGTAGTAAAATACTGATGAATCCCGGGACACAAGGTTTCAGCGCAGACTTGTGTATACGTACTGTTTGTGAATGAGGCCCATTGATTGTAAGCTTGCCACACACCTACAACAAAGTCCCAGGTAAAGGGTCAGCTGGAGTACAACACTCCATGAATCAGAACAAACTCAATGTTTTGCTCAAGGACACTTCACCACAGCAGATAAACTGACATTTCAATGAACAGATTCCCCTCTCAGTACTAAGGCAAAGCAAGTTTATTTATAAAGCACATTTCAAAACTAAAGGCAATCCAAAGTGCTTTACAGATTAGTAGAGTCAAAGTTCATGGTAGCAAAATCACAAAGCATGCCTCAAAGGGTTGTACAAACACTAATTTCAATTCAATTTCAGCAACAACATCCCTCTGTCCTCAGACCCTCACAACGGACAAGGAAAAATCCCCCCCAAAAAACCCTTTAACGCTGCAAAATTACACTTGTCTCCCAACATTTTAAGGTTGACACGGAGAGATTTGGAGTAGCTAAGTGACTTTTTTTTTTTTTGGCGGTGAAGCACAAAAGCTGACAGCAGCACTGTAGGTGTAAATCTGTGTCAAAGAGCTTCTGTAATTGGATCACCAGGTGGATGTGTTAATTAAGTTGGCTGGACCATATGGCTTGCAGCACAGTAACCACAAGGTGGAGCAAGTGTCTCCCAATCATCCCCTGACTCATCATTCACTGCTGCTTTTTGTGAATGAAATCAGCATCACTGGAAAAATGTATGAATGTCTGCAGGTTATAATTTCAGGAAAGATGAGTGTATAATTTAATTTAGGGGAAAATCTAGACAGAAACAGTGTTCTACATGTACCAACGTGTCTTCTAGATCATTTCAGCTGTTAAAATAACTGCCTCATACACTACTACTGCACTTAGGAAAATAGTCAGGGAAGGAAGGCACAGTTGCCAAGTGGCCAAGAGCCAATATCAAGACACACTGGAACAGAGCAGAGTCTATTTTTAAGAGGCATCTTTAAAACAAACAAGTAATTAGATCTCATCACAGTCTGAATGAAAACAACACTCTAAGGGTGAAATGAAAACACAGCAGTAGGACAAAGCCTTCAGATAAAATGAAAAAGATTCATATGTGCATGGATGCAATATCTACAGTGCTGAAAATACCTCAGATAGTTGACCTCTGTCAAATGCTTTCTTCAACACAAACCCTAAAGGTGAATTCTACTCGTGTCTACAACAATACGTACAGTAAGAAACAAACGTATTCACAGTTCAGTACAGTAAACTCCTGAGGGTAGTACTGTGAACTTGAATCACCAATACCTTTGCCCTAAAGTCCCGTCCAACAGGTTAAACCTGCCACTGATAAACAGAAAGTAAAAGTGGAAACATTTTCATTTGCATGTCACGATGGCTCTCAGAGCTAATTATGATTTGAGACAGTGCTTAGCTGTCTGAAAACAACCTTCATGTTTTGTTAACTTGAAGAAGTATTAGAGGACAAATGAATACATAAAATGAGCAAGAATTCTGCAATAGTTGCGACTACGTACACACATGCATCCACTAGATTATGCATTCACACACACAACCTCACACCTTGTCACTAGTCTAGTGATGCTTCCCTACAACGACCGGGCAAGAAAGGGGATGTGGCATAATAAGGTGTGTGTATGTCTGTCTATCTATCTGTGTTGTCTTTCTACAAAGTTTGGTCATGCTATGTCAATGTGTTCAGACGTTGTGCCTTTCTGTTATAGGCCAACCCTTACTCCCCGCCCCCATTGGCATCAACAGCTAATCAACTGTCCTTTGGCCCATGACAAATCTTTCCACCAAATCTTGAGCAAGTCTGTAAATCCATTTGGAGGTTAAGCCCCTTTTTGTAATGGGCTACTCTCACTGCCTCCTCATCCCCAGCCAATGCTAAATTTCAGCCTGTGGCCGCCAAAGGGTGCTTAAAAATTTTGTGAACCAACCAATGTGCTCTACAATATTAATTATCTAATTAACGTTACATAATTTCTTGATGAAATGTCTTCCATGTTTTAGCAGGTCGAAATTGATTATGGCAATTAGGAATTTAGGTCCTGAGCAGGATCATATTGCCTTCAAACTGTAAACTGGAAAATGGTTCCAAGCAAATAGTAATTAAAAGCCTGTGAAACTGAATATTGAGACTTTGTTTAGTCTGTAATTAAAACAGTGGGAAACTGTTTATTGCAATACACACCAATTTGTTTATGTTACCTGTGCACATTGCCATATTCATGACATACACTGGTATTGGATGAATGTCCTTCTTTAACTGAGTTGTTTTGCCCTAGACAGTGTTTGCAAGATCCAATTAAAACAGTCTCGTAGTGCTCAACTGTTCCATGATGTGTCAACTGGCTCAGTCAACTCTGGGTTTTCCTCTCCAGCTTTGAGCGTGTGAAAAAGTGTGAAAGAGGCAGGGTTGTTAATTACGAGCGGCATCATCACAACCATGAATGAAGCACTTAATGTGCTACTCATCACCTGCAGGAATGTTCTGTTTTGGGGACAGCAGAAAGTCCTATTAATCAGAGAGAAATATGCAGAGGGACTTCTGTTTAATTATTATATGATTTAAGTATATATATATATATATATATATATATATAAAGTGTAACAGTGAGTATTTTTTGCTATTTAGTTTGACGATTAAGAAATGTCTCTAATTATGTCACATAAAAACAAAACAAAACACCACACTCTCTCTGCCGAGTAAAGAACGGAAAAGTAGTTAATAAGTGATGAGGTCTATCTCAGCGAAATGTTGCATTTACAGTCACAGGAGCCATTACACATTATTTTTCCAATAACAGACAATCTTTGGTTTTAATCAAACAGTAAACTAATATATATGTCACATCATTCTTGCTGTGTATGTACTCACCCCCTGTTTCTGTTTGAGAAGCACTCTGAGCACCTTTTCAGTGAAGAAGAAGAGGTAAAAGCCTCCGAACACCACCGCAGATTTGGACACGTAGAAATCCACCATGGGGTCAAAACCAAAGGCCTACCATTGGAGGAAAGAAAGATGGTGTTAGCTTGTGATGCATATTTATAGTAGCTGTTATTACATCATCACTTAATGTGCATATTTTGAAACAACTATCAAATGCAATTACCGGTTTTGAGACTGAACTATTAGTGGTTGGCTGAATTGCTTATTGTGAACTCTTAGTGGGTCTACGCTGCATTATTAACTATGTAAAGTTTTAAAAGTTTTAAATTCCCATGTTTATATTCGCTAATTAACAATTACATAAACTGGAGCTTACATCCTTTTGAGATATTGCAGAGATATTTCACAGCAGTCTCTAACCTGAGAGACAGGTTGAATTATACATGTAATTGTCTCCCGTCTAGTCGACACAAACCTCCCATAAATCAAACCACTCACAGCTCTGAAGTATACAAATGTTTTTTTTTCTTGGTGTTCATCCCAGGTGAACTGATGCAATGAATTACACAACAGCTGTAAACCTGACCATGATGGATGTGCACATCGTCTAGACGCCTTCTAATAACCCAAACAAATTTCAGTCGTGGGTTCTGTCATTCTGACAGTATGCCCTGCCTTTGAACTTCAGTCAGTTTGTTGACATGCACCTGAGCCTCCTTCACACAACTTATTAAACTTCATCTAAATGAGAAACCTTAAATGATTCATTAGGGTAAATATTAGATTAGAATCCGTGTTTATTTTAAATCAGGTTTCTAACTAAGGCCATTCAAAGACTTTAGACAAACAAAGTAGTACTAGTCTGCAGCAGCAGCAGCATGTTTTGGTACACTTCAAATGTGTCAGTACATAATGTTCTGTTTTTGAAACGGTTTTAGAGGTGTTGATTCAGCTGCATGATCATTTTGGAAGCTGCAGTTGTTGAATTGTGCTGCATTATACAGACAGGTGTTTGCATTATTTTGTCAATGACAAGTAAACATGATGACCTTCAAAAAGTTAGGACTTATTGCAGGACTGCGTTAGTTTGAGCTAGGTGTACCTAATAAACCGGCAACTCAGTGTATATTGCTATTACAATGTAAAGGAGTTGTATACGACATTGAGAGCATTAATATAGCAGCAGATCACTGTTTGCTATGTAAAGATATAGTGGAGTAATGACATCCCAAGCAGAGAATGAAGTCATGGTTTCTCTGTGTGTGTGTTGTAATGTAGAGCTGCAACGATGTCACCTATTAAATTAATCCCTAACTAATTTAATAATCGATTAAAGGGTTTGAGTAGTTGTTTCAGAAATAGAAGTAAAAATTCTCTGATTCCAGCTCCTTCAATTTGGATATTTTTCCGTTTCTTTACTCCTTTAGTGCGATCAACTGAATATCTTTGAGCTGTGGACAATACAAGACATTTAAGGAGGTCATCTTGAGCTTTGGGAAACAGTGATCGACATTTGTCTCCATTTTCTGACATTTTATAGACCAAACAACTCATCCATAAATTGAGAAAATAATCCACAGATTAATCAACAATTAAAAGAATCATTAGACACTAGTTCACATTACACGATTTTCACCACGATTTTGACGTCGCAGAGGATCTTGAGAGCCACATTGGGTCGGAGGTGAGTCGGCAGATAGTCTGCCACGACGAGTCCTCATGTGTGAACAAGCCTACGAGCAAGCAAAACTGGAGAAGTGTGAGACGACTCCGGATACGTCCCACGTCAGCACGCAGGAGCACGTAAGAAATGTGAGGAGGACAAGTTGCAGGGTTGCCAGGTCCGCTTATTAGCTGCAACTTTGGGTTTGTTTCTGAAGTGGAGTTGCTTATTTGGGCTTGCTCTTTAAACACCACCTTTCTTTATATATATATATCCGTCTAATAAGTTACTTGAACACATGATAGTCGAAAAAGAAAAAGGTTACAATAGTCTCCGCGACGCAAAATCAGAGTGAAAATCGTGTAATGTGAACTAGGCTTTAGTCCTTTTTGAATATCCCACTGGCTAGCTAATAGCCGCCAATCTGCACTGTGCTCTTACGGTGGTTACCGCTGATAACGGGACGCCATCGTTGCAGAAGCATAGCGCCCACCCTCTGGTTCCACCCAGTTAACAGTGTTAACTCTGCCAGCACTGTTGCCATTGTTAGCGCTGTTTATAGAGTTAGCACTGTTAGGTGCTAGCCTAGCCACCTCCACGTTGAGAACGGTTGCGGGCAATTCTGTCCCAGACTCTAAATGTCATATACAGCTCCTTTAAAATAACATACATAGAAATATAATGACTTCTATCCACCACTGCTGCCCATCGGCCAAGAGTTGCGTTTGTGAAAAGTAGCCCTAGGCACACGCATTTTACGAAATTAAACATTATTTGTTTCTGACTTCTCATGAATTTGCTTTGTAAATGTTGCTTTTTGAACATATCTTATTTGACATGCCGTACGTAGAGTGGCTGATGTATGCTTTTTAATCATTCCCAAATATAACCCTAATTTCCACTGACAATTCACCCATTTCAAATTTAAACCTCTCTTTTTTAAAATTGTGTCTGACATTTTTCTCATTGCTCTATTTAGTTTACGATGATGATGTCGTGATGGGTACCAATTGGAGCATCTCACTCTATATCTTCATATTATACACAACAATAAACTCATCCTACTCATCATCTTTCTTGATACTGCATAGCAACCTCTGCACTGAGGTACTGTGAAGGAGCTGCAGCTAAGTGAGTCACAGCAGCATCGACACTACCTCTGGGATGAGCTGAAACAGGGCGTTGGAGTACAGCGTGCCAATGGCCAGGGCTATGAAGTAGAGCAGCAGTCGCTTGTAAAAGGTTTTCTTCATGAAGGGCACCACGCTTGCCCCGACCAGCGAACACAGAGAGATCAGTGTCACACACAGGATCCCATAACCCCACACTGATCAACAAGAGATAAGGCAGAGGAAAGAACGGGAAGAAGGTGACAAGAAAAAAAGACAGAGATGTAGTTAGTTGGGAACTGATTTTATCTGATTAATCACCCATATAAGGAAAAACAAAATCAAGAGCACCACCGAGTTAACCCCCTGAAAAGAAAGAAAAAATTGAATGGAATCAACCTGAGAAAAAAAGATATCAAAGATGCCTTTCTTTCACAGACAACAGTTGAATTTGTCAACTGAAAACAGATCATCAGAAGTGACACCACCTTTCATTTGCATTAGAAGATAACCACCCTTTAAAGCAGGCCTCCTGCCTTTTTCATTTTGATGGAGGGTAGAGGTGAGTGAGGTAAAATCACAGTTTACTTGTGCACAGACACACACAGACACACAGACACAGACACAGACACAGACACACACACACACACACACACACACACACACATACTTTTGTCTTAGTCCACTCAGGTGCATCTGTACCACTGTCCTAGCCTCAGGGTACACACCAGCTATCACTGCAAACACAAAAGGGGGGCAAATGAACTTTAAATAGCCCTACAGTGGCAGAAGGAGCACTGCTAATGAGGGGTTACATTTCAATTTGAAGGACACTTTAAGGGTGCTGTGCCCCATTTCTCCAGGATCATCTTACACAAACTGAAAAGTGTGAATCCTTAAGTAGAATTAGAAATACCGCCCCGCGGTTTTATGCCTCTGTGCACCAGTCAAGTGTCTCATACTATTTACATCCATGTCTGTGAAAACATGCTTCACACACATCTTCCCCCCGGCAGCACAGACGATCTAAACAAACAGCACAATTTCAAGGAGGGCACCTGAGATTAGTGTCACCAATTCAGTATCTGACGAAATGTCTCCCTTTCTGTTCCTGAGATATGACGTTGAGTTATGGCTAGAAAAGTGTTTTATGCTGATTATGATGTCACAGTGAAGTTGACCTTTGACCTTTTGGATATAAAAAGTCATCACTTCATCATTTTATTCTATTAGACATTTGTGTAAAGTTCTGTCATGATTTGCGCAAGAATTCTTGTTATGGCCAAAACGTGTTATGGGAGGTCACACTGACCTTGACCTTTGACCGCCAAATTCTAATCAGTTTATTCTTTAGTCCAAGAGAACGTTTGTGCCAAAGTTAGAGAAATTCCTTCACAGCGTTCTTGAGATATTGTGTTTACAAGAATGAGATGGATGGCGGTCACACTGACTTCGACCACCAAATTCTCAGTTCATTGTTAAGTTCAAGTGAATGTTTGTGCCAAATTTGAAGAAATTCCCTCAAGGTGTTCTTGAGATATCCCGTTCATAAGGATGGGAGAAGCAAGGTCACAGTAACCTTGACCCTCAGCCTATGACCATCATGTTCATCACTGAGTTCAAATGGATGTTTGTGACAAATTTGAAGAAATTTCCTCAAGGCATTCTTGAGATATTGTGTTCACAAGAATGGGATAGACGGGACAATACGAAAACATAATACCTCCGGCTAAGGTGGAATTTATGAGCATAAGCCGTAACCTACACCATAGCCTGATGTGCACCTCCCCAGAAATGTAACTACAAGTTGCAGCGACACAGACCTTCTGTCTATTTCTGTAAGCTGAAACCATTTCCGTCAGTGGAAACAAAGCTTTTATTTACTTTAATTTCACAGATAAGAAACAATAAATTATGAAGGACATAGGCTTGTGCTAATAATGTTAGCATGTTGTATTTGTTTGGAAGACGTGTTTAGTATAAGACAGTTGTTTTGTCGGTGAACCTTGTGAGTTGTAATGGAGCCGAATTTTATAACGTTACCTTTGTTAAATGTTGCTGAAAAGTTTGCTAGCTGCTAGGCTAATTTATACAATGTAATATGCCATAGGCTTGTGCTAAAAACATTAGCATGTTGTATTTGTGGGGAAATTGTGTCCAGATAAAGACAAGTGTTTGTCTGTGAGTGCTGCAAGTTATAGTGAAGCTGATTTGTGTACTTGTGTTTGAAATTGTCTCTATTAAGACATGTTAAACGTGTGTTTAATGTGTGTCTTGGGTGTGTTTTGAATCAACTAAACTTCACAGCACTTCACAGAAACCTCAAACGCTGACTGGTGTATTGGCGGTGTAACTGCAGAGTGACACAGACACCACCACCACCACCGCACAAGTATAAATGCTAACAACGGCGTACACGACATGCGTAGGCTACAGGGTAGGATCTGCTGCATGAGTATAAATCCCGCTTAAGGCTATCGCCGCTGTGGAGCCATAAAAACAGACTAAGTGAAACTTTTTTATCACATCTGTTAGCTGTTCCTCATGCTGCAGTAGTGGAGCTGAACCATCTCTGCATAAAAAACCTCATAGTTGGCCTAGATCTCAATGCCAGGGAAGGTGCAGACACAGATACAAACAAGTGCACACAAATACTGCCAGATGATTAGTGATGCAGTGAGGGTAGAGCAAAACCAAAAAGCCTTCACAGTGCCTATTAGAGCCCAAGAAAACCACAGAGAGCACAAACACAGGAAGGAGAGGAAACTGATATAACCACAGGAAAGACAAAGGAGCGCTTGGCCAAAGGTGAACTAGTTTTGTAAACAGCCATGTGGCACCACAGTGAACTAAAGAGACCTTCACCTTCTGTGTTTTAATGTTTTTGATAAGATTAAAAAAAAAAGAAAAGAAAAAGTTTTATGGTATGTGAAAAGATGTGTAAATAAATGATGTAGGTAGGGATATGGATGGATGGCAAACCTCTGGCAGGAGCTGCAGGATGGCATTGGAGTACAGCGTGCCAATGGCAAGAGCGATGAAAAAGATGAGCACGTATTTCATATAGCGTGTCTTCATCAGGGGCATGATGAAGACTCCAGTGAGAGCGAAGGCATTGATCACTGTCACACTCAGGAAAGAAAAGCCCCACACTAGATGTTCAAGTGACAGCAAGGTTGGATGGAAAAGGAAGGTGCAACATTAAAACAAACTTCCATGTACAGTGTGTGGTAATGTAGCTGTGAATGCAGCTTGAGCACTGCATAATCAACCAAACATTTTTCTTTCAATAAAATTATGTGATGAAATAAATGCAATGCTAATTTATGTCACCTAAATTCAAGTTAAAATCAAATGGGATCACATGTGATTTTGGATGTCACCAGGTGGCACAGTTTAATTCATACAACTCAGCTATGTTGTTAAAAAACATTTCTATCTAAAGGTGGTGAAGATACACAGAGGTAAATAAGTGGCATAAGGAAATTTAAAAAAAAATCTATCTATCTATATTTCTGACCCAATTTTGTGTTCTCAGTTTTTTAAACTGTGAAATACTTGATAGTTTTACCTCTTCAGGCCATTAAAAATGATTCAAATTAAACAATCTAGGAAGGAAACATCTCTCTTTGGTTGAACTACTCAAAACTTAGACAAATGCACCTTGTGACAAACAGACATTGCTTTGCTTATTAGGGTCACAAGCCAAAAATGTTTGGAAACACTGCCTTTACTGATACCTGTAGAAGAAAAAATAAGGCTTGTAGACATTAGTTAAAAGGTTTTTGGGCCATTTCTTGTCCGAGGCTGCAGCAACTGTGAGGTTTTTGAGAAGGAAAAGTTAAACTTAAAGAGCTTCAAGGTCTGGTCTGTGGTGTGAGATAACTTATCTGTGTTGAAAAGGAAACAAAAACTAGATTACGATGGTTGGTGTTGATGGCAGAAGCAGACGTCCTTATAGGGTAAAGGTACAAATCCAGTCTCTGGGAAAACAGACATTTAATCATGTGCGTTTTTGGCCAGTGCATCAATAACCAAAATCTCTGTTGTTACTCAACTGAGGAAAATCCTTATTGAATCAATCACCAGTTTCTGAAATTTACAAGGTTGTCAACTGGGCTTAGATCATTAAAACAGGCAGAGATGTAGAGCTGTGTATCATTTGCATACCATTGAAAACAGATTATGGAATTTCAAATGAAAGAACCCAATGGGAGGATTTAAAGACAGACAAAAAATGGGGCCCAGAACTGAACCTTGGGGCACACCACATAAATTATCAAATCTTTCTGAATGGAACTCCCCAAAGGAGACGCAAAGCCATTGTTAAGTTGTAAAATTGCCTAAAGTTATTAATGTTACTGGCATCTAGAGTACCTTTTTTCAAAACAGATAAAGCCAATGTAGTTTTGAAGTCCACTGGAGAACAGCCCGTCTGAAGGAAATGGTTGTTTTGTGCAATACTTCTGCTGACAAACAGCCAAAGACCATCTTAAGACAGCTGGTAAGCATGGTGTCAAGAGCACAGGTGGTAAAGTTAAGAGAAGTCACAACTAAATCAGCATCAGTGACATTAAAACAGATAAAAGGTGCTGGCTGGGGGAGGGATAGCTATGACTGCAACGTGACCAGTGATTTGTGTTGATAGTAAATCTGATGTGAGTTATCTTGATCTCTGAAAAACACTTCTTATTTAGATAATGAGGGGAAAAAAAATCAGGATACACAAGTCGGTGAGATTTTCAGTAGAGATGAATTTCCATGGCATCCGCCTCCCTGCTGCTGGCAGATCTCCACAGCCTAGGCAAAGAAAAACAGCTCTCAAGCCAAAATAAGCTGTCTGCAAGGGCAAGTGTGAGGCGAGCTGAGGGCACATGAGTGGATGATAAGAGAAAACAAATTTGTCAGTGGAGAGGGAAAGATAGAGCCAGAGCTTTGGGCCATTAAACCATTTCTCCTCTACCTGCCAAAAGATGAGATAAAATGGGTAGAAAGTAACTGAAATTTGCAAGCTAACTTAGCAACACTGACACAGCACTATGTGATTAGTTCAAAGGAGCATATAAAGCCTACTCGCAGTCATTACATTGATAATGAAAGCTGCTATTTTTCTTTTTAGTGGAGACTAATGAAGTATGGCGAAGATTTTTGAACCATTGCTGCTTTCAGACATCAATTCTGCTGCAGCATAGAGGGCAAAACATCACACAAGCTGACCAAAATCTCAAAGCCTGTCATTAGCTATCCACGTATTACAATCTCAATTTAGCTTCCACTTAACAAGAACTCAAAGGCTTGTTAAATTGGATGGTGGTGCCAAATGGCATTCTAGGGCTCTCAAGGACGTCCTTATGGGCGTGTACAGCCAACAGCTCGTATAGAGTTACAGTGAGTCAGCAGCTGAGGAAAGAAGAGCAGTTTGTTGCTGGGATGGTTTCCTGTCTCACTGTCTTTACCTGGATGGGATCTCTGCTGCATACTAGATGTGCTGACTGAGGCAGGATTGTGGAGAATAAAAGGATGTGTTGGTTTTTGAGCCAAACTGAGAAATGCAATCTGAGCCTTGGCTAACTGTGCCTGCTTATTTTGGCTTTCATCTCCTTTGGGGACATCATGATATCACTGTCTCCAGGCAACAGAACACACACATTCGGAGCTCTGATCTGGTGAAGAAATGTGCTTTCAAGGTCTTGTTGCAATGGGCTGAAAATACAGTTGTAAAAAATGAGAGAGCAAAGGGGAGAACTTGTAACAGGGTTAGTCATTGACAGAAATGATGATGTACACCATCTAGAAGGAGCAAAAGAGTTCAAATATACAAATGGACACATAAAAAGCTGTAAAAAGAAGAACAGCAAAAAGCAAAGTCCGACCCAGCAACACAAATGGTATCAGTACATCAAAAAGTACAAAAGTACAAGTGTATAACATCTGAAAATGAGAAAAGTTGTGTTTTTGTTACCTTAGAATGAGCCATTTATATCTACAGAGAGAGCAGGTCCTTGTCTACAAAGATTGCTATGTTGCACCACCATGTTTCTACAGTAGCCGAGAGTGGACAAACACTTGCTCTAAATAGGGCCATTCACGTTTACGTTTAACGTAAATTTGCTTTATTCAGTGTTTTTACTGGATTAAATCACAGAGTGTGTTTCTTTTGGAGAGGAGGAGAACTTTACAGATAATTTGTCTCCCGATAAAAAACCTCCTGAAAGCCTCAATCTTAAATTATCAGAGAAAAAGGTGAGCACACGTTAGCATGTGCTGGACAAGCGGCATGTCTCTGACATGCCAAATAGCATCAGCGAAACACTGATTTTTAGCATGACACTGCTTTAGTCAGTGTTTTAACAGGTTTTAATTACCACGTCAATGTGTTTTGGAGAGGAGGAGACCTCTGTGGACAATTCTGCTCCCAGTAAAAACCTCCTGAATGATAAACAGTGAAGAATTTCAGCTGGTTGCAATTTGCAGTCTTTACCACTAGATGCCACTAAATCCCCCGACATCTTACACACTGCTTCTTTAAAGGATATGGCTGCTGATACTTTACATTTTTGTTACTATCAACAAATTCCATAGAAAGACCAAATCCAAAAATATATTGGATGGTTTAGTCCGTCTGTGTTTCTCAGTTTCTACTTAAAGCTGCAGTAGGTAAAAAGCCTGAAAACGGTTGATTTTTGAGTCTCATCTGAGTTAGGTTTCGTTCGTCTCCGCCCTGAGCCCCTCCTACCAGACGAGCACACGAGTATTTTATCCTACTTGGTTTTATTTCTCCCTCTCTGGGAGCCTCGGCTCTCCCTCACCGCGCAGCAGCCCTCCCCATCCCTCCCTCGCAGCCCCGCACATACTCCCGAGCCTCGCTCTCCACCACCAGACCTATCCTTTAAATACACAGAATTGAAATACAAGAATTTTCAAAAGTATTTTCAGTGCCAACAAGATAGACAAATAGGTAATATTTTACATTAATGATCAGCAGTAAGTCAGTGCTCACCTTCAGCATCTGAGGGCCTGGCGGAGGGGTCACTGCTCGACTCCTCCTCTTTTTGCGCCTTGCAGGTGCCAGCATCCAACTGCTGCAACATGGTGGGGCACAGCTCCCGTAGGCCCTGCCCATCCAGCCGGGACTGCTCGCTGATGCTGTAAATGGCCAGCGTGTCTGCAGGCAAACACTGGAAATGAAAACATAACAGTCAGTCAGTTGGCCAAAGAGGAGTTACTTTTATAGTTTAGAAAAATGAGTTAGCCAGGATGTATTCAGTGGTAGATCAGGGTGCATTTTAACCAGCCTCTAGGTAGGCAGGCTTGGATTTAGAAGTTTTAATCCAAACATATTTAGAGAATTGATTAATCATGCAAATAATTTCTCAAGCAAGAGCACGCAAAAATTGCCTGGTCCCAGTTTCTCAAATGTGAGAATTCACTGCCTCTCGCTGTCAGTTGAATATCTTTTGGTTTTTGACTGTTGGTTAGACAAAACAAAACACATGAACATGTCACCTTGGGCTTTAATAAACTAACTATAAATTGACTAGTTACATTCATGATCTCCTTGTTCCTAATTCCACTTCTCTACTACTCGGATTCTCAAATCTCTGCCTTTTATCCATCCCCGCTCCAACTGCAAAACAAAAGGCGATCCTACATTTGCTGTTTTAGCCCCAACCCTCTGGAGCAATCTTCCCCAATTCATCAGATTGGCTGAATATTTGGGCTGATTTTAGCATCTACAAAAAACCCATCTTTATAACTTAACTTTTCTAAAGAGCTTCTTCACGTGTTTTGATAGTTTCAGTTTTGTCTGTCTCTCATTGTGCCATTCCTTTTATTTTAATTCATTTTTACTTAATTTATCCATTCATTTCTATTTTTCATCTGTGTGTGCGTGAAGCACTTTCTAACTGCGAGTTTTAAAAAGTGAAATATAAGTAAAAGTTTTACTTATTTACTATTTTCTGACATTTCATTCATTCATACATTCATTTTCCATAACCGCTTCTCCTGTTGAAGGTCACAGGGATGTTGGAGCCTATCCCAGCTGACACTGGGCGAGAGGCAGGGTTCAACCTGGACAGGTCACCAGACTATCACAGGGCTGACACATAGAGGCAGACAACCATTCACACTCACATTCACACCTACGGACAATGTAGAGTCACCAATTAACCTGCATGTCTTTGGACTGTGGGAGTTGGAGTACCTGGAGAAAACCCACACTAACAGGGGAAGAACATACAAACTCCACAGAGAAGGGCTCCCCCACTCCAGGTTTGAACCAGAAATCCTCTTGCTGTGAAGCAACAATGCTAACCACTGCATCACCGTGCCACCCAATTTTCATTTCATTTATCAACTGTTAAAAAAAAACAATGAATCACTTAATAATGAGAAGAATCATTGTTACCGCCCTAAACCAACTAAGAGATAAATATAAAGTATGTTGTGCGCTTCAAGTGCCTAAATACAGTAATTAACAGGGTTCCCACACATTTTCATGGACAAAATTTCTTCTTTTCCATGACTTTTCAAGGACCTATAAATAAATTAAAAAATGTTCTTGCCTCACTTTCCTGGCATTTACCGCACAGATTCAATTCAAACATGATCTATTGTTAGCTAGCTGGCATGCATGAAGAGAGAGATGGGATGTGGGGAGAAAATGAAAAATATCTCTGACAAAACGTCACAGATTGACACATATTAGAGCTGCGTTACGTTGTAAGCTCCAGAAAATAAATTTGCAGTTATGTTACATAACATGGAAGGTTATCTACAAAAGATTATTCAAACAATTTCATTACATACAACAGTATTTGGCGAATTTCAAAAACTTTCAATGATTTTTATTAGTTTCTTGACTTTTCCAGGCTTGGAAAACATGATTGTAAAATTCCATGACTTTTCCAGGTTTTCCATGATCGTGGGAACCATGGATTAAGGTCTAGTCTGCTGCCATTAATTCAACGTATTTTTGAATAAAAATGTAAATTAACAAACAGTCTTCATTTTCTTTAATATTATTTCTAAATGTAGGGTGTTTGCCATAAGACTTGAAATTTAAATAAAACTGCAAATCATAGTGCATTAAAAATGTTTACTAACAATGTAGAACTGGACAAATACAGATGGAGGGGATGCCCAACAGCCACTGAAAGGAAGATAAGACATATACAGCAATGTCAGCTTCTGAAATCTCTCTCTCTCTGGGGTATCAAACCTCAAAAGTCACATTGAAAAGTCAAGAGAAACTGAATCCACAGTAAATATTTCATTGCTATATTGGGACACATGAGCCAGTTAGACTTTCATCTCCTGAGGACAAAAAGTGAAGCTGAATCAAAAACGAGTGGAGCTTTCCACAGCTGCAGAAAATGTATTAAATATTCTTTTAAATTATTATATAAACTATTCTCAGCATACACAATGAAACATTCATCGTGGCAGCCATTAATACTGGAATGCAACGTGTGCAGTTAAGAATGGCTGCTCCTGAACAGGTGATTAACAACATGCCAGTGACACATGACTGAATATTGGCCAACGATTGAAGTACTTTACTTTTGTTTATTGAGTCACACACCTGTACAAAACAGGCACTACCTGTTTGTGTCTTTATCTATTTATACGGGTAAAGAAAGCAACACACATTGGTACGTACAAAAAAACAAGATCCAGGGAGTCTCAAATTAATGCAGACAACTGTGGAAAAAAAAATCAAGGCACTGGGTTGTCTGCATTAATTTGAGACGTTCTTTTACCAGCCTCACCAAAGAGCACCTGCTGGATCAGCCATTAGTGCCAAGCAGCGTCTTTTTTTCCATTGCAACCACTCAATAGTGTGGATCTCCTCTAAAATCTGAACTACATGTGACCTCTATTTAATTTCTTTGAAGAGTTTGTAGCTTTGCCACCATTACTAAATCTATTCAAAAGCAGATCAGCAAGTGAGTCAATCATCCACGACACTAAGCATGGGAAATATGTTAAATATGTAAGCTATCTGGCACCGGTGGCTCCTGCTTCTTCCAGGCAGGACTAAAGCTGGATTTACTCTTCTGCTTCAGAGTGTTTGAGGGGACGCTGAGGCTCCACCGGAGGTACTGACACAGCTAACATGTACCTCCTCAAAAAAAATGTGAATACACATCATGGCTGTAGAGTGCCGACGCGGAAGTTAGCATCACCCTGGTTCCCTCGTCAAAAAGCTTCAGGGATTGCGCCACTGGATTTTGTATTATTGCAGAAATAAACACTGTGGCACACAATGGTTTATGACTCTCACACATTTTGTTCAGCAAGATAATCTTCACAAATAAACACCACTCATTTTTGAAGCCTAAATACAATCGTCAGAAGTTAAAAGCTAATGAAATAAAAGCTTAACAATTCACAGGTGGGGTTTTAACTGGCATATTTTAAGTCGTAGAACAAAACGTGAAAGTCTCTTGGGCTTGTGTTAACCACAGGCCTTTTTACAGGCATCTAACCAAAAATTCATTCCAAAAAAAACCTTGACTTAGAGACGAGGGACCCAGGAGTGCTAAAATGCTAACTCATTTCTGGGTTTTAAGACTCATTCCTGGAGCACTCTATACAGGAGATACCACATGTAAACCACGCCTACATGATTCTGTAGCTGGTGGAGATCGTCGATTATGAAGACAGCACATATTACACTACAAAGGATCAGTAGTCTTTGAAATGTTAAGAACTAATTTGAGATTTAATGATTTAGCAGAGGTGCTTTAGGGTGTTTTGTGTGTCTCCCTCTGTTTCTGGCTGTCAGCTCTAGCCTAATTGCTTGACCGCACCCTCCTGTCCTTACCCAACGTGGAGCAGGAATGGTGTGAAAGAGCCACTTTGTACTCCTGCTTGCTTTCATTGGTTTGGTTATCATCCATTGTTTACACATCATCACTTGTTAGCACATATAGTTTTCATAGTTCCAACACTCAACAGCTCGCTGACGACCAATCACACACACCCAGGACTTGAATTGTTTGAATCATCATAACTGACTGACAATTAGATAACACACAGTAACGGTTACTGTATGAACCTCCCTTGTTTGTTAAGGCCTAAAGAAGCCAGTTGTAACACTGGCAACACCCTTTTCCTGTGTGAAGAACCTTCCTATTAGCACTCTTCATCACACGCTACACCAACACAATGATAGAAGGTTGACACACTTAAGATATATCAAGCTCAAACAGCTCTACAGAGAAGTACAGATCCAGCTGAAATTACCTACACTACAGGTCTTCTAGGGTCCAACATTTAGCACCGATCTAAAATGGACAAATTCAAAACCAAGCCCGAACAAGACGTACATAAGAGCCCAGGATAATTGGATCTATTCCCGAAGGCAAAGGACTGAAAATACACTGGCAGCAGTATGAAGCACCATCAGTTAGCATGCAGCTATGGTTGAAAAGGGTAATTGTACTCATGCAATGATTATGACTGAATACGAGTCCATCTTGATCCACTAAAGTATAAGACATATTGACACACAGACACGTAATCCAAGACAAATAGAACAGCAACCTGTTGCACCAGCTCTGTGTACGTTCAAACTTTGCCAAACCTAGTTAAAACAAGGGCTGGTCGGTTGGTCGATATGATCTTGTTGAATTGAATTCTCATTGGTTAGACAATCGCTGGTGTTCTTTTCATAGGAGGTTGTGTCCACACCAAAGCATTTTTATATCTCTGACATGTGACATATGAACCTTCTAAGACCCTGAGGACATCTGGGACTGACCTATTGACCGTCCCAAGAGTCAGAACAAAACATGGTGAAGCAGTGTTTTGTTATCACGCAGCACAAACCTGGAAGAACCTCCCAGATGATGTCAGATAAGCCCCGACTCTGAACATTTTTAAGTCAAAGCTAAAAACACTAGTTTTTCACACTGTTTACTTCACCCTGTAATGACTGAAAGCTTATTTTTAAACTCAGTTTTAAATTGTTTTTAAAAAAAATATATAATCTTTGCACTACTTGTCTACACTTCTGCTATTTTTTTTAATTGTAACCCTTTATCTTTTTTCTCTTTACTCATTTCTATGTCGTTTATTATGTTTTATATTTTATTGCTCTGCACTTTGAATTGCCCTTGTGTATGACATGTGCCGTACATATAAAGCTGCCTTGCCTTACCTTTGTACTATTTTATTACCTTATTTCATTACAAACTAACTAGCAGTTCCTGAGCCTCTAGTGTTGAATTTACAGCCTAAATTAAAAGAGAACTTTCACATAACGGGTGCAACCAGGTGCAGAATCCTGCCCAGACCTGGTGAGACTGAATGTAATTAAGACTGGGCCGACCACCGAACAGTTTCTAGTAATGAAGACCTCTAACTCATGATGGGACCATCTCAGTAGCAGATCAATTTCAGCAGTAATCATAAAAGAATCAAATAAAATGAAGCTATAAACTGTAAATCTGGTTTAATTTATGAAGCTACTTATCAGCAGCAAGATTCTGCACACACACATATATTAAACTATGTGGCAGCGCTGAAATAATTAGTGGATATATCGATACTCAACAGACAATCAAAAAAAAAGATAACTCATTGTTCGTTCCAGCCTCTCAAATATCAGCATGTGGTGCTTATTATTATTTTGGGGTTTTAACTCCTGGTCAGACATCAACTTGGACTCTGGGAAACTGTAACATGCATTTTTAGTACTGTCAAAATCCTTATAGTTTCTAAAAATCTGTACGGTATCTTCTATATTCAACACAGTACAGGAACAGCTGGCGAAAGCAACGCTTGAAGAAAGTCACAGTGCATCTATGCCAACGCTGAATAAGGTCTACAGTAAGTTGTTTTATTCTTATATAATGTTTCCTAATTAACACTTGGAGGCAAAAACATAACATTATAAAAAAATATATAAAATGTGGTTGCTTCAGATGCAGAGATTCAGTTTGCACTCATTATCTAGGCCACAGAGGGGCATCCTGTCAACTCAAAGTGCGAGCACAAGATAAAAAAAAACCCTTTTATTCTCACCTTGGAGCTGTTGGATTTGGGAGGTGAGGTCACTGTAGGTGTCTCAGTCGTACTGCTGCTGTCACTGTCACCTTCACCCTGACCCTGGCTGAGGAGGGCCAGCAGTGAGCGCAGCTGTGGCACCGTGATGGTGCTGTTGTCTCCATAGCGGGACAGCAAGTCCTGAAGCACCTGGGCAGGGGACTGTGTCTGACCTTCTCCCTGACATGTCACGCGGCCCAAGGGGCAGATGAGCACAGCCAGGGCCAGGACAAACATCAGGTGGGACTGGAGGAGGGTGATGGTCATAGCGGCACGGCCATGAGGGCGCCAGATAAGCATGGCTTCTTCACTGGCTGCAGGCGTTAATCTGTTGGGGGGGGGCAGGAAGAGAATAAGAGGAGTACTTTGAAAACTACAACAAAAATAACAGCATTCTCCAAACTACAAACTTAGATAGAAGCACTGGATGTAAATACTATTCTATAAAGAAAAAACTCCACAGATAGCTTTAACAAAAAAGCCAAACATTTCAACATAATATCATAGCATAAATAAAACATTAAAATCATGACTTAAAGGTCCAGTGTGTGGGATTTAGAAGGATATAGTGGCAGAAAAGGAATACAATTCCTTCATGGTTTCATTAGTGTATAATCACCTCAAAATAAGAATCAGTGTGCTTTCGGCACCTAGAATAAGCCGTTTATTTCTACACACCAGGGGTCCTCTTCTACAGAGTCCACCATGTTGTATCTACAGTAGCCCAGAACAGACAAACCAAACACTGGCTGTTGATAGGGCCATTCGCATTTTCACATCGGCCATCGTAGCTCTTCTACATGCTTGACACATGGGAGAAATGGTGCAACCTCACCACTAGATGCTACTAAACTCTACACAGTAGACCTTTAAAAGACACGCTTGCAGAATTTTCCTAAAACACAATGATTAGACTTTATTTTGTTCTCATTTTACTCTGTTTAGTATGTTCCTGCACAGGGCACAGGTGTGGCTAGGAATTCATAAACAGGTTGTGACCAGTGCCAGACCATTTGCAGCACGGATCTAAGGGGAAGCTACAAAAATCAGACACCATGCTGAAAAAATGCAAATGTCGCAAGGCCAAATGCCAAGCAGACAAAGCTTGTTTCAAAATGATGGAATCCGGACATGGTCTTCACTTTCACTGGCGATACTGTTACAACCAGTAGCCGACAATTCCTGCATAGTATACCTTTCAAATCAAGCAACATCTGATCAATAAGACACAAAACAGAATTTGAAGAATAATTCTGTACCCATTTTTGGCACTCAACAGTTTTGAATACTAAACACAATAACTGTGGGTCAGTACTCAAAAGAGCACTGACACCTGACCCAAGAGGGGACTGAATTTATTTTGAACAGTGCAGCTTTAGATATGTGAATATCCAATTGTTCAGAAGGTAAGGGGCCAATCCTGACTGCAAATTAACACCCAAACTCTACCCAAAGGCCCACTGTTCGCCAGCACAAAGCACACTGAGGGAGGAGGAAACCAGTGGGACAAACACAGCTGCCAATTACGCACAATTACAGACAATTATAGCTCACATTCACCAGACAACATATGTAATAACCAGCAATGCAATACAGTAACACTCTCTAAACTAAAACCAGACATGCAGGTTTAGTCATAATATCTGTGTGGATAGTATGGATTCTTAGCCAATTGTCCCATTGAGTTTTTTCCCTCATCACTTAAATTGTACCCAGTTTTACACACACAAGAATTACAAAAAAATTCTATTTTGAATTAGCTATGTGGGGGAAAATAGTATGCAAGTATTTCGTCTATGAACAGGGTTCCTGCAGATCCTCAAAAAGTCACTGAACTGTTTAATCTAAAAAATAAGGCCTTAAGGCAACCTCCTGCATTTTATGTAGCCTTGATTCAGTATACCATGCATCTCTACGTTTTATTATAAATGCAAAGTCACTTACTCATCACTGCATTCTTTATGATTTGGTGGGTTGGACGTCATTGACCATTCGCAGACAACAGCACTGGTATATTTTCATCTATAAAGCAATATTGGGCAAACTTTAGGCCTCCCTCTGCACCCTTCTGTGTGTCAGCTCTGGTAATTACCAGCAACACTACTTCAGGTGCTTGCTTTTTGATGTACCTGGGTTTTAACAGATCTTGGGAAAACTGCATTCTCCTACTCTGCACCTTGGACATGAAACAATCTTTAAAAAGGTCTAAAATTAGACACACACTTATATCTATGGATGAAGTCATGGGCATCATAAAGAATGTGGTGACAGAGGCATGTGCTCGTTTTTCTTGAGAGACCACTATGTTTGAATAGTTGTTGTTTTATTGTGGATTTTTGTATTATATGTTGTATTCGTTGCATTCTAAATGTGTTTTAATCGGCTGCTACCTCAGCCAGGTCTCTCTTGTAAAAGAGATTTTCAATCTCAAGGGAACTTCCTGGTTAAATAAAGGTTAAATAAATAAAATAATTAGTATTAAAGTGTCATAAATCAATCTTTCAAAAGTCTTCAAATGCAAAGACATGGGAAATAGGATTTTCTAATTTTTTTCTGATGTTGCATTAAGAAAAATCCCAAAATAATTGGTGACAACTGTTTTATTTTAAATAATTTACTGAATGCCTCTCAAATTAACGTCACTCAGATCAGAAAAGTGGAACCAACAAAACGCATATTTTGTTTCTGGCCGGATGCTCAGAGCAGAGGATCCACTGCCTGTTAGCTAGCTGTCACTGTACCCTGGATGACATCGGGAAGGTGTAAATTCAATAAAAATTGGCTATATAACCAAGAATTTCACCGCATGGCTAAAACCAGTACAAGGCATTGTATTCAAGGCATATTGTATTGAATGCAAAAAGTTTTTCAAACACTTAATGGCAGTGGACTCTCACATGCAGAGTGAGAACACAAAATTGTCAAGAAAACTCAGCAACAATCACCAAGTATGTCCCAAAAAAGTCGTGTTTTATGTTATAATGAACACTTTATTTAATTCTGAGTAGGATTAAAAAAGTCTTAATAAGTCCTTCTTGCCTCAAGCTGAAAGAACCCTGTTCATAGTGCATCCACTTTTTCCATCCCTGATACAAACTTTCACATACACACACAACACACACAGGGCAAACTGTAAAGTTCCCGTCCCGTGAGCTCAACACACAGAGCACTGATTCATTTCAATGCACCCTGCAGGTCCACATGCAAACCTGGGCTGAATAAACAGACCCATTCATTTCTGTGCGAAGAAACACTCACCTCTTCCTACAGAGTCTCTAATGATAGCTGGTGCGTAAAGCGCTTCAGTCAGTCTGTCTGCCCCAAGGCTCTGGGCGTGCTGAATAATGCCCACAGGTTACCTGGGAGTAGAGATGGAGTCGGGGGAATAGCGAGTGGTGAGGAAGAAATGCCCGAACAGAGCAGCGAGCTCCTCAGGAGTGCAGTGGACTGTGGAAAGGAGAGAGACAGATAAAACAAAGGTTACGACTCACCGGTGAGGAAGAAAGAAATAGGAAAGGATGGAGGAAAAGAAAAGAGGCAGTGGAGAAGAAAAGAAACCTGAAATGGCAGCTGCCAGCTTAAATGTTCTGTGCTCGCTCTACCCATCGACTTGCCTTCTTCAAATTCCAGTCTAACTCTCAGGCCACGAAGTCTAGCACCGTGCCAAACCCACATCACTCCTCTTCTATACTGAGCATTGCATTCATATTCAGATGCTGTACATAAAGAGAAGGCCGTTTAGTTTGCTACCAGAGGAATCTGATGGGGAATTACTGCAGCTGCAAACATCTAGTTCAGCTGCAGGCTGCCAGCCAATCAAGTTTCTGTCACCGAGGGCTTGGAAACTCCAGAAAACTTGCTTATGAAAGGCAGGAGAGTCGAAATACATGAAACTCCCCTCTCTTTATATATACTGCAGACATCCCCTTGAGCAAAGTGCTACACACCCCAACTGATCAGTGGCCAACAATACACATCTGTGTCTGCTGGACAGCTGTGTGGAAATGTGACACATTATGAATGTAAAGCAGAACATTTATGAAAGAGTCGACTCCTCTCAAGATAAAATACAACTTTCAAAAGGTCAGTCTGTCAGCTGTCCCTTTCTTCTAATCTGCGTTCACTCACCAACTTTCTCCTCTCGGAGCTGAGGAGGCAAAGAAAAGAGTCTCCTCTTCAATAAGTCACCCTCTCCCCAATGAATTGTATCCTCTCTCCCAAATCTTCCCCCTGTGCTTGCTCTAATGAGGCCTTATTCTGAAGCACGGGGGAAAACAGGGTACAGGAAATAAGAAAAAAAAATCCTGTTTAAAGTCTCTTAAGCTCCAATTTTTCATTTCTCTCCCCTCCCTCTTACACAATCCTTGTAAAAGTTGCAAGAGCTCTGAACCTTGCTCTCCTTACTGCTGGCTGCTATTGTTAGTGAATAACAGGTTGAAGCCAGGAGTGGATAATGGTGCTGTAACAGCTGGCTGATTGACAGAAGCAATTACGACTATTTGTTGATTTTTTACAGACTGAATGATTAATCAAATAATTATCATTCATTACCGATTCATTTTACAAAGGTAAGAGAAGAGAATTCCTGCACACTGTCTTATCACTCGCATCCATCCATCCATTTTCAGCCACTTATCCGGGGCCTGGTTGCAGGGGCACCAGGCCAGGCAAAGCACCCCAGACGTCCCTCTCCCCAGCAACACTTTCCAGCTACTCCTGGAGGACCCCAAGGCGTTTCCAGGCCAGATGAGCTATGTAATCCCTCCAGCATGTTCTGGGTCTGCCCTGGGGCATCCTACAGAAACACCTCCAGCTGGAAACACCCAGGAGGATCCTGATCAGATGCCCGAACAACCTCAACTGACCCCTTTCAATGTGAAGGACCAGTTAACAATAATTAACTTCATTTAAATAACACACAACATTTTGATCCTTGGACCTTCATCAGGCCTAAGGACTAAGGAGGATGGAAACACTGTGTATTTAACTGCACATAATAAGACAGAGTTACTGAAGGTGTGCATGAGCCTCCGCATTCTAGATTAATTATATTTGAATGAATCTGCACTAAACCTATTGTAACAGCAGCCCTTGTGCACAATACAGATAAAATCCTCCATTACAGTTGTATCAGTACAAGGTTCCTTTAAGGTACCGACTAAAATGACCTAGTACCAAGTAGGGTGGGGGGTGAGGAATCAATACAAAATAGTGTCGCCATATTTTTGCATGGCAAAAATATCAATGCCACTTTTTCAGAAAATACCAGATGAGAAAGTCTGTTTTTGGCTAATTTATGAACTTCAATACCTGAAAATTCAATTTAACCTCATCATATTGATGCAAAAGTTCTGAAAACGCAATATAACTTGAATCCAGTTCTTCCCAATGATCTGCAACATTCCCAGCAAATGTTTGACACAACCAGAGATATTAAAGGCATAGCTGAATTAAACTGAGGGAGTTGATAACCCTGGCCATAATAAAGACAAGTTCTACAGTGGTAATGATATGGTATATACCACTAATTTTATGCTACTACCTTGTCCAGAAGCCCACACATCAATGGGACACACCTGGTTAAATCAAGGCTAAACAAAAAGAGAAGATAAAGCTGTATTATCTAAAGGCAGGTAAGGAGTTTTCTTGAAGCTTTCTCTGGTGGTGTTGCTGCTATAACCTTCACTGGTCAAGAGTTTCATAGGTGGATAAACGTTCAACAATAAGCTCTGCTCCTATGCCTCTAACAGCCTGCAGCCACAGGTAAAGTGATATCGCTCTCCTCTTCCACATTTATTTTTCATTAGGAGAGAGAGGAGAGGCAAGGTGTGTGGAGAAATGTTTTGGAGTGACTAAACGCAGCAGCTTGGATAAACACATGTCTTCTTAATTTGTTTACATGGTGTACTACTGTGTTCCAATCTAACATGCAGATACACACACGGGTTAAAGGTAGAATACATGTGGGAAAATATGCACTACATTATTTTCATGACATTTAAACAATGGCTGTTAACAAGCAAGGTAAATGCGATATAGGAGTGGAAACAATTTGCATTGGGAAATAACAGGGTTTATGGGAAATGTGGTCTTCAGTTTGGGAAACAAAAGTACTTACGATACCAGTGGGAACACAGAGAATCCATTATTACATCAATGTACCACAAGTAATCTGCCACTGATGTGTCACTGTTTGGGTTTGCTAATCCATTACTAAGTAAATAGATCAATTATGTGTCGCTCCATTAGTTAAATATGTTGTAGCATCCTTTCTTGATTCAGCCAGGAGATGGTAGAGAGATGGTGATCAAGGTAATGATTGCTGCTGTTACTGGTACTATTCCTGGTGCCACTATGTAGTACAACTCAGCTTTCATACTGTCATGGTCATTCACTGCCCTCCTCGCACTTCCTTCTTGCGTATAAACACTCTTATTATTCTTATTCTTATTATTTTTTCCCCCGTTTGGTGTCATGTTTTTCTTTTCATATTCTCATGTCACACTTTTGTCACATGTAAATAAAATTGAAAGAGATAAAAGAGATCATCAGCCAATTTTAGCCTGTCTTATTCATAAATATATAATCATTTCATATCATCATTTAGCTGTAACAAATGTTGACCAACAGATCATCGGTTTTATGCTCTGACAACTGTCATTTATATTTTCAGATTCTTCATTAAAAAATACATTACATGGTATCAACTGTAATATGGCTGCCATATTTTTTTTGGGGGGTGGGGAAATGTGCCACACTAAGACCATCACATTTAGATCATTTATTCAAAATGTAATAAACAACAGCAACTTATTTCACCAGTCAATAAGAAACCAGGAGAAGAGCCACTAGATGGAAACAGAGCACTTCACAGCAACAGCTTGAGTTTCATCACCTGCAAAAGGCCACTCTGACTTCACTTTAGCAAATAAACTACAGTTTTCCTGTCAACAACACGTCACTCAATTACGTAACTCCAGTACAGGAAAGGCAAAATGTTGCCACACTGCTGACTTAAGGGAAGAACTTTGGATTTTCCAAGTTTCTCCACAGTCTCTGACTCAGGCAGTGGCCGTGGGGTCATCTGCTTTTGATGATCGAAATCAAAAGCTCATTTTGACTAACTGTCGTTTCAGAATCGAAATCGTGACACCCCGTTACTCCATACCGGAACTCACGTTACAAGAAAGGCAAAAATGTTGCCTCACTGCGGACTTCAGGGAAAAACTTGGGATTTTCCAAGTCTGTTTTTCCATAATCTCTGACTCAGACAGGGGCCATGGTGTCATCTGCAAGAAAATCAAGACCTCTGAAACTCTCATACAATAATATCATCCTCAAACATACAGCATCGGCTGTGCTCTGTCTGTCATATAGCAAGATAACCAGTGTGGAATAGCTGTTGAAGTGCTGCCTGTCACCCTGCTTCCTCCCCAGGACTTGGTATGAACCTTAAATACACACATGCACTCATGCTCCTAAATAAGACCTCATTTTGCTCTGGAGAGTGCACACGTCTAAACAGCGAAGCTACAATAAACAGTGAAGGAGCAGAATCCTTCTTTACTGGCAGACCTTCGCCTCGGTCTCAATGTGGCTACGGTCCAATTAAAACAATGTAGGTACTGCTTTTAAATGTCAGCATGTAAGGTCATACCGATGTCACCACACACTCAGACGCACATGCAGTTAGAGTCCAAGGCCTATTTGTAGCCGTGGAGATAAAGGGTGGTGGTAAGAGACAGGCAGTCTGCAGCACGGATGTTAGTCCTTCACCACGATGTTAAATATGAGTTTCAAAAGGGAGCCAAGAGCAGAGAAGACAAGAAGGAAGAGCAGGACAGGAAAATGTTTAGTCACAGTCTGCTGGACTCCAATCCCAAGGGCATGCAGCTGATTCCAGTCTGCCCAGTATTTCCAATTGTTCTCTGTTCTTAGAAAGTCACCTGTGTACCCTGCTTCTTGTTTATCTTCCATCTAATGACGTTTCTGTCAGATTAGAAACCACAAATAAATCAGCACAGAGAGGTAACTTCCAGTCAAGCCATGAGCAAACGTACTAAATCATGAAAACACACACAAATTACTTTGTTTTTTTCAACAATGTCACCGGAAAATCTTGGGCAACAGGGAGTGAGTAAATCCACATGTTGTGATTAGGCTTAATCAGGCCAAACCAAACAGTGTTATCAGCACTTATGTCACATCTCACACGCACACACAGTACTTCAGACCCACATAAACACACCTCAATGAGAAATTTCCATTGTCATCATCAATTTCACCACCTGACTGAGCAGAAATCAAATCTCTGATGGGTCACGAGTCTAACAGGAGCTCAGGCAGGAGACGCTGCCAGCTCAAACTTTTTTCCACCAACCAGCCTATGAGCGATATCCGAGCACAGAATGACACATGAGGGACTGCTTACCCATTTTGCCAGAATTTATGTAACCACAGCCCATCACCACTCCAAACCCACACACCTTTTAAATAAATTAGTGAGTAATTAAGGTGCTGGTAAGCTGAACAACACTCTCTAAAGCACCTTGGAAAAGTGTTTTTATTAGAGTTGTTAATCAGTTGCACGTAGTTCTGCAAAAGGAACAACAAACTCAATCTAGGCAAAGTTATGACTGATAAAAGTGCTGATGGAAACTCTTCTGACACTGCAGTTGTCTGTTGGATCATGACTCAGCTTTTATCTGTCTTAAAATATTTCCAACAGAAGCCATCCTCATTTATTTTCTATCCTGCAGCAACAACAATAAGTAAAGGGTTTCTCAGTCTTATAAATGTAATCCATCAAACTACTGTGCACTTGTCTGGTGGTAGGTGACGGGGATACAGTGCTTTTACAGACAGCTATACATCTAAACTCAACTTGCTTTTGGTTGGGATCTTGATTTAACTGCCCTGTCATGTAATAAACTAGAACAAATTCTGAGGCAACAACAACTGGATGAAAAACTAGATTTGGTAAGAATATCTGTGTTGATACGACACATCATATTTGTTATGATGGTATTTAAGTTTGCACAACAATTTCTGTATATTTTGAATAGTGTATGGTAGTGAACTATACTAAGGTTATGTTTATATTTACCTTATTTATGTACTAAAAGAGATTGTGGACAACTTCGTGCATAAAGGACGACGTAAAGCTTGTATTGGTTTGGATCGTAATAAGTTTTTGACCATGTTATGCAGTGTTGAAGTATAATGACGCGTACTACATGAGAATATATAGAAACAGGACATCGAGACGGCAGTGGACCGCACTAGGTGTAATTTTGGGAGGACTTGGCCTGCCACTTGTTTCCTTTTTTTCATTCTCAATAAACCTCGTTCAGCTTTTTCCCAGCCTTGTGAGTACTGTGGATCTCCAGAAAAGGAACAGAAACACAAGTCAAAATCTCGACACTTAACAAACTAAGTGTCCTCTACACTAGACACTGCTGTACTGTCACGCCACACACTGTATCAATATTCTTCTGTAATCCAAGACTTAAAATGCACACTAAACCTTGTTCAGATACCTTTAGCACTGTAATCAACACCGTGTAGCCTGTATCAAAGCTGTGCATCTCAAACAGCTCTGCTGGTATTCAAATACACGTAATTTAATGCAGTCCAGTGATTCTGTTAATCCCATTTTGCTGCGATAAAAACAAAGACTGGCACGAGAAAAATCAAAGTTCAGACTTATCAGATAAATACAAGTTTTTCCTTTGTGGGCAAAATTTGCAATTAAATACCACAACACAATTTCATTTATAAAAATACTCAGCAATGAAAACCACTGAGAACGCCAGCCATATGGAACTCTGGCTTCTGGATTATGATAAAACAGCAACTTAATTTTTTTTCAATATCATGAAATGGGTTTTTTTCTCGATTTACTGAATAATCATTCAGTTTTTAAAATAGAGAACAGTGACAAATGCCTCTCATTAGCTCAAAGAGTCCATGGTGACAGGTCTAGTTTTCCAAAAAACTCAAAAATATTCAGTTTACCCTACAACTCCTGCATACCCTGTTCTCAGACATTAAAAAAAAAAAATACTTCAGCCAAGTACCCCCTGACCGATACAAAACATTTTTGGTAGACAAAGAAGCTTATATAAAACGGTATATTACAGCAATGCGCAATCAGTGTGTGATTTACTCAACAACAACCTTGTAACTAACTCAGAATCCATCGCTAAATTCATGTCAAACCATTTTTTGTCATCATGCAATTACACTAAGATGGCATTGCAGTTGCATTGAACTGTGTCTTTGTGATGACTTGCACCTACGATTTTGTGATATTACCATTTTAGGAATTATGCATGACTGATATTCTTTAAATTGACGATTAAAACAATCTCTAATACATCCTGCAGTACTCCAAAGTACCCCTATGGGTGCACGTACCCCCATTTAAGAAACACCAGCATAAAGCATACCCTACCTTTAATGAATGGAGACTCACAAAAGTAACATCCAATCTTGCTTAGTTTCTGAAAGCGGTCTGTTCCTCAAAGCAGACCCTGGCTTGTCCTCTCACATCTGCACACTCACCTGTCACTTTATATACCACTGGGGCGAAGGGCAGGTTAAGCTGTGCATCGACTCATCAACCTTTACCCAAGGCCCATAATTATTGTTTCGCGCAGCCCTCAGGCTGATATCATCAAGCAAGACTGTCATTAGATGAGAGAAAGATGGCTGTGGGCACCCTGCTGGTTCACTGAACTCACTGTCCATGTGCTCCACTCATCCTGAGAGTATACAACAAAGCACCATTCACCATACAATTAAAGGGTTTGGACAAGACTTGGTCTGGCTCAACCCCCTACTTTTACCCAGAGGCCAGCTTAGAGGTCAGATATCAGGAAGCAGAAAGCCACAGAGCACATGTATTTAAGTCCCGCTGCTGAGCACAACTGCTTGTCTTAGTTTTTTTTTTTTTTTTTTTTACACTTTCTCCTCACTACATTTCAAGAGGGAATGTTCATTTTATTTCACTAGCTCCAGTTATCTGACAGCTGCGGTTGTAGTTTCTTTTCCTTTATAGTATTGCTCAGGGTTCACACACATTTCCAATGAACTTTGTTGGCTTTAAACAGTGTTGGAAATTAGCACCAGCCACCAGCCAAATGTTGGTAAAATATGCAAGTGGCTGTGAGATCTGCTTCACTCACCAGCCAAAAAAACAATGGTTATCTCTTGAGTGGCTGGCTAATTTTGGAGTCCAACAGCCATAGTGGCAGGTTGACAAAAAAGTTCATTTCCTTGGCTTTAAACCAATTCCATGACATAAATGTATAAATGGATAAATAAATAAATAAATAAATGGACAAATTCTGCACATACATAAAAAATAAGAGAAATGTGCTGAGTGAAAATCAACCACGATCTTTCCAAAGTAAAAAATACTCCTTGTATTATTACAAAAGTTAATGACAGTTAAGTGTGATGACTGTTATGTCCACTCTTACACTGCATGATGATAAAACATACATAGATGAATGGTTTGAAATTAATATTAAATCAAACTGTTTTTCATATTTTTCCAAAACCAAATGTGAAAAAGTGTAAAAGTTCCGGAACTTTTACAGGGGCTAAAGTTTACTTGGTGCTGACTGGATGTACTCAAGGCGGGATGTGACGTCAACAGAAAGCAACAAAATAGCCGGCATTTTTAAAACTCAGCAGACGAGGGTTAGCTCGTTCATAGCTTCCACCACCATGTAAACGAAGAGACATGCCAGAAACCCAGCAACCACCTCAGCTCCTTCCATGTTGATTATCGTCTTTCTTATGTCTGTTTTCTTCTTCTTACATCTGCTTCGTACTTCTGCTTCTTATTCTTTGTTGTTGTTGTTCTTTGTTTGTTTCTTTGCCGCGTCGCACCGGTCAAAATGGTCGCGCAACGATTACGTCACATCCAGAGCCCGGTAACTTTACAGGAACCTTCCTCCTACTCCGCCCTCTCAGTGGAGACACGGCGGTTGAGAAGGCCGAGCAAGAGGACATTCCTATAAAGTTCCTGGCCCCCAAATAGTACCAGGAACTTCTTCAGTGGAAACGGGCTATAGACTGTTTATCTAGAGCCAGTGTTTGGTTTGTCTGTTCTGGGATACTGTAGAACAACACGGCGATCTCTGTGGAAGAGGACCCGCTTCATATGCCGATATAAACAGCTCATTCTAAGGTGACGGAAACACAATTCTTAGTGTCATACCATTATATACTTGAGAAAACAAACTCACAAATTCACACTCCCACAACATCTCAAGACTTTCATTTTAATAACAAAAACTTTGGTCCAAAAAAAACCATATTACTCAACTGGAAAGACAAAAAAAAAATTAGCAATAAACCATTGGCTAAATCTGTTGACGGACTACGAAAACTTAGGAAAGCTCACAGCAACCCTACAAGACAACCTGACCCCATTCCATAACACTTAGTCTCCATTTCTGCAGCTCATTCAGAGCTGATTCCTCTTTATACTGTTTTACTTGCTCACTTCATCCTCCCAGTACCAATATGACAGCTGAAGTTTGTTTCGTGTTGTGTCATAATGTCTCTCTTCTTTGTTCTGTAAATATGTCTGATGTGCACAGGTGGTAAAAAATAATAAAAAGAGTTTTCCAAAAAAAGAAAGCAAACTTACTGTATCATATTCCACTTCTGCCAACATATCCTCTTTCTACTACGACTTCTACTCCACTTTATCTCAGAGGCAGATGTACTTTTTATGCCACTATATTTGTCTGACATCTTTTTTTTCAGACAACAATTTTCCATACTCTTCCTCTCCACTGAAAATCATACATCTCCTGATTTGGTGATGCTGCATGTTTGTGATAAATTCTGACTTCTTAAGCTAAATAAACTTTTGAAAATCCTCTTGCATCAGCTGGAAAAAGCATCACCACAAAGCTGTTTCTGTCACCATGAAAAGCTGACTTCTTAGAGATTTGTAGCTCTCACAGGACAGCAATGCTACAAACACATGATGATCTTATAGAATATGATGCATTGCTGTAGATTAAACTGCCCAACAGTGTATAAAGAGTTTAAATGAGCACAATCTTGAATATCTACAGCTGTAAAATGCAATACACACATTAATACAACAGTAATAGCACTCCAAACACACCATGGTGGCAACCTCTGACTGCACATTGAGTACTTTTACTTTTTTTTTTTTTTTTACTATTTAACTTAAGGTTTTGAATACAGGACTTCTTCCACTACTAGAAACAGATGATTTTGAGGGAGAACCAGCCCTCATCTAGTCATACGATGAGGGTTACCCACTGGCAGGTTTCCTACGTTTCTCCTACACCCCCACATGTCTGCACACACTTTCCATCGCTCTGCTCATGATAATTATTCTCACAAATACGAAACGAAACCACCGACTGATGGAGAAGATCACACAATGAGCCACAAAGCATTTACTCCTAACTTGATGTAGCTACATGATGTTAGCTTCTACAGCAAGTCCTGACTCAACCACGCGTCAGTGTTACCGTGAACGAGAAACGTGTAATGAGCAAATAAACACCTTCACGGTTAATTATGAGCCGGTCTCGGTTGGCTAGCTACGGTACAGCCAGGGGATATTAGCCGGCTTTTGATTAGCCGTGACAATTAGCTTACCTGGTGATGCTGTTGGGGGCAGAAAATCAGGCTTGACGTCAACTCCTCTCTAACGGCAGCGTCCTTCTAGCTCCGACACACCGGATGTGTCACTCTCACACACTCTCACGGGCAGATAAAATGTCAGCAGGATGTCTCCGGTACGTTCACAGGCGGACGGGAGTACGTTTTTTTTTCCTCGTCCTCCCATTCAAACACACAGCAGCAGCGCGTGGAGGATGTGGTGGGGTCATTCTCAGTGGTGACGTCGACGGTTCGCTCTCTGGGTTTTCAAAATGGCGGTGTCTCCCTCTTGTGGCCGCAGCCGGTACTTCAAGACTGCTCATTTAAAACACTGATATGTGGACACAGGCCCGAACATGAACTGCTCTTTATCTGATGATACTACATCATTGTTTCTCCTTTATTTTCAGCAGTGTTATTTGCGAACTGTGGATTTGTTTTTAATTGTTTTCCTGCTACATACAGTACAGGCCAAAAGTTTGGACACACCTTCTCATTTAATGCGTTTTCTTTATTTTCATGACTATCATGACTATATCCTCCCCTCCCTCCCACCACAATTCTACATTTCATGATACATAAATTCAGAAATTGACAGCCTTATATCGAAATGCACTTCCATACAACACAATGGTTTACAAGTAAAATGTTCAAGTCAGCAGCTTTTTAACATCTCCTGCTGCAGAGGACCATGCTTGAATAGTCCTTTCAGTAGCCCCATATATTCTGGCTATAGATTGTTCCAGTAGTATGATGTTCAAAAAGAATGTCAACCATTGTACAGGAGTAAGTGTGTGTGGGGGTTTCCATCTAAGCGTTAACATCTTTTTCGCTACTGTGAGGCCTGAAAACAAATCACAGTATTTGGAGGGAGACAGAGCCAGTGATGATGTATCATTCAAAATCAGCAGCCTGGGACAACAAGGTATCTGCACATCCAGTAAATCTGTTAAAGTAGATGACAGACCTCTTTCCAAAACGTGGCAAATGCAGGACACTCCCAGTACATATGTAAAAATGAACCCATGAGACCAAAGGAACATAAATGACAAATTGGAGAGGATACAAGTTAATAATAATAATAATAATTTCAATGACATTGAATTATCACTGAAATAATGGGCTAGTCCAGATTTGAACCCCTGACCTCTGCACCATTATGTACATTGTTTATACTTATTACAGCTATTGGTGTATACAGAATGGCATTATGACACAAGTTAACTAAGCAAGCATTTGTGTGCTGAGAAAAAGAGGTAAACTGTGCAATTAAATGCTATAAATGCACATTTTAGATTAGTTTATATGAAATACAGAAAACACATATAATAAACTGCTGCATAAATAAATAATCTAAGTTTCTACCTCATCAAAACAAAACATTAAATTAAAAAATCTTGATCTGTACAGATGTAGGCCTATCTACCTATTATTTTTATTAGCAATAAAATATTAAAAATTATTATCTAACATAAACAAGCATATTTTTTCAGTTTGTTATTTTTAAATAATGGTTTTGTTTCTTTCAAAGTAATAAATTCAACATTAAATAAACACCACTGGTTTGGGACTCAAAGTTTAAAGTTTAGAACTGTTACTTTTTTTATTATTGCTTTTTTAAATAAATAATTACATCTATTATTTTTTTATTACAAGGGATACCAGGTTCAAGGGTGATGTGTTGTCATTGTACAACACAGGAAAATATACAACGAAATACAGTTGTAGTCCTTAATGCTACACAAGAAAAACAAACAACAAAACAAGAACAAAAACTTATTTTTAATGGTATACACGCACTAACACACACAAATGGAAAAGGGGGGGGGGTATAGAAAATAAATAAATAATACAAAAATAATAAATAAATCTTAAAATAAAAACCACGCGCCACCCCACAAAATTTTATAAAAACTTTAAAATCATATTTACTCCTTACAAGTTCTCATAGTGGACATTTATTTATGCTATTAATGATTAGTTATTGATGTTAGTTATTATATCGAGATCCTCCTATCTTCCGATGACGTATGACGCGTCAGGCGGAAGTTGTTTTTGATTGCGGAAGTGTAGCTACAGATGCTGTAGGCGCAGCCCAGTGAAGCAATTTGACTGTTGTAATTTGACCGTATTTTGATTCAGCTTTATGTAGGCCTCCGGGAGCTTCAGTAAACAGCTCGATCAGGTAAGAATGGAGATAAAGTTGCTCACTAGTTGCTCGATGATCGACCGATTCAACTCGAACTGAGCTTTGCTAAGTTAGCTAAGTTAGCGTGGCTAACGCGACGTCGTTGCGAGACATTCATCACTGTAGTGACAGCGAGATATGAAGACCAACGGAGGGGAAAATATATCTTTATGACACACAGAGCATGTCAGTAGACCTGAGGGTTTCTAAATGATGTAAATGTAATGTTGTGTCACTCATTAGTTAAGATGAAAGGGCCCATAGTTTAGCATTTAGTCTAATCTGCTACTGGACCTCTACTGACTTGTTTGCAAGATATTCAGACCCGAAATGTCGTTAAATATCGGATTATAAAGAAGATATTTAAAGTAAGTTTGGTGATAAGCCGTTGTTTAGTGGTGGAAGAAGTATTAAGATCTTACACCAAAGTAAAACACCAAATACCACACTGTAAGTACTCCACTTCAAGTAAAAACACCGCATTCAAAACATTACTTCAGTTAAAGTATGACTCAGCAAAGTACTAAAAGTATGAAAAGTACAAATCAAATGTTCCCATCAGTGTTTTATTATTATTCATGATGATTTGGAGTAGTAGTAGTATTTTACTGCAGTAGATGTGTTTAAAATCTTGATCTTTAAATGTACAAGCAGCTGTCAGATAAATACACTGGAGCAGAAAGTAAAATATTTCCCTCTGAAATGTATTGGAGTCGAAGTATAGGGTATAATAATGTAAAATATATCAGAGTTGTACTGACTCATATTTACTTTTTAGTCACCAGCTGTTCCTATGTCATTCAATTAGTTTTAGCTTCATGAGTTTATTACTTTTTAGAAACATAATGTTACATTGCCCTTGTTTTTAAAAAGAGTTTTTCTACATGTCGCTATAAATGCCAAATTTCTTACCATTTTATTGGTAAATCCAGTGGAACAACAGTTTAGACTTCTATACAAAGACAGCGTGAAACACTGAACTGCTTTCAAGTACCTCCACCTTTCTCCTTTTATCAGAGCTCACCTCTTGAGCCAAACTGTTAACAACTGGCCTCTCTTGACTCAGACTGTGTTTCTGTGGGCTTCACCAGCTAGCCAGGAAGCCCTCACGGCAGAATCAATACAAGCCATCTGACTATTAGTCAGCATGCTGATGAAGCGTTCTCATATTTGTCTTCATTTGATCAATTAAGAGTAGAAAACGTCAGTCATACCAAGTGGACCCTCCCAGCAGAGTTAATGCTTTTTTCTAAATATATTCAGACTGAGTTGTGGCCTCAATACAGGGTGTGAAGTGACTTGTAGTGCTAGTTCATACAGGATATTGTGTGGGCTTGCATACTTACTAATGTACTAAGAACATATATGCATACTTAAGAAATTAATGATGAAGCCCTCAGATTAACACATCATTTGAAATATGTTTTAAATACTAATATGTCTATACAATTTGTCAGATTTCCAGAAATTGTGAGAGACGAGGGTTAGCTCGTTCATAGCTTCCACCGCCATGTAAACGAAGAGACACGCCAGAAACCCAGCAACCACCTCAGCTCCTTCCATGTTGATTATCGTCTTTCTTATGTCTGCTTTCTTAGGGTGAAACAATTGTGATTTTACTAAAAAAAATGCATTTTGATTTTTGAAAATAACTCAAATTCAACTAGAAACCCACAGATGTGGTAAGTTTTTTTAAGAATTTGGATTTTAGCCAGCCCTCTAATAAAGCATTAAAGTTAAAGTCCCCTTAGGACTGGAGTGATTGCTCAATCATATGTCCTTACATATTAATATTTTGGTCTTGGGTGGAAGATGCTCAGCAGTATTGAGGGAAGGAAAATGTTAGTTCACAAATGAGAAAATGCACAATTGACTTACACAAAAACTGAAAAAAAAAAAGCTGTGTTGGGCACTGTGGCTGTCACCATTCCAAGTCTTTTGTCGACGCACACCATGCTTGACATCAGCTGTAACACAAATATTCAGTATGTCACTGAATATTTGAAATGGCTTCAATACTTATTTTCCGCAGTATCAATACACTGGTGCCAGCTGCGCTTTCTCACTTTGTGTCATTGTGAATGTTTACTATAGTCATTCTGCTGTTCTCTGCCACTAACCAAGCAAAGATGAGTCGTTGTTGCCTTGTTATATTTATCTTTTAACACAAATTGGACATTTTATGTTCTCAATGTCAATTTTTTCCCCTGTGATATTGAAATGGTATCGATTATCAATATTTTTCAACGTTTTTTGCCCAGCGTCATGACAACACTACTGCAGGTGCTAAAAGGGTCATTTTACACTAACCACAAAAAGAAAAAAAAATCACATTTCTCCTTTTGGTTTCTAGCCATAGTAGATAGTTTTTAGTTTTTCTCAGGAGGGGGAGGGAATATCATGCCAAGATTGAATCACTTTCAAATGAAACGTTTCAGTGAAAACAATCTGTGGAATACCTAGGGAAACCTGGATATTAATTTTGGAAATAAATGTTGTCATTGAGGTTTTAAAATGTCATTTCTTTTTAGTGCTTTGAGCAACTCATTTAAAATAAATTCCATCTCCATCATTTTGAGTTGGTGGCAGAAGTTTCAGAGATGGATTACTCAAAAATAGTCTGCATGGCTGCAGGGAAACAATTCAGAACATAAAATGGATGAACAGACACTTAAAATTATGAAGCTATCAGAATCTAGTTTCAGGCATTTTTTTACAGAATTGTATCTTAAGTGTGGATTGAGCCATAAATAACAACAACAGAGGGTTAAAAAACATTCTGACTGGCAGTGTACATTGTTGACTTCAGGTGTATCACCACAGTGTTAAGTTGCAGAATCCCTTGAATATAGTATTCAAACTTGAGTTTGTCTTCCCAGTGTTCCAGGTTGAGCTGTCACGATGACGGACCACACTGACATCAGTCTGCAGCCAGAGGAGCGAGTCCGCGCTCTGACCAAGAAGGGAAGCTCAGTGGAAGTTAATGACGATGTGCCACCACGCCGCTACTTCCGCTCCGGCATGGAGATGATCCGCATGGCCAACATCTACGCAGAGGAGGGCAACATTGAGCACGCCTTCCTCCTTTACAATAAATATATCACGTAAGTGTTCATCAGCTTTTTGTGCTTGATTGTATTACATACCTTAATTTAAGTATTAAGTCATTTGTCCTTCATTACACAAATAAATACATTAAATATGTTGTGGGTTAAAATATTAAGTTGAGACGAAACATGCAGGACAGTTCAAACAAAGATCTTCCTCAGGATTTGGCTCACTAAATAACAACTAAATAATTCAAAACAAAGTGACTTTAACACGTCCTCCTTTACATTCTGTGATTCGTCCAATGAACAGTAAGTAGTTTTTGTTGTCAGAAAACCAACCAGAGTCTACTACGTCTGTCATTTCTCTGAATTACAGTTTTTTTAGGTCATGGTTTTGAGCAAGCATTCCTGGTATAGGCATGACAAGATTTTTTTTTTCTTCTCACCAAGGCTCTTTATAGAAAAACTTCCCAAGCATCGGGAGTACAAGACTGCCAACATTCCAGAGAAGAAGGACACACTAAAGGTACACAGACAGTGTTTATACTCTCCTATATAACCTATTTTAACTGTTTTTAAGGAAATACTGAAGCAAAACATTTTTCTTTCTTCTCCAGAAACTGAAGGATGTTGCGTTCCCTCAAGCAGAGATTCTGAAAAAAGCTCTTTTGCGGAAATTTGAGCAGGACTATGCACAGTATCTTGTCAAAAAGGTAAACTGTCTGTCAACTCCTGACACACTGGAAGGAGTGTGTTAACAGTCTCGTATATTAATTGCAATTTTAATGAAGTATTCTGACACTTAAATGTATGTTATGAAGGTTACTACATGTAATGAAATGAACAAAATTATCTAATACACACATACAGCACAACAAGCATTGTACACTGATTTCAGTGTGTTGTGTAAACCCTAAATGAGGTGAAACATTTATCAGCACCTGCATACCATGATTGTAATAAAGGAAGCATTTGTTCATTAACAGAGTAAATGGAGGTACAATAATGACATCGACCTTAAATAGTCACATTTTGTGTTTCAGTGATTTAAAGAGATATTAATTGTAAATCAGCTTAAACCTCACATGAATTACTCTGCAACAAAACTGCTGCTGTAGAAGAACTAAACACAAAAGTGAGACCACCTGCTGAAACTGAAACTTGGGATGTGTTTTCTATATGCTCAGAAAGCTGAGCAGGAGGCCTTGGCACGGGAGCAGTCCAAGCAGCGCGCGCTGGACGCAGAGCGGGAGCGTGTGGCCGAGATGCAGCGGCGACAGCGGGAGCAGGAGCAGTTCAGTGCCTTTGAGGAGATGATCCGCCGCCAGGAGCTGGAGAAGGAACGCCAGCGCGTGCTCTTGGAATTCGCCACCCCTGCCGCGCCTTCCCCTGACACACCCCTCCTTCCAGGCATCCAGGGCCCCCCGCAGGTCTCCCCCACCGCCCCGCAGAGCCCAGGGGACCTGTCCGGCAGCACCAACCACCAATACAATCGCCCTCCTGCAACCATCGGCACACCTGCCACTGCCCCACCCACTTTCGACCGCTCACTCAAGCCCGGGTCTCTGGTCAGCCCAGGGAACAACAGTGAGTTAATCTTTTTCTCACATTAGGGGCCGGCCTGCAGAGGATTTAAATACTGCCCTTCTCCTGCTGTAAAGTATTTACACTTCTGAGCTGATTTCTTTCTCCATGACCTATTTCATTTCCTGTTTACACCATGCCGTGTTTCAGGACAACACAGGAATCTAACTTTCCCATTCAGCTTTTCTTTATTCATCTACATGGTTTTTGCAGATACAATGGTGGATGCCCTTCGGCAGTTGGCTGTTCCCGCTGAGCTGTGCCGGAGCTTTCTGAGGCTGGCCGAGGCCAACACAAGCCGAGCTGTAGAAACTTGTGGCATCCTGTGTGGCAAACTGGTAAGACTCTGGAACAGAGCGACTGTGTTACACCACTAGTGCTGAACCCCCCTTCTGAATAAATCTGTTACAGGAAGCATAAACATGTAGGTGCTCATGAAATGTTTGTCATCACGTGTTAGTAGTTTTAATCATCAGTGAAGCTACACATTTTCATCATTGAATTCCATAACGTGAGATGGTTAAACTAAGACGTTCCTTGTTCCAGTGTTGGAATTAATGTTTCAGGATGTTTTATAAGGCTATAAATATTTATGGAATGTGGATTTTGAAACCGTGACATCAGATGACTTTTTGCCCCATAAGGGTAGACCATCATCTGACACATCTCTCACTGTCCCAGATCTGCTGTGGCTTTTGTTTGATTTATTTCATCTCCTGGTCAGTTTAACTTAAAGCTCCTTGCACTTTTTTTTAATCAGTATGACTAAGCGGTTTTTTGCCAGTAGCAAACCAGTCAGTGCTCTGTTAATTTTGCTCAGACAGAGTCCTTGGGTAGCTTTTTGGCAGACAGTCTCTATGCATAATTTAAAGAACTGCAATAGCGTGACGTTGTTTTGTGTTTGTTCCAGACCAGAAATGCGTTTACTGTGACCCACGTCATCGTACCAAAGCAGTGTGGTGGACCAGATTATTGTGACACAGAAAATGAGGAGGAGCTCTTCCTCATACAGGACCAGTACGATCTCATCACCCTGGGCTGGATACATGTGAGTACAGATAGGCAAATTCTGGCCACTGTCTCACAGTGTGTAAACCACAAAATCAGCGAGTGCACTGCTGCTCTCGGGAGCACGAGCTAATCCTGCTGTATCTGGAAAGAAAAATGCACTCTGGAAAAACAGGAAGAGAACATGTGATGCAGTGAATACCATGCTTTGTGTCTGGTGCATTTAAAAACAGGTTTACAAATACTTGTCCTGGTGTTTTCATGCACAATAGTAAGGGGAGAAAAAGATAAAGTCAAGTACTGTCAAAGTCAATAAACATAAATTAAAAAGAAAAAATAGAAAATACAATATTTGTTTTTAAATGAAGAGTTGTGCAGGTGTGTCCAAAGTTCACAATATAAAGAATATTTGCAGTGTGCAGAGATGATACTCCATTGTACTGAAAATCTATTGATGCAAACTGAAGTCTGTGCACTGTGTGTTTCCCAGACTCACCCCACACAGACGGCCTTCCTGTCCAGCGTTGACCTCCACACACACTGCTCCTACCAGATGATGTTGCCGGAGGCCATCGCCATCGTCTGCTCGCCTAAGTTTAATGAGTGAGTCAGAAAACTGCAGGTGTTTCATCATTATCACCATCAGACGTGTGGGAGGAAGATTTTTGTCTTATGGCTCGGCCTCCATCTGCACTGTTGCAAGTGTTTGTCAGAGCACTGCCACTAAATCTTCTCTGTGCTGAAGTGTGACTGTGTTTGTTCCAGAATCGGCTACTTCAGGTTGACAGATCGAGGAACAGATGAGATCTCCACATGTAAACAGAAAGGCTTTCACCCTCACAGCAGAGATCCACCTCTATTTACAGTGAGTACGGCTCCATCTACATTGTTGTTTGTTATTGAAATAACTTACACCAAGCGGGAACACATAACAGTGAACAACATCCTTGATATGACTGCTTGATTCGAAGGTTTAACACCACCCCAGAGGAGGACAGAATTTGTTTGTTGTGTACTTTGAAGAATGAGGCTCGTTTTACTGTCCTGTATATGAAGCCAGTAGGAATGTACTTTTAAGTAAAATGACCCCTATCTGCGTTGAGTTCTTTTGGCTGCATGATCATGAAAAATTTGAGTTTTGTTTCAGAGAGGGAACCTTTTTTGTGGCTGAATTTCTTTGCCAGGCCTGAGGTAGAAGGCGGAGTATTCTGTTTCTGGACTGAGGAGTTAAATAACATGTATTTTTCATTGTTACGTCATTGTCATGGTGTCTTGTAAACCCATGAGGGTTTGGCACTGTAACGAAGAGCACTTCGTAGAGTTCTCCGTGGGTACGAACACCGCTATGAACTCTCCGGGCAGGACCAAGTGACAGGATGGGAGAGGGGGGTGTTGGCAATCGGTGTGCATGTTTAGTAATTGTTATTAGGTGTATTTGTATTTTGGGGTTAAGTAGCATTACTGGTAAATAATGTGTTAATTATATTTAATATTTAGATTCTATATCTTAAATACAGAGGAGACAAAACGTGTGAATGCCTGTTAATGGAAGGGACCGAATAGTCGTGTGGTGACACTGTACAAAGGCTCTAGTTTCTATCCATCTGTGTTGCTGGTCAGATCTCAAACCACGTCTGTTTGGCGCTGTTGTTTAAATAAACAACCTGCCGCCGCCTGTCATCTCCATGTCCTGTTATATCCAGCTGTTAAATGGTCGTTGTAACAGGCACATGTAAGTGTGCATGACGCAAATGATAATAAATCAATCAATCAAGTCATATATCAGTATCGGCAACTGGCCAAAATGAGTTGGAAAGTATTGGCATATAACATATCTGCAAAAATTTTATATCATGAATCCCTAATAATACATGCGTATGTTTTCTGTTTTTGTGATTAAACTCTAACTCAAATCTGTTTCTTCTTTGCAGCACGCGGGACATGTCAACATCACCGATGACACTGTGTCCATGATGGATTTGCGGTGATTTTTTTTTTCCTTTTCTTTTTTCACCAGAACACTCATAGACTGTCTGTTTTATCAAACTGCAGACATTTTACTGGAGACAACACTCATTTTATTTTTAGGACGGTACTGAGCAAATGCCGACCACGAGTTTACCATTTATAAGGACTTCAATTGTTCTCAAAGGGCACAACATTGTGAACCTTTTTTTTTTGCTCTGTAAGAAAGAAAAATCCACATATTATTGCACTTTCCAAGCATACAACTATCCACAAAACAGACTGGCAAACCTCCGACTCTTCAACCCCTCTGTTTTTGTCGGTGTGTGCTCCACTTCCTTCCTGTTCCACTTTTGTTTTTTTGTTATTAATAAAACATGTATGTTTGTCAGCGTCTGGTAACCCAACCTTTGTTCTGTAATTGCCATCAAAGTTTGGTTCTGCCTGACAGATGAAGTGCCAAGGACGAGAACATTCACTCTCTGTTGAGTTGTTCATTGTGCAACATGAAGTCCAGTGTGAAACTATAGTTTGTAATCTTTGTTTTGACTCGGTGTTTCCTTCATAAGCTGTCGAAGTGCTACGAGTGATGGGAAATATGAAAGCCAGTTGTAACTCAGGTATGCAGGCAGTGCTGCTGCTCTGTATTATATTTTTATATAAAACCATCACTCCACACCATCCTTTATCTATGAAGGGGTTTGTTTAATTCCTGCTTATGATGGATTCACCTTTGACATGTTTTTATTTCCTTTATGTTTGGGGGGGAGAAAGCAGTTGGTAGTTACCTGTATAATGTGTCCATGCTTTAGAGGACATGTGTGCAACAGGCGATCTGAATGTACCTCCTGCTCCATGTTATCACACATCACTAACCACATGGCCAGGATTCATGCCTCTAACCATTTTTGTTTGCTCCCTTCACTTGATAGAAGAAGTAAATGATTAGCCATAATAACTGTATGAGAATACCCACGATGGATTAAATGCCAAGTCAAAAATAAACTCATTGTAGATAAATTTATTCTGCATTTTGTCATGTTTGTCCAGTTGGTTACAAATTTAAAGTGATACAGAGTAGAAAATATCTTTACATGCAAGAGAAAAGAGAAAGTGAGAATAAGCATTTAAACTAAATATAAGGGGATTATTATGTATGCACCAAATGTAGGAGACATAAAAGTTAAATTATAAATACCACAGCTGTTCTCAGTCTAAGGTGCATACTTTGAAATGAACAAAGGAGCCAAATGTTTCCATCATAACCCAAACTAACCTCTGTCTACAGGTGATCAGATACATTTTAACACTCAATGACAAATGAGTGTCATATGGAGTATTCAAACAAGGCTGGTTTTATAATTTACAGTGTCAATAAATCACTTTATGCAGGTAAAGGGACGATGAGAGCATTAAAGGAATACTTCACCCACAAAATGACCATTTGTATGTCAATGACTCACCCCGTTTGTTTTTCTCTCATGCCTCCACAGTGGACAGAGAATCTAAAAAGGCGAATATTCAGTTTACAAACACACAACTTGTGCAGTATAATCCAAGTCTCATTTATCCAGTAGTATGCTCAGTACCTCCCAAACCCATCTTGCTAGTATCAGGTTGGACTCCTTTTGCCTTCAGAACTGCCTTAACTCTTGGTGTCACAGATTCAACAAGGTGCTGGAAACATTCCTCAGAGATTTTGGTCCATACTGACATGATGCATTGCTGCAGATTTGTCAGGTGCACATCCATGATGAGAATCTCCTGTTCCACTACATCCCAAAGGTGCTCTATTGGACTGAGATCTGGTGACTGTGGAGGCCATTGGAGTACAGTGAACTCATTGTCATGTTTGAGATGATGTGAGCTTTGTGACATGGTGCGTTATCCTGCTGGAAGTAGCCATCAGAAGATGGGTACACTGCTTCAAGGTTGGACAAGGTGTTGTTGCTTCAGAGATGGTCTTCTGCAGACCTTGGTTGTAACCAGTGGTTATTTGACTTCCTGTTGCCTTTCTATCATCTTGAACCAGTCTGGCCATTCTCCTCTGACCGAAATGCATTGAGTTGCTGGCATGTGATTGGCTGATTAGGTATCTGCGATAACATGCAGTTGAACAGGTGTACCTAATAAAGTGGCCAGTGAATGTATGAGCTCTGCTTGAGCAAGTTCCCCAGTTACTTCAATTGATGAAGAATGTTCCCCTTTTTAGAAATACTCCATCATCATAGAGGCATGTGAGAAAAACAGTTTCCTCACAAATTCAAGGTAACACACGGTGAGTTATTTATATACAAATGGTCATCTTGCCGGGAAGTATTCATTCAAGACAGTGACAGAGCTGCATAAGGTCTGAATATATGGGAGACAGTAACATAGTTGTGGTTTGGCTAGAGATGAAAAAAATCTGAGGCACTCAGTTTTAATACAAATTTTTTTAAAAAAGAAATAAAATCATTAATTAGAGCATATTTGTATAATTTTTCAACTGGTATAGTATTTCTAACTTTGAGATTTGGGGTTTGCATTTTTGAAAAAAAAAAATAACAGAAAGGTCATTTCAAATTTTTTATTCATGGTTTTGAAATTTTCTTTTTAGAAAGTATGAATTTAAAAAAGGCAGGAAGACAAAAGGAATCTCTTGTTCTATTCAATTTTTGGCCACTGGCTCAATCCGTCCAGTCAGGCCTCAGTTTTTCTCTGCATTTAGAAGACAGCGGACCGCAGGCAATAAAGTGACCAGAAAGTAACAAGATACAAAAACACAAACCAACAAAAAAAATGTCTACCTCCACATCTGTATCTATCTATATTTGTAACTTAAGCTCACTTCTCAGTGCAGGCCAAACAAGTCACTCTGCCACGTGTCGTATCGTGTTGTTGGGCTTTGAGCAGGTGTCTCTGGAGATGTCAAGTAAAGCACGCTGACACTCTTAATTACGGAGCCACAGCTGCACCGTCGTGACGGCTTTTATATCACAAGTCAATGATAAGGTCTGTAGTAGCTGCTTTTTGTTCTAGGAAGCTGAGGCAGTTTGAGAGAGCACTATAAGGTAAGAGGGAGGAATAGAGATCTCGACGCTCACTTCTTTAGCATCAATGGCATATTTTTCTTTATAAAAATAAGCATCTCCACATTTTTGGCAGACAGCTTGTTCCTCTTGTCATCTACAACGTTCCCACCGGTGATGAAAAGTTGCTTGCTGTCCACATTTGTGCACGGGGCGCACAGGTAGGTCCGTGCCGCTTGTGCGAGAGCGGGGAAGCGGCCTTTATTGTACTGCCAAAAAACAAGCGGCTGTCCGTTTCGTGGGATAACTGGCTCCGACAGGTAGAGGTTCATCTGCGACGATGCTGAGCTGCAGCTGTCGTCGCCGCCGTGTTCCCCGTCTTCATCCAACAGTTCAGCATACATAGCATGCAAGGAGCCAGCTCGTGGGACTTTCTCTGGGGGCTCGGAGTCGCTCGCTGCCAGACTCCCCTCACCATTCTGCTGCTCCGGCCCAGCAGCCAGGACGTCAGAAAGCAGCTCACGAATCTGGGGTTTGAGTGCGTCGGGAAAATATCTGTCTTTATACCTTTTTATGAACAAGAAAAACATAACTTTTAATTTATTTTATGCATTTCGTAGGTCATGCTTAACTCTTGTTTTGATAAGTCTCAGGCTTTGCCTCATAGCATACTCCAAATTTGCGTTTTTATTCTGTAGTCTTACTATTAACTCTTCCAAATGCTTACTCCTAAAGCAAATTTAGCCAAATTTGAAGCCACTGTATTCACTTTAACTACTTAAGCAATAGCCCCTACTAATGTTGTTAAAAATATTGATTTTTCAATTTACATTGATTCTGTGTTGAAATGTTTTTAATACTTATTCGCCCACTTTCTCACCCGCTCTCTATTTAAAGGCTAAGTTTGGTATTTTTCAACCTGAAACCTATAGTCCCATATTTCAGTGGCCAAGTGACAATTTTTAAATTGGTCCAGGAGTTGCTTAACAGGCTGCAATGTAACCATTCAGGCATGTTCACAGTCAGTGCGTTTACATGCACAGTTAAGTCGAGCTACGGCTACAGCTCCACTAGGCCAATTAATTGGACAACTGTCCTTTTCCCAGGATACAAGCATATGAGGGGAATTGATTTATTGACCAAAGTATGCTCGACTCCGCTACAGTAGGTGGCAATATGCCTCCTTTCACCTTGTTATTATTGGACCTTTTTGCGCTTGACCTGTTACGTCACAGACCAAACAATCGGCAAGCAAGTTAGCTACGGTTAACTAGCGGCAAACTTGTATTTTAAGAAACTCTTTAAGCTGACACAGCATGAACTGTGTCTCCTTGTCCCTCCAAAAATGCACAGCTCTAGATGATGAATTCGCCAAGTTGTTACTGGCTTGTTTTTCTGTTACACATTTAATGCTATTTAACTTCTGGAAACTGTAGAGCATGCGCAGAGCACCTAGGCTAGTTGGGTCCAATTGACTGTATACATGCAGAAGTAATTCGACTCCCAATCCCATTATCTTGGTGTGTTAGTCCAACTTTGAGAAGTTTTGTTCACGTGTATTTTAAAAGTCTGGGTTTAGTCACACGAACACAATCAATCTGTTTTCTGTAATAGTGTCTGACAACATTATGGAAAGGATCCCTACAGAGATAGACCTCTTTGTTAAAGAGCAAGATCCTTTTTGTTTAACCAGGAGCAGACACCAAATCACTATCTCCAATCCCACCAGACTCCATTTAAAAAAAAAGAAGTAATTTTATCATCATAAAACACACTTCATTCAAGGTCAACAGAAACAAAATAAAACTCACAAAACCATCTTGGTTTGTCTTTCCACTGTTCCAACCATCCCCAACTCTGGTTTGGTTGAAATAAATCCTTAATTCGCCCATTTCGATGTGAAAATATGCTGAATCTATACACGCTAAAATGACTGTTTATTTAAATGGAGTCTGGTGGGATTAGCAATAATGACTTTAGGGTTGTATCTGGTTAAACAAAAATGATCTTACTCTTTATTAAAAAGGTCTATCACTGCAGAGATCCCTTCCATAATGTTGTCAGTAGGGCTGCAACGATTAGTCGACTAATCAATGACTAATCGACTATTAAAATAATCAGTGATTATTTTAGTAGTCGACTAATCTGTTTTAGTCATTTTTCATTGAAAAGTACTTTAAATTTTCCCAAAATACTCTTATTGCAGCTTCTTACATTCAAATATTGGCAGCTTTACACACTCTCCCATGACGGTGAACTAAAACCCTTTGGCGTGAGTACAAAACAAGACATTAGATGACGTAATTTTGGGGCTTGGGAGAGACAGACCGACATTTTTCAACATTTTAACACATTTTTCGATAAAATGATTAGTCAACTAATCGAAGAAATAATCGACAGATTAGTTGACAATGAAAATAATGGTTATTTGCAGCCCTAGTTGTCAGACAATTACAGTAACAATCTGAACCTGTCAATGGAAAAACAAGCACTGTTAATGGACATACATTGATGGTGCGAACATGCCCCAAGTGATTGCACTGCACTGCTCTCGCTCAATACTGCACAGTTTTAAAACTGTTGTTCCCATTAGTCATTAAGACACAAAAACGTGGGAAAAAAAGGATCCAGGTTGGAGAATCTCTAACTTGATAGCTGGACACACACACACACACAGGAATGTGAAGAATGTGTACATAATGTTTTCTCACCTCGGATCAAGGACTGTGGCGATGGTATACAAGCGCTCAGATTCAATGTCACGGAATCGCTTCTGGACCGCTTCCAACAATGTGGCTTTAGACGTTTTAGCATCCTGGTCAGTCTCTGCCGTCTTCTCAAGGAGACGAGTTAAAGCTCTGATGGATGGTATGACATCTGCAGCTGATGCAGTCGATAAGCTGATCTGCTGCGTGAGCTCCTCAAAGGGGGCGAGCAAGGAAATCATATTTTCCACCAATGTCCACTGGCTGTCTGTGAACATGGCAGGTAAGTCATAGTCAGCTCCATAAGCAGACAGGGCCTGTCTCTGCTCCAGTAGACTCTGGAGCATGTACAAAGTACTGTTCCACCTGGTGGGGACGTCTTGCTGTAGCCTTTTAATAGGCTGGCCCAGTTGTTTTTGGATACTTTGTAGTCGTGAGTAGGCAAGCTGGGAGTGTTTGAAATGACTGACGATGCGTCTTCCAGAGGCTATTACATCACTGAAGCTACGCTGTGACAAAACTCCCTCAGACACAGCGAGCTGGAGTGTATGCGCCATGCATGGAAGGCTGGGTAAATCCGCATCCCTCATGGCCTTCTCCATGTTCTTGGCATTAACCCTTAGAATAACGTGCACCTTTTCCTTTGGGATTCCCCACGTCTGGAACATGTCGATGAATGTGGCAGCGAGAGCCTCCACCGTGTGTGACCCTGAGAAATCTTGAGAATGAAGAACAACTTTGTGTAGTTCAAAGTTTTCATCAACAAACTGAGCGTTGAGGCTCAACATGGACATGGGACATACATTTGAACTCCAAATGTCACTTGTGAAACTGAACGATTTGATGTTGTCCCTCATGAGATTGTCAATATGTGTATACACTTCTTGGTATAACTGTGGCAGGCATACATCAGTGAAATATTTACGTCCTGGCAGAATGTAGCGTGGATCCAAGTAGGACATGAGTCTTTTGAACCCTTCGTCCTCCACGATAGACAGCGGCTGGTGATCAAGGCAAATGAATTCCATTATTTTGGCTGATATTTCTTTTGGTTTCTTGCTGGTTTTGCTGTAGGGCTGCTGCTGTTGCAACGTCTCTGTTACCGGCAGCTGAGTGAGTGGTGCTTGAGCCGCTAAACGGAACCGCTCCCTCTCTGCCTTGGTGCTGGCTAGCTTTGAAAACTCGTCATATTCCTCGGCATGCCTCACCTTCAAATGTCTGATGAGGTTCGTGGTGTTGAATTTTTTGGGTTGTGATCCTCCACGAGGGATTTCCTTGGAACACACCTTGCAAATTGCAAATTTACTGTCTTTTTCGGAGACCTGGTAGAACTGCCAGACCGGCGACGCCATTTTAGCAGCGCGTAAAAAAACTGTCTAAGCTCTCAGGTCACGGTGGTCATTCTGACGGGTCTTCCTGTCGGTACTGAGAATTTCCTGATGCTGCTTCCCCTCTGATGGTCTCTCATAATGTGAGGAGTCTGGTGAGTCCAGGAACAGCTTCAGGGATGAGAATCAGGTGACTCAAATGACCTGTAAAACAAGGTAGATTCAGTTTTAGATTTTATTGTCATGTAATAATATCAAGGTGATTACGGTATGACAGAGTAAAACTTATAGTTCATTACAAAATCATCATAAATGATTAAATAATAAATACAAATAAAATAATACAAATAATATAAAGGCATTCTGCACCTGTAAATGGGACACAGTAAATACATATTATAAATACAGGACGCAGGTTTTTCATGTGCAGGTGTTTGTTAAAAGGAGAGAAAACCCTACTGTTGCTCTGGCAGTGAGAATTTTGTGCATTTTTTAGTATGAGCACTAGTATGAGTGTGCTTTGGTTCAGACACAAACTCCATCAAAAGTCTCTACAGCTGTTAATAAAGCCGACTGACAGCTGATCAGCGATGATAGCCCTTTGCTGTCATCACCAGAATCGGAGGTAGCTTCATGTGAGCTTCTGAGGAAACGACGTCTCATTTCTCCAAAGACATAGGGTGCGTTCCGAATCAGATACTTTTTCTTTTTACTTTTAGTATGTACTGCAGCTGTCCTTAAAAAGTACGTCCACGACAGTGAAATTACATTTGCATTTCTCTGGTACTGTTATCTAATACCTGCCATTTTGTTGTTGGTTATATTTCTGATTATTTTGTTCATTTATTATCCATCCATTTTTATCCGCTTTTCCAGGGCCAGGTCGTGGGGGCAGCAGGCCAAGCAAAGCACCCCAGTCATCCCTCTCCCCAGCAACGCTTTCCAGCTCCTCCTGGGGGACCCCAAGGTGTTCCCAGACCAGATGAGATATATAATCCCTCCAGTGTGTTCTGGGTCTGCCCCAGGGCCTCCTACCAGTGCAATGTGGCCAGAACACCTCCTGCAGGAGGTGTTCAGGAGCATCCTGCTCAGATGCCCAAACCACCTCAACTGACCCCTTTTGACGTGAAGGAACTGCGGCTCTACTCCGAGCTCCCTCCTGATGTCCGAGCTCCTCACCTTATCTCTAATCCATCTCACGCTCCATTCTACCCTCACTTATTAACAAGACCCTGAAATACTTGAACTTACTCGCTTGAGGCAGTAACTCTCTCCCAACCCAAAAGGGTCAATCCACCACTTTCCGACAGACAACCATAGCCGCAGATTTGGAGGTGCTGATTCGTACCCCAATGGCCTCACACTTGGCTACAAACCGCCCCAGGTCCTGCTGGAGGTCACACTGTGATGAAGCCAACAGAACCACATCATCTTCAATTAATTAATATTCCTATGATTACTATTCGACTGGTCCCCAGCCACTTTCATGCTGTCATCTGTCATTGCGGCTTCTGTCAGCTGTCAGTGAGCTGTCAATGAGCTGTCAAGCTGTCATCTGTTTGCATCTCAGTCTATGTGACGCATCTTCAGCTGCAGAGGATTGTGGGTCAGAGTAGCCAGAAAAGCACGCTGACTTGTATACTGTTAATTGCACGTAGTAGAACATCCTGGGTGTTTTTGGCACACTGTATTTGACACACTATGCAATGCGACATGCTAAATAATTTCTGTCATACTAAATAGGATAGTAGTATGGGTATCAGATACACGGGTTTTTCCATGTTTCCAGCCTCCTTGCATGGTTTCCTTGTGTCCCTCCATGCATCCCTGATGGGAGGGACTAGGATGCAAGGAAAAGAAGCAAGTGAGGAAAACGAGGATGCAATTTAAGAGACTTGGGATGCACCTGGAGTCGGACTCCCATTGAACGCAGCATGTGTACATCACAGCACTGGCCTTGACCCAACTTTCCACAGTTCAGCAGGCCGCCAAGTTGTAGCACCACATTAGGAAATGGCTAACAAAGCTACACAACGTTACCAAGCAAATAAATCTAAAAATAAGTACAGTTTGACCTTTTGTTGTTTTTCCCACGTGCACCTTCATGACAGACTATTTACAGTCTTCACCACTATGTGTTTCTTCAACGTTTCTTCCTTGAATTGAGGTCCGTGTCACTGCAGACTCTCCTGGATCTAGGGTGGGCGTCGGCAGACACATGAACCCCAACATGTAGAGGGGGTTCAAGTAAATATACACACACAGCTGCTGTGCTCATGAACCAGTGAGGCTCACAGACAGCAAGAGACCTTCACGTAGCAGCAAAACCTGAGCTAGCACAGTAGGACAGAGCTTCACAAAGCAACGAAAAGAAGTTACTTACGTATAACCTGCTGCTGTCATTATTAAACTGGCGTCAAATTAAGCTTATCGTCCACAGCTCTCTGTGTTACATTACTTTCTCTACGTTTCTTCAGCCTGTTGGCCTACGATCTAAGCTAGCCGCGTTAGCCGCGCAGCATGCTAACGCCAACTTCATGAGTAAAACCTGCAAGATAAAAAAGTAAAACAGAATATAGTAAAACTTACAGCTTCCAAGTTTGAAGTCAGGTCATAGACAGCCAGTGCAGATCCATCCGGAGCGTCAGATTTGAATCGAATCCTCCTGTGAACCACTGACCCTCGTTTAGAAAGCGGCTGCTTGTTGTTGCAGCGACACTTCAACCAACAATGCTAAAGAGAAAACTAAAAATAAACTTATTAAAGGTTTTTGCTGTCAAGAAATGAGCTAGCATGTCTTGGTCCTGTTGTGTTAACAGGCGCAATGCTCCCAATGGCGGCCAGAGAGGTTGTTGTTTTTTTTCCCGCTCTTCTTCTGTCTTTTCTGTGGAGGTTGTGGCGGTTGACGTTCACGTGCGTTGCACTACCGCCACCTAGTGGATCATATCAGTGTCGCAGTGTTCACCCAAAGTCCTACTCTTAAATAACAGCACAGGGATTATTGGAAGAAATAAATAAAATAAAATAAAATAAAATAAAGTAAAAATAAAATGAAATAAAATAAAAATAATGAAAACACAAGCAAAAACAAACTGTACAATATTAAAAGATACATGCAGAAACTGAGAGATAATTGAAAAAAGATACAGCTTAAAGTGAAGAAGCAATATCTGAAACCACCTTAAATCATCTGGCAATGTTGTCTACCATGTTTCTCAAACGATGAGATGTCTTTTATGAGAAGTTTTTTGTTTGTCTGTTTGTTTTTAAATACTTCACAGAGGACATCCCAGAATGTCTACAGTTAAAGTTCAACAAGTTTTGGTGAGGAATAAACTGAAGAAGACTGGCTTGTGAATGTGACGTTAGCCCAAAAGACGCAGCAATTTTTTCAAGTTATTAACATCAGTGTTAAAAAAACATCAACAAGAAGTTCCAGAAAAGTCTTGCTTGGTATAAAGTGATGTAGAAAACCATGGGAAAATAATCATGGCTTGTTAGACATTCAAAACATAGACCACATTTTCTGTACTAGGGGCCAATACCTTATAAGACTCCTAGTTTAGTTAGTTTAGTTTTGTTCAGACATACGATAACTGAGAAAAGTTTCCTTTTTGCAGAAGGAACATAAGGGGGAAACATCAGGTCTAAAGTTATGAAGGAATTTATTACACGGATAGTATTTGTGGAAGATTTTAACACAAATTTCTTTGACTTTATTGGGGACAAAAATCTATTAAATTTGGTCCAAACATTCTTGCTAATGTGAGGAAACATCACTTTCCAATGTTGAAAGGAGTTGGGACACTGACTTTGAATACAGGTAGGAAGAACACCCCTGATATGAGCATTATTACAAAAAACAGTGGTCCTTGAGAACCTTCGAACCAATGCTTTATTTAGTGGGAAATTAAGAAATCTCTTATCCTTACTGTCGGGTAAACTCCTCATAGGTAGGTTCCCCATATCGTTTAGTACTTCAATACACAAAATAAATAAACAATTAATACAAATAATAAATGGATAAATGTTTGTTTGTTTTTTTAAATACAAATAAAGGCAATACCTTGGTCATACCAGTCTTTTAAAAACAGGGTCTTATATTTGTACACAACACTTTTACACATTTTCAGATAGATATAGTAGGAGAAAAGGAGAGTGGATGGTCCTTTCTCACACTGGGGACACATACATATCTATGCTTAAACACCACGAAAAAGTGCATGATATGTCACAAAATAGACATTTAATATGGTATATAATGTGGTGCTAAAGCATGACATATTAACATAGTGTAGTATGATATAGTAAAATATAGTATAGTATGAGGTATCAGACATAGTATGAGGTGCAGTGTAATAGTAGAAATAATATCACCTGATAATATAATCTAGTTTAACATAATATAGTATACATTAATAAAACAGAATATCAAGTCTAATATAGTAATGTATGGTACAATATAGTCGGCTATAAGATGTGTAACATAATATGGTATTGCATAATATAATAGTAACAAGTATGAAACTACTACTACTATAAATAATAATAACAATGATGATGATAATAATTTTAAAAAAGTCATTCTTAATATAATCTCTTCTGTCACACAATAATGAACCATGAAAGAAATCTGGGGTTTGCTAATAATAAGACGTTGTACTGTATTGTGAGAAATTGTGTTGTATTGTAACCGTACTTCCACTGGGGGGCGGCAGAGTGCCTTTGACATAAGTGCTATGCCGTTAATGACGACGACAAAGAAGAACGTAAACAGGAAGCTACAAAAGACGAACAGCTCTTTCAGTTGTTGTCGGTAAATTCTGTCATTTTTTACCTAAATAATCTTTCAGATCACAACCAAAACTCAAAATGGGGAAGCGACAGCATCAGAAAGACAAAATGTGAGTATCAGATTTATCCCGAAAAACTCACCGCAACGTATTGCGTGTTGTTTTTAGCTTAGCATGCTTGCTCCAGAGCTAGCTAAGCTAACCTACTGTAGCTTATTTCTAGCATTACTTTAGGTTTAACTTTTTTAAAGGTTGGATCGTTGTTTTTCTTATTGTTTTGTTATTATTTAACGTTATGTGTGTGTGTATTTTATCCTCGTCACAGGTACATCACATGTACAGAGTACACACACTTTTATGGAGGGAAGCGAGCAGGTAAGTTGTACATTTCTTTACTTGGTCAAAACAAACGTTAACAGTGTGAAGCTAAGAAGAACCCGTATAAGAGATTAAATGATCAGTCAATTAATCGTTTATTCGATCGACAGAAAATAAATCGGCCACTATTTTGATAATCAGTTAATCGTTTAAGTAATGTTTCAAGCACAGATGCACAAATGGTGATATTTCCATGTTTTCAAATAAGAGATTTTCTTGCTTTCCTTGGTCTGACATTAATTTATAGTAAATTTAATAATTTGGGGATTAGAAATGTTGATTGGATTATATGAAACCACTTTAGGCTCCAGGGTGTTGTAACAGGCTCAGTGTTTTCTAATTTTTTGTAGATTAATCAAGAAAATAATCTACATAAAACCCCTGCTGTCAAATTTTATATAATTGAAAGTACAAAATATTAACATGGAAATATACTTAAAATACCAAAAATAAAAGTAGTCATTGTGCAGGATGGCTCGTTTCAGAGTATCATATATTATATTTTTGGATTGTAATTACTGATGCATTAATGTGTTCATCACTTTAGTATTGCAGCTGGTAAACATTGGGCTAATTCTAAATATTTGTATATTGTTGCATAGCTTCATACATGACCATATATCATAATTTATTATTTTATATGTTGTTTTTATAATCTGAATTTACAAATTAAATTAATATAGTGCAGTGAAAAATACAATATTTAGTGAAATTGAAGTGAATCAGAAAATAAAAATCCTCAGGTAAAGCACCTCAAACTTACACTTAAGAACAGTACTCTGGTAAATGTATTTTGTCACTTTCCACAACTGGTTGACAGTTTATTAGGTAGCTACACCCAGCTGAAGCTAATCCAGTCATCAGCCTTACAAAAAGTCCTACTGTCATGAAGGTTACGATGTTTAGTTTGTGTTGAAGCTATTTTACAGATGCATTGATTCAACTTTGATGCAGATTTTTGTGTCTGGTGGTGCTGCTGAATTTTGTTGTGTTAACTAATATTGTTTTATATGAATAAAGACCAATATTTAACAGCACTACAAACGAGAAGCCTTCAAAATCACCATAGCAGTGAGTCAGCACCTGCACACGAGGTAGAATTTATTGCAGGATTGTTGATTTGGGGCTCCCAATGTTTTGGCTTGTGAGCCCTTAAAACAAAGTAATATCTACTCTTGACTCCTCATCAGCACCTGCATATGTTTGCCATTTGTGGCCAGTTCAAGAGAGGAATTATTTCCCTTTTCTAGTTACCCAAAGAGGTAAAATTATCTAGAAATGAATGATCAAAATTAGATGAAAGACTGAAAAGTCCGACATGGTTTTGTGTGGCCAAAGTGTTTTATTATTTTTTCTCTTCTGCTTTTCTGTACGTTAATAATCTACTCTGCTACAGTAGATGGACCTAATGCACTGGCACCTTGGTGAATATGACAACACTGAATTTAATAAAAGCTAGTTAAGCTACTTTAAAATCTATGAGTCCACCTGTCATTGTCTTGAAATTATTGTGTGCTTGTGAAAATGGACAATCCAACAGATGTATGGAGATGAAGACCATCTGATGTTTTTACTTTTCAGAAATCCCACAGGCAAACTTCAGACGGCTCCCGTTTGACCACTGCAGGTAAGAAGATACTTGTTAACCATCCCCAGCAGAGGTACAGTAGAGCCGCCTAGGCTGCATTCTGCTCACAATAAGTTTGTTATTAGACCAGCAATAAATCCTGGCCATGCTTCTCCACCAGTAATGGAGGATACGTGACAGCAGTATATTGCACAGATGGGAAAAATCTGTGTAATAAAATCTGTGGAAATCTGTCTGGTTGTGGATTTTTGCTGCGTATTTGTGAATTATAACCCATCTGTCTCGTTCTGACTTAATTGTTTTCTCTGAAACATTTCAGCTTGTCCCTTCAGCCGTTTGAGTATCCTGTGTGTACTGAGGAGGGAGTCGTCTTTGACCTGCTGTAAGTAGATAAAAAAGACAAAACTAGGTCTTATTGCTTGTTTTGGTCTGGTAGTAGAGGGATGTTAAGGATGACTTTAATGGTCCATCTGTTGTATTATTTGTACTGTCACCTCAACTCTAGTTCAATTTAAGATTTCTCTGCGACTGTCTGTGAGTGGAGTTCTTGATAATCCTACTTCAAGCCTTGTGTCTTTAGTGTTGGTGTCATATTTCACACAACAGGAAAGCAAACTGTTAGATAAGATGAATTAGATGAGGATGAGGGATGTTTGTGGTATTGTAGATAGTATATATCGTGATATCTGGTTGATTACGTCGTTTCTACTCTGTGTTTCAGGAGCATTGTCCCATGGATCAAGAAGTACGGCACAAATCCGATCTCTGGAGAGGTAAGCAAACAACAGACATCATACAGCATGTTTAACTACTGCCATCCTGATAAGGCAGTTGCTGTGTGGCTAACATGTTAACCTGTATAATTTTAGTTTAGTGACCATGTAAAAAACAACACATTAATCTCATACGGAGAGACGTGATGCCTCACACTGTACCACATTTAGCTGTTAGCTACTTTTTATCTGTAGTTCTTCGGCAAATTGACACAAACCCTTGTACTACTAGTGTAAGTGATAGAAACACAAGTTAAAAATGCAACAAATACTATATCCAATCATGGATCCGTACAGTACATACAAATTTCCGTCGTCATTTCACCCCTG